TTTAGTTTTACTTACTATACAGGTGCTGGCCAGTAAATTAGAATATCATCAAAAGGTTGAAAATATTTCAGTAATTCCATTCAAAACGTGAAACTTGTACATTATATTCATGCAATGCACACAAACCAATGTATTTCCAATGTTCATTACATTTAAATTTGATATTCATAAGTGACAACTAATGAAAACTCCAAATTTGGTATCTCAAAAAAATTAGAATATTCTGAAAAGGCTGAATATAGAAGACACCTGCTGCCACTCTAATCAGCTGATTTACTCAAAACACCTGCAAAGGCCTTTAAAAGGTCCCTCAGTCTTGTTTTGAAGGCACCACAATCATGGGGAAGACTTCTGACTTAACAGCTGTCCAAAAGACAATCATTGACACCTTGCACAAGGAGGGCAAGACACAAAAGGTGATTGCTAAAGAAGCTGGCTGTTCGCAGAGCTCTGTGTCCAAGCACATTAACAGACAGGCGAAGGGACGGAAAAAATGTGGTAGAAAAAAGTGTACAAGCTCTAGGGATAACCGCACCCTGCAGAGAATTGTGACGACAAACCCATTCAAAAATGTGGGGGAGATCCACAAAGAGTGGACTGCAGCTGGAGTCAGCGCTTCAAGAACCACCACGAGGAGACTCATGAAAGACATGGGATTCAGGTGTCGCATTCCGTGTGTCAAGCCACTCTTGAACATGAAACAGCGCAAGAAGCGTCTCGCCTGGGCCAAGGACAAAAAGGACTGGACTGATGCTGAGTGGTCCAAAGTTATGTTTTCTGATGAAAGCAAGTTCTGCATTTCCTTTGGAAATCAAGGACCCAGAGTCTGGAGGAAGAGCGGAGAAGCACAGAATCCACGTTGCATGAGGTCCAGTGTAAAGTTTCCACCGTCAGTGATGGTGTGGGGTGCCATGTCATCTGCCGGTGTTGGCCCACTCGGTTTCCTGAGGTCCAGGGTCAATGCAGCCGTCTACCAGGAAGTTTTAGAGCACTTCATGCTTCCTGCTGCTGACCAACTTTATGGGGATGCAGACTTCACCTTTCAACAGGACTTGGCACCTGCACACAGTGCCAAAACCACCAGCACCTGGTTCAAGGACCATGGTATCCCTGTCCTTGATTGGCCAGCAAACTCGCCTGACCTTAACCCCATAGAAAATCTATGGGGTATTGTGAAGCGGAGGATGCAATACGCTAGACCCAACAATGCAGAGGAGCTGAAGACGACTATCAGAGCAACCTGGGCTCTCATAACACCTGAGCAGTGCCACAGACTGATCGAGTCCATGCCACGCCGCATTACTGCAGTTATTGAGGCAAAAGGAGCCCCGACTAAGTATTGAGTGCTATACATGCACATTCTTTTCATGTTCATTCTTTTCAGTTGGCCAACATTAGAGAAACAAACATTTTTTCATTGGCCTTTAGAATATTCTAATTTTCTGAGATACCAGATTTGATGTTTTCATTGGTTGTCACCTATAAATATCAAAATTAAACGTAATAAACATCGGAAATACATTGGTCTGTGTGCATTGCATGAATATAATGTACAAGTTTCACGTTTTGAATGGAATTACTGAAATATTTTCAACCTTTTGATGATATTCTAATTTACTGGCCAGCACCTGTATATTAACTGGAATAAGTTATCTGCTCATATAAGATCTTTTTCCTCTGCCTTTTTAAAAACTCTCTCTATGAGTACGTGAAAATGATTTGTAATAACTGTTTTGTAGCCATTGTCTGACTTTCCTTTTGTTGCACCAAAGCAGGATTTATTATTATTATTATTTGTCCAGTTTTCTTTAGTTATCCATACATTAATCTTCTCAGTTGTCTTTTGTTAATTATTTTTGGATTGAGTTTGTTTGTTCTATGGTGTACTCACTGCCTCTGTCTTCTTGTGTTTTATTTCTCTCCAGTAGGAGGACCTACTCGTAAACAAGATGTTTCATCTCAAGTGGTTTCATCCTCCTAAAATATAAGTTAATAAATAAATATATAGTCTGGCCACGACCCATAGACGGAGCTCAGTCGTGGGGCTGAATTTACGCTTTCAAACTGTCTCTGCATGCTACTGGACGTGGCACTTAAAAGAAGAAGTGAATAAATCATTTTTCTAAATGAAGGCCTTAAGTACCTCCATCTGCTCTTGACACAAAGAAAAGCCTGTGTTTAAATAGTCCAAAGATGATGCCAAAGCCGCTTCAAACGAGCAACCGCCATCGTTGGATTTTTCGCTCAGTTGCAGTAGCATCCCGCCCACTAACTCGATAAGAGCGCCGTGATTGGCAAAACTGGTCTGGTCTGCAGTGGGGCGTGGCTAGACAGACCGGCAAAGCAAAATCATTTTGCTTCTGCTATGATCGGTCTAGAACTCTAGGCTAGTCCACTCAAACACACAAATATGTACTTTAAAAGCGTCGTGTGATGAAAAATCCACTTTTTGGAGGTTTTTAGTATGTGTTATTGTTTCCTCATGAAAAACACCACCAAACCTGTTTTTGGCTGCATTCGTGCATTTTCCAGTTTCAGCTAAATTTTTTTTTATTTTATGTTGAAATTCCTGAAATGGCCTAATGTACAAGTTGTATGTCACTCCATCCTCCTGCTCCACTCTTGGAAGCTAATCTCTGGTCTGAAACCTGCCTCCCCAGGCCAGTTCAGGTCATGTGACAGACTTGGGGGTTAGTGGTTAGTGCGCTGAGCTGACATACAGGCTCACATCACGGTCTCAAAAATAACCTTTTTCTTCTTTTTTAGCTACACCTGCCAGTCTGACGTTTTTAATCCTTTATTGGTCAACTGTTTAAAATATAAGGTCTAATATGTTTTTTTTGCTTTCTTTGTTTATTTAGCCAGTGTGAGTTCATGTGAGGTGAGCAGAGCAAATCAACTAACGTGCTGCTTGGAAATGACCAACTTCAAAAGTCTTTAGAGACAAAAAATATCTTGCAGAAAATAATCAATAAAATTAAAATATAAAAACACAAAATCTCCTTCAGCTGGCTAAATAAATTACTGCCGGCATCACCGGGATTCAAACCCACGTCAACATATTGCAAAACTTAGATGGAAGGCTGATGCCTTTATCACTGGAATACCATAGCAATACACTTACCAGCTTGCCTAAGGCGCAGTTGTAGGCATGTTTTGTCGGAGCAGGTGTGGGCGGAGTTTCACTGAAACTAAACATTTTATTTCTGGGTATAAATTCAGGCCGACATAAATAACTCATATTGAAGACATATGACATCTCAATAGAGCCAACGGTAATTTTTTATCCTATACTTTGTCTACCTTTGCTCTCAAAGGTTTAAAAAAGCATGATATGGAACCTTTAATGACAGATAGTTGTGTTTTCAAAGCTGTAAACAACTTGCTTCACCTGGGTCAGGCACACAGCAGCAATACTAAACCCTAGTGGACATTTCTACTCATAAGCATCAATAGCTTTGGTACTGGTATCAACTCCACATAAATCAGTAATCTCATCAGATGAGTGGAAAGCAGCACACATTTAGTTACAACTTTGTTGTACATCTACTTTTAAGGACGTACCTTCACATTTGTCACAAATGCAGTTCTTCTGAACAGAAAGTTTTTTCGTGGCTCCATTGTAAAGATCCTCTAATGTCACAGAAATCTGATGAACAACGTTCTTCCCTGTATTAAAACAAAACAGCAGTCAGACGTCAAAAAATTCTGCTCATTTTCAAGACTTGCATAGGTTTTCAGGGATGGAGATAACATTAACAGTTCTCGGTCTGTCCACCGTTCTGCTGGGCTCTGCCAGGTGATCGCAGATTACATCAGCATAAGACTCATTGTCTCTGCCAAACATTTTATGTATAAAGCCCCTTCCCACCCCAAATCAAGGGGTCCCAAGGTGCTGAAACACTTTCACAAATCTCAACACAATTAATTTCATTCAGAAAAACAACATAAATACTAAAAAGCAAAACAACTTTGTGTAAAGGGAGAAATAGTTTGTAGATTGTCTTTAGTGCTACAGATCAGCACAAACTTTAGACAGAATGAATGGAGGCCGAGTTACACAGCTATAATTTTTTTAACTTGTTTTATTAACCAAGCTCTTTGCAGAAATATTTATTTATAAATTCCTTTTTTCTGTTTCATTCAACAAGCCGCTTTAGCCCTTCTCCTCCCTCGTTGCCATGCTTTTTCCGCCATGTGCGTATGAAAACAAAGGCACTGCGCAAGCGCGTTTTACCCATTCTATCTTATCGCGATATTTCATTTTCTTATCATTGCCCAACATTGTACCGGTATTACTGTGAAAGGTATGATATGGCTCAGCCCTAACAGCAACACAGTTAAATACCCTAACATGGATGTTTTTGTCCTGTGGGAGAAAACTCGAGTGCCCAGAGGACACCTACACATGCATGGGGAGAACATGCAAACTCCACGCAGAAAGGCCCAAGCCAGATTTTGAACCTGCGACCTTCTTGCTGCAAAACAACAGAGCTAGCAACTGTGCCTCCTTGCAGAAATGATGACTCATGTATACGAGTCATGTAGCATGTCAGAAGGAAAAACAAAACTGTCTCACAAAAATGTCTATGTTCCTATGTGAAAATCAGCTTTTTACCAACCTTTTCGCTCTCTGTGCATCCGACTACCTCCACCAAAAAATAAGTCAAATATATCCATGGGGGATGCAAAGCTACCACCACCGCCACCACCTCCAGTTCCTCCTTCCTTTATTGCTTTTTCTCCTCCACGGTCATATAGATCTCTCTTCTTGGCATCTGATAAAACCTCATAGGCCTGTGATATCTGCTTGAACTTCAGAGAGAAAAAAAAAAGCTTAAACACATTTGTTATTGTTTGTGATGAAACAAAAACAAAACACTTACCTTCTCTCCCTCAGTAGGATTTTTGTCTGGATGATATTTCAAGGCTAGCTTGCGGTAGGCCTTTTTCAGTTCGTCTGGGGTTGCATTTGGCTTCACACCAAGTGTGTCGTAAAAGCCTGTTTCCTTAACCATGTTTGACTTTGACAGATGTTTCTGTTCAATTAAAAGTAGAATCAGTTGTAATAAATTTGACATTTACTACAAAAAAACTTACATTAACACCTTCACAAACATACCTAACGAAGACGCACGTAAGTTAATAGTGTAAAGAATTAGATTTTCTTGCAAGATTGTGAAATATGTTATTTTAATGCAAATGCATTTAACTAACTATTTAACCTGTACTTGAATTAATATAATAATTAGTAATGACAAAAGACTTACAATCTTACCAGAACACGTTATTCAAGTTAATATAAGAATACAAATCTTAGTTTTGCTATTTAACTTTAATTAGCCAGTGAGAGCAGAAGTTTCCCGTTTACGTCGCGAGGTGTTTATATCACTCAGTATTTTTAGGTAGGAGTTAACAGAAAACAAACAGAAGAAACATAATTTGTCTTCGTCTATTGTCTGAAAACATTTAAGTGTCTTATTTTCATAAACGTTTATATGACCGTATGGCTTCCAGTTTACACAAAAAAGAAACGATAAGGCCCCATGTAGCTGCTTTAGCTAGTGGAACTGGTGTTGTGGCGAAAAAAGTTACCCTGTCATAATGCGCATTTCGTTACGGGTAGCAGTTGCTTCCGTTGAAAAACCGACACATCACTAGCCCGTTAAAAACTGAAAAAGAAAATAGCTCTGTTCATCAGCACTTTACAATAATATTATAAACAAATGTTTTGATGTAACAGAAATGTATCTATCACGCATCAGTACAGTATATAGGAGAAAACGGTGTTGATTTGGTGGCTAAAATCAAGTCTTGGTAACTAATTGTAAAATTTAAGCAAATAAAACCACGAGTTACCTTTTTTTTTAAATCATCTTTGACTTCAACACAATTTATTAAAAATGGTGAATAAAGCAGAGATGACCATCGCGAGAAGAGGCTTGATTACAGGGGTATTTTTCTCGGTACAACACCACATTAAAAATCCAACGCTATCAATGTTGTTTTCCTCTATTTGTTAGCAAAAAATTTGACCTGAGACCGGTATATACAAAATATGACTTGAAAATAGCTAATTTCCAACCTTATATGAAGACAACTAAGACCCTTTCAAGGCCAAACCGCACATCGACTGTCTTCTAGAATCTTCACCCGTGTCCCGTGCTGCGTCCAAACGTTTCGCCCCGTTACGTCACTTTTTGGCGACGAAACCGTGTGGCAACACCCCCTTTAGCCAAAACCGATGAAGAAAACAAGCGCACGCACAGAAAGAATGGCGATGCAATGCAATGGACTGTTTTGCAATTTTTTTCTGCAGAAGTGGAAAAAGTCAGTTTACTTTAAAATTTACATCTCTTGCGCTGCTCAATTTACCTTATAAACGCGGTAGGCTAGTTTATCCTACTAAAGTACTAAATCCTAAATTAAAACGGTTGTAGGATCCTGAGTTTAATTTAATGCTAAAAAAAACAAATACCGAAAAGTTCAGACTTTTTAATATTAACGTTAAATTGAAAACATTAGCCTGCACCTGATTCCTGATTTGAATGATAGTAATGAATATGTCAGTTTTCTTGCTGAGGTTGCCTCTGCTAGAAATGTCAGTGCTGTTCTTAGATGAGAAATAGAAATAGAAAAGATTGTTTGGTCCAACCTGCTTAAATAAAAACTGATTATGTGTTAATTGGAGAAAAGGGGAATATGTCATGTTGACATGTTGCAATTTATATATTTAAGCACTGGAAAATACAGGATAAGGAAACAAACAACTAAAAAAACATAACAACCACACAAATAACACTTAGAGGGCTGCTGTGTCTAAACTGAAATGATGAAATAAATGTATAGTCTTGGTTAATTTGTTGTCGTTCTTTTTAAATTTTCCATGCTGTTCCAGTCACTTTCTCCATTCATCCCGGATGTTTTGCCCCCTTAGATGATAGTCGGGCTTTAGAGAAGTTCATTTTGAAGGCGTTCTTATTTAGAAAAACACATTTGAACAGTAAAAAAAACTATGGTTATTACGCTACGAAATGTTCTAAAAAATAAAGCTCTGACAAAAACGTAAAATTCGCTTTTCTTTTGCTGAGTAACATTTGTGATAGTAATCTTGATGACGCATTTCCGGTAGATGTGGTGGTTACGTCATATTTGCTCGCCGCCGGAGAACGCTAAATGACTGATAAAATGCCAATTTGCTGGCTTATCAGTAAGAAAGGAACTCACAGACCCATCCAGCTGCCGCATTTACAGACAGTCGTGTTGGGTCGAGGCCCAGAAACGACTATCAAAGACAAAAAATGCTCCAGGCAACAAGGTAATTTCTCTATTGTCGCTGCGCCTCATTTGTAATGCGTAACACGCGTGTAGTAGTTTTTTTTTACATTGTTTTTGTACTTAATTCGTTCAAGTTTCTTTCCTTCTAAGGATAATTAGAATCAAATTAGGTTTTTAAAAGACCTGCGTATTTTTAGACTTTTATTTTGAAGGACTAAAATAATTCAGCTGGCGCTCTGCCATTAAAGCAACTCAAAGACAGCACATCATGTAAAAATGCACCATTTACATAGTTTTCTTTCTAAATCACATTCAGAGGCCATTATGATAAAAACGTAACAAATACGGTCAGCTTCAGAAGCACAGCAGGCGTCCTCAGACCATTCCTGAACTATTCTACTTCTGGTTTATTTTAACTTTTTCTTTATGCAATTTCATAAATTTTCCTCAACCTTTCAAGTTTAATTATAATTATCCTTTTCAAAACAAAACTTTTCATTGCAGGAGTACGTGATCATATATTGTAATGTGAAAACATCAATTTACTTTTAGGATTTTCCAGGTGTATATAAATACATTGCATATTTAGCCACTTAATTTTTCTTGAATTATATATTCTAATTTTTACGCTGTAATTGGTAACTAAAGTTATGGCACTGAAGAAGACCAAAAGATCTGAGTAACAGCGTGCTCAAATATCTAAAAATGACATCCTGTTCCCCCAATTTAATTTTATTTATTTTTTATTTAAATTTGTCACTAATTAGCTTTGTGAAAATAAAAATCCTTTAACCTGTTTAACTATTATCCTTCCCAACCAGTTGAGCTGAAAGCTGAATGCAACAAAGGTTATGTGAAAGTTAAACAGGTGAGAGAGTTTGGATTACTAATTTATCAGCAACAGAAGCACAATTAATAATTATATGATGATGTTTGTTGTTAAAGTCTCAGTCTTGACAGTATTCTTTGAATATGCTTGCTGTGTGTTTAGCAGGTCTGCTCTCTGTAATAATCTGTATTTAAACTTGTCTATGAATGGCTCCAAAGCTGGGTTTAAACCCCACCTCTGTGGACTCTGCGGTGGTGGGAAAGGGCAACGAGGTGAAAATGAAGCCTGGACAGCATCTTCACGTTGTCAATCAGCTTTACCCATACACTGTCCAGTTCAAAGAAGATCTCACTGGAAACGACAAGAGAGACAGAAGACCAAGAGAGCCTACAGAAGAGGATGGAGAAAAACAGAAAAGCACTCTGACTATGAAAGCAACAATACACACAGAAAAGGATGCCGTGTCAGGCAGTCCTGTAGAAGCTACAAAAACAAATGTGAGAAGAGAGATATGTGTTTCTTTCTTGTTTTATTGTTTATTTGATCATTTTTGGACCACCTGTATTGTTGGTGGTCATTTTATTTCATGCAGATAAATGTTGTTTTCTGATATTTGCCGTAGGTAAGTGTTGGACATTGGAGCCAAGGCCTGAAGACTTCAATGCAAGACCCCAGTATGCAGGTATACAGGTACTGCAATATGGACGACTGCGTTTTCTTAAAGAGCAAGTCACCCCTACCAGATTCTTAATCAACTCTCACTTCCTGTTTGAAAAATGCAACAAATGCTGTTGCCTAGCAGACAGAGAGGGCGGAGCCGCTAACAAATACACACACACAGGCTCACAACGGCATTGTGACATCATAATGTACCAGTTTACATCATAGCATACCTCTTAGCCAATAGCCACGGCAGATTTAAATTCCAATGCAGTGCAGAGTTTTTACCCGACGACGGTGCAACACTGACAGTTTTAGGCAGAATATTTAAATTTTAACTAAAATGCACTGAAGTACCAAATTATTGACCACACATGTCTGCAGCACAATTAGACACACATTTATATAGTTTATCAGCAAAAAAACGTTGATTTGGGGGTGACTTGCTCTTTAAACATTCTTAAACTCGCATAACTTTGTCTCAATTTTCCAGGTTTACAAGGATGACCGAGTAGTTGTCATTACAGACAAATACCCCAAAGCCCGCTACCACTGGCTAGTCCTTCCATGGCAGTCGATTCCCAGTTTGAAGGCGTTGCGTGAAGAGCACTGTGACCTGCTGAAACACATGCAGCAGGTCGCTGATCGTATGGTTCAACAATGCCCAGATTCGGGTTCGGTACGCTTCAGAATGGGGTACCACGCCATCCCGAGCATGAGGTAAACCGAAACCGCACGGGAACCCCTCACTTTATTATTTATTTCATTCAAAGAGACACCACTCTTTTTTTGAGGTCTTGCTTTATTAGAGGTACCTCACAAAAATCATGTTAATTTCATTATCTGTTGCTTTAAAATAAAGGTTACACCGAGTCACTTTAAAGGGAGATGACGTGTTTTGCACGTGTTTCTTAGCTGTTAAGTCATTTTCAAACACCAAAGCTTTTGGTTTTAGCACATTTCATCACATAAAGCTTGCCAGAATAATTAGCTATTCGAGACACATTTTGACCATAAATTATTTAAGGAGTTATTATAGACGCCTTGACACGCGATGTCACACGCCGCCGGAGGGCAAGAAGACCCATCGACCACCGTTCATAACATCTGTGCGTTGTCGATAAATTCATCAAAATTGTGGCGAAGTAAAATTTCAGCACGGTTAACACATGCAGCTCTGTAGGCTGCACAACAGGACAGTAATGTAAAATTTTACAGGTTTTCAGCTGACGAAATGCGCTAAAGACAACGGCCATGAAGAGTTAGACATCCATATCATGGCTGATTCTGGTAATCTCCAAAGAAGGTCTTTTAACACTAACCTGCACAAAGCAGAAGAGATCCGGTTACACCTTCGTTGTTTCAGCCGTGTAAAGTCCAGGCGGCCAGTTCTGAGGACTGTCGTCCCCACTTCTCATTAGCTGTTTCAAATCTGGAAGCTTTGCGCTCACCAACGTTCACTTTAGGATGTATATATTTTTATCATCTGCACAAAGATGTGTTAGATGATTTAAAGTAGCAAAATCTAAATCCCTAGGTTTTATTTTATTAGCTGAAATCACGGCGATACAGATCCGGATAGCGGCTAGAGGTGGTATTTTTGGCCCCCAGCGTTGTGTGCATGTGCCCATTTACCCGGATGTAACATTCAAGGGGTCTATAAATATGTTCGCCTAAGCCTCCCAGTTCCATAGATGGCTTCCAGCTTCTTAAGCTTTATTGGGGGCAAAACAGGTAATTGTTTTAAGCCCAGGTGCGAGTTATGCCTCTAGGCAGGAAGTTGACCTCTCTTCGCCGGCCCCTTTAAGAAGGAGCTTGTCACTGATCTGGGTGTGAAGTTGGATGGTCCGCTCTTGCTTTTTCCATCTTTGCTGCCTATGCAGGCTGAACCCGCTAGTGTCGCAGGCTCACTTGGAGACTGTAGTCCATGCTTTATTACTTCTTCTCTAGACTACTGCAACTCCCTCCACTCAGGCGTTAGTAAGGCTGCACTTGCTCAGCTTCAGCTGGCACAAAATGCTGCTAGATTCCTGACCGGCACCCGAATGCAGGAACACATCACGCCTGTATCGGCTCATCTGAAATGGCTTCCAGTTTCCTTTAAAGTCAGGTTCAAGATACTTGTTTTTGTTTTTAAGTCTCTGCAGGGCTGTGCTCCAAGCTATCTGTCCGAGTTACTCACTCGATACAGCCCATCTCGTGCACTTAGGTCATCACAGCAAGACTTACTAGTCGTTCCACGTGTGAAATGCTCGACTAGAGGAGGCAGGGCCTTCTTGGTTTTGACCCCACTTCTTGTTTTGTCAAACAGGAAGTGGGAGTGGAGTAAAGGTTGGTTTATGCTTGACGCGTCCGCGAGATTCGCACGGCTCCGTGCGGCGAAATTGCGTCATTTTAACAACCACGCCCCTCCACCGCGCCGCCGCACGGCCCAAAATTTCCCTAGGAAATCTTTTAACCACGCGGACGGTCGGACGCGGAAAAACATGGCGGACTGGCAAGAACTAGTATGGCAGAGGTTCGTAAATCCAGACTAGGGTTGTCACGGTATGAAAATTTAACGTCACGGTTATTGTGACCAAAATTATCACGGTTTTCGGTATTATCGCGGTGTTTTTTAAACGGTGTTGCATATGTTCAGAAAGCATTGATAGTCCTGTTCTACACACACTGAAATAGTTTAGAAAAGGTTTAACAGTGTTTATTAAACCTAAAATAACACAAAGCCTTAGCAAAAGTGCAACTTTTCACAAGTAAAGGAACAAATAGCTTATTTTTCTGGAACATGTTACAGTAGTCAGTGCAGGTTTAAATGATACAAATCCAAACATTCGAAACATAAACAATATGTAAACAAATCAAAGAAACACCACTTGTTTTCTCATATACTTGTTTTCTTCTTTATCAAAATGAAAATCTAAAACTCCAGTCCACACTTGACTTGAGCACTGTACAAGTCAACCTTAAGAAATATGTATTTAAAATAAATAGCCACTTTAAACAAATTACTAAAATAACTACTACACTATGTAATCAAATCCAAATGTTCAAGTATAAATGGCATTGAATAAGTAAACAAATCAATGACAAGGAACTAATTGTATATTTCTCTTCATCATCAACAAATAAGATGCTTCATCCAGCAACAGGGTGTCCGTGACACGGTTTAAATGCTGGCAGAGGACGCTGCGGCTGCAGCATATAGTGACTCGTTGCATTCTCCCTCAACCAAAAGTCCTCACGTCATGCATTTAAGCTAAAATGCTAATGCTAACTTACCTTGCACTGGCTGTAGAGACGTGAGTGATCGTCACACAGATGTGCCATTAGATTCAAAGTGCCTTCTGCAGACACTTGTTTCCTGCACCTTCTGCAAACGGGATAGCAGTCTTCTATTAACTGTCCCTCAGCGTTTTTCAGAAATCCAAAATATGCCCATACTTCCGATTTAGTCTTCTTTGAGGGCTGATGGATGTCCTGGGCGCTGCCGTCTCCTCCTTCGGCCGTTATTTCAGCTTCAAAGTTTTGGTTGCAAACTAAAAAGTGCGTGTGCGCGGGAACTTCAGCAGAAGCGACGGTGGCTGGTAAGGGTCACCGCGCCTAAACCGCGGCCACGGTAAACCCACCGAGATAATTTAGTTTTTTAAAAACTGGACTGTTATTTTTATTGTCAACTTTTTTTACCGTTTACAGCTATACCGGTTACCGTGACAACCCTAATCCAGACATTTGTATGATTCAGCTCTCAGAGATCACCGTGATCAACACGTTGTTAATAATTCTTGGAGAGAAATAGCTCGCACTGTCGGAAAAGACGAGGACGCGGTTAAAAAATGCTGGAATGCCATGTTGTAAACAACAGTACTTTCTACTTCTACTATGGTGTAGTGTTGGATGCATGCTGTAGAGCTCCATGCTGCCCCCTACAGTTTGGGAGAATATTGGCTCACCGCAGAGACAAGCCGCATGAACCATAAACGCTGCGAGTTGTGACGCGCGTTCCATCCGCGAGCCGCATCACCAAGCGGAAAGTAAATGCATCAAGCATAAACCAAGCTTAAAACTCTGGTAGGGGGTGACTTGCTCTTTAAATCAATATTCTACAATCTGTTTCAGTCACATTCACCTCCATGTGATCAGCCAGGACTTCGACTCTCCCTGTTTGAAGAACAAAAAACACTGGAACTCTTTTACAACCGACTACTTCATGCCGTCTCACGGTGAGAACAAATATTGAGTTTTTGGTAGCTCAACAGTCTTGAAAGACGAACCAAAACACACATCTGGGTTTTTCTTCCTACAGACGTCATCCGGATGCTTGAAACAGACGGGAGGGTGACGGTTAAAGAAGGCACCAGTGAGCTGTTGAAGCTGCATCTCCGCTGCCACGTGTGTCACAGAGAGATTCCCACCATACCTGCTCTGAAGGAGCACATCAAATCTCACTTTTCCAAATGACACATTGGTTTAAAGAACTTTACAAGTTCTTTGTTCCTATTTTGTAGAAAAATGTTTAGTTTCAGCAAAAACTAAAAATATTCAAATAACAAAAGTGTCGATTATTTCAGTTGAATTTTTAACAACGTGTCACATCAGGCATTAGGACAGTTAAGTCCAAGTTGTTTTTGTTACCATTATCGTTACATATGCTGCATTAAAGGCTATCTAAGAGCTAAATTCTGTTTTTTCTCTCGACATGAAGCATATTCAGGAATTTTTAAAAGATGGCTGCCTTATTTACAAAAGTTAATTAATAGTGAATCACAGAAAATTTGAGGAACTGCAAACCTAAGCCGGTGTATTGCTGCCCCCTGCTGGTTTTTGTAGGTTACATCATCCTAACGCGCGAAGCGTTCAAATTTGTGTCCCTAAACAGCAACTGTTATTTCAAGATGGCGCAAAGCTGGAGCGTCGACCACGGGTATGTGTCTAAAATGTAAAATTAAAAGCTAATAGGAAGACTTAGAATAAACGCTGGTGAGTAATCTTAATTAAAAAGAACAAGTCTGTGAATGGGTTACACAGAATATGATAATAAACACACTGAGCCCAGATTACATTCACAAATTCCACCTGTGTTAAAACGTTACATCTAATTCAGCAAGAAGTCATTTTTAACATACAGTGTCAATACTTTTCAGCTCTGCATTATCTCTGGTAAAATGATACACGTTAATTTTGATGATCAGTTGTTTTGCTGCCAATCAAAAAGGGCCGTTTAGAGGCGCTTGTTGTTTTATTTTAGTGACATTTTGTTCCTTTGTCTCCATCTAGTGTTTAATGTGATGTTTGTGACATTTCGATTATAAAGTACCAAATCATTGCTCTACGTGGGACTACTCATGAATTGAATGCCAAAAGAATCATAAGAAAGTTTAAAACAGTCAATGGCCCATTCAACGGTCAAACCCACGAATGTATTAACACCAGATTCTCACCTGCTGAGATAAAAAGCCATGTTTAGACCGACACAAAGGTAAAACCATACACATATAGGTATAAATGAGTTTTTTTTGTTCCTGAACTGAGCAAATGTGTAATCAACGCCTTTGACTGATTAAATCTTATTTGGACACAAGACAAACATTTTAAAATCAATAAACACAGTAAAAAAAAAGAGAAGGAAAGATGTACAAATAAAAGGAAAACCGTTGGCCCAAAGGGAGTGGGAAGAAGCTAGTGCTTATTCAAGTCTTGCCAAACACTACAAATCTACCTTAAAGAGCAAGTCACCCCCAAATCAACTTTTTTTGCTGATAAACTAAATAAGCGAGTGTCTAATCGTGCTGCAGACACGTGTCGTCAATAATTTGGCACTTCAGTGCATCTTAGTTAAAATTTAAATATTCTGCCTAAAACTGGCAGTGTTGTGCCGTTGTCAGGCAAAAACTCTGCACTGTATTTGAATTTAAATCTGCCACCGCTATTGGCTAAGAGGTATGCTATGATGTAAACTGGTACATTATGATGTCACAATGCCGTTGTGAGCCTGTGTGTGTGTGTATTTGTTAGCGGCTCCGCCCTCTCGGTCTGCCTGGCAACAGCATTTGTTGCATTTTTCAAACATGAAGTGGGAGTGGAGTTAGACTCTGGTAGGGGGTGACTTGCTCTTTAAATGATTAGAATAAATAACTTTTTGTTTTTGTGGTGGGAAACTAAAGTGAATAAATACAGAGCCTTACAGAGTATTCACATCCCTTTTATGCCTTTTTACATGTTACAACGTTTTTAGTTAGATTTTCTGTGATAGACCAACACAAAGTACATAAAAGTGAAGTGGAATAAATTGATACACATTTGATATTACCAAATAAAATGTGTGGCGAGCATCTGTACACCAAGTAAACCAACTGCTTTATTTAAGAAAATGCGAACAATTTCACAAAACACTGGCCTGATAGTCTTATTGTTCCATTGGCATTTGTCTCCATCTAGTGTTTGAAACTTACGACGCTAGGGTCGTAAACTCATGCATATAAATATTTATTACATGATATCTGTGACGTTTTGATTTTGTAGCCTATGAATTATCTCTTCACAATGACACAAACAGTAGTAACCATGAAATATGAACGCCTAGAGCAGTGGTTCTCAAAGTGGGGACTGGGACCCCATAGAAAAGTTAAAAGTCTAAATTACCACATCTATTCTGTGCACGCATGTGTAGGTTGCAGGGCCTGGCTGGAGTTGGACACGGGCAGGGTGTAAAAGCACAGTGGCCCGTACGGGGATCGAACCCGCGACCTTGGCGTTATTAGCACCACGCTCTAACCAACTGAGCTAACCGGCCATGTTGCCGATCCACCCAACTTTGTAAGTCATGAAACTCACTTTCTGAGAAGATTCCCAAGAAATGTCAGATTCTCTTGTAATATTCTGTTCGTATTCACGCTTTACAGGCCTGCCAACTGTGTTTGTGTGTGTGTGTACAGTACAGTACAGTACAGGCCAAAAATTTGGACACACGTTCTCATTCAATGTGTTTTCTTCATTTTCATGACCATTTACAAAGGGGCCAACAAGTGCAAAACACCTCTTGGAACTCCTTCAAACCTATTGGAAAACCACTTGAAGCTCATCTAGAGAATGCCAAGAGTGTGCAAAGCAGTAATCAGGGCAAAGGGTGGCTATTTGAAGAGAATAGAATCTAAAACATGTTTTCGGTTATTTCACATTTTTTGGCTAAGTACATAACCCCACATGTGTTCATTCATAATTTTGAAGCCTTCAGTGAGAATCTACCAATGTATGGTCATGAAAATAAAGAAAACACATTGAATGAGATCGACAGGCGGATTGGTTCAGCGTCTGCAGTGATGCCGGACGCTGAGCCGATCTGTTGTGGTGAAGAGGGAGCTGAGCCAGAAAGCCAGGCTCTCGATTTACCGGTCGATCTACGTCCCAATCCTCACCTATGGTCATGAGCTTTGGGTAATGACCGAAAGAACGAGATCGCGGATACAAGCGGCCGAAATGAGTTTCCTCCGTAGGGTGGCCGGGCTCAGCCTTAGAGATAGGGTGAGGAGCTCGGACATTCGGGAGGGACTCGGAGTAGAACCGCTGCTCCTCCGCATCGAAAGGAGTCAGTTGAGGTGGTTTGGGTATCTGGTCAGGATGCCTCCTGGACGCCTCCCCGGGGAGGTGTTTCGGGCATGTCCTGCCGACAGGAGTCCCCCAGGTCGACCCAGGACACGTTGGAGAGGTTACATCTCCAATCTGGTCCGGGAATGCCTTGGGGTCCTGCTGGAGGAACTGGTGGAGGTGGCCGGGGAGAGGACGGTCTGGAGCTCCCTAGTTGGGATGCTGCCCCCGTGACCCGGACCCGGATAAGTGGAGGAAGACAACGACGACGACATTGAATGAGACAGGTGTGTCAAAACTTTTGACCGGCACTGTATGTAAGTATAGAATAGAATAGAATGGAATAGAATATACTTTGTTGATCCCACAGTGGGAAAGTTCAAAGCTCACAGCATTAAGCTACTATTGTAACCCTCAGCATTAAAAAATGAAAAAAAAAAAGAAATCCAGTTTCCAAGAAGAAACAGCATAAAGGACACATGCAAATGTGCATGCAGATGTTGCACACATACTGAATATAGCGCTTTAAGGTCTCAGTTTAGTGTTTCCTCTACAAAGAAACATTATTTCAACATTATTCCAAGATTACTGTGTTGTGATTTGTTCTGATGGAACCATAAAAACAAAAACAGGCTTTGTTTTTGTAAAATTTACTGTGAGAAAAATCAATACTTTGTTATTATTACTTATGACACAGACACACACACACACACACACACACACACACACACACACACACACACACACACACACACACACACACACACACATTTGAGACAAGTGCACAGCTGCATAACTTATATATCTTTTGTAATAAGACAGTTATAACAATGATCACATGTTTATTTATTTATTAACATAAAATTCCTGAATACATTGTTGAATTTGGCTTTTAAATATCATCAAAGCAAAGTAAAGCTTATGGTGTAATAAGACAGTCATTTTCACACATACGAGTCAATAAGCTGCAGTTAGCGCAATGCTAATGTTAAGTCTTCAGTAATGCTCACAACATGAAGACATGTCATCGTCTCCTCAGTCTCAGCTCCCCTTCATCATCTGGCACCATCAGGTGGTTCACTGAGAAGTGAGCATCATCTCCTATACTCTGGAACAAGTGCTCCTCACTTTCACAGCTCTGGGTCCCATTAACACAGTCACTGGTTTTGATTTGCTGCAGCTCGGAGCTGTCACTGGCGTTACTGTCCTCTGTGCTCCTGCTCACGCTCTCGCTGCTGTTCTCTTCACTCTCAGGGCTTTCATGGCTGATGCTCTCGCTGCTGTTGCTGGTGGCAGCTGTGATGTCGCTGGTGTCGGTGCTGTCGCTGGTGGTGTCGCTGCTGTCCGTGGTGGTGGTGTCCAGCAGCGGCTGCTTTGTGTGACTCGGAGCTTTCTTGGTGGATGTGCGAGTTGGCTGTTTGTCAGCCAGCTTGGTGTTCAGGTATTCTGGTTGACCTTTAACCTCCGTGCTGCTTGAGTTGTCCTCTGCACTGAGGGTTTTGACCAAACCTGGGAACACTCTCACCCAACTCTGCTGTGGAGAGGTGTAAAAAAAAGTGTATTTTTACTAACTTTTAACATCTGGTGAGACAAAATTGGATCTAAAATTAAGTGAAAAATATTTGCCTTACCTTTCGGATGTTTTCCTCACTGCCCATGCTGTCATCCTTGGTTTCAGGCATCGAGTCCATCTGAGCAAGAATAATAGAGGTCAAGATCAATCATCCATCCATCTATTTTCATCCGCTTATTTGGAGTCGGGTCGCGGGGGGCAGTAGCTTAAGTCAAGAGGCCCTGACTTCCCATCTCCCCAGCCACTTGGGCCAGCTCTTCCGGGGGAATCCCAAGGGGTTCCCTGGCCAGGTGAGAGACATAGTCCCTCCAACGTGTCCTGGGTCTACCTTTAGGTCTCCTCCCGGTTTGACGTGCCCGGAAAACCTCACCAGGGAGGCGTCCAGGAGGCATCCTGACCAGATGCCTGAGCCACCTCAACTGGCTCCTCTCGATGTGGAGGAGCAGCGGGTCTACTTCGAGCCCCTCCCGGATGACCGAACTTCTCACCCTATCTCTAAGGGAGAGCCCAGCCACTCTTCGGAGAAAACTCATTTCGGCCGCTTGTATCCACAATCTCGTTCTTTCGGTCACTACCCAAAGCTCATGACCATAGGTGAGGGTAGGAACGTAGATCGACCGGTAAATCGAGATCAATCAATCTACCTCTATTTATATAGCACCTTCCACTGGCTTTGCAGGAGGCGCTGAACATAAAATACACTAAAAACACAGAGAGCAATAAAAAAACATACAAAATGTATAAGCATTAAAAGCATAAAACCAACTCAAAAGCCAAATGATAAAAAAGATTTATACATTAGTAAATGATTTGTGAATTCATTTCCTCTTACCCCGTTATCCTCGTCTGATTGGCTGTTACTCTCTTCTGAGGTCTGTTTATAAGAATGGATAAGCACAACAACTTAGTGAAACACATAAAAGCTCTGGCAAAACAAAACAATTTCCTATAAATGCATGTATACTTGTAATTTAGGAAACTGACAGTTTATAGCAAATATGCTTGTCGACGCAACACACCTTGTCTTCTGAAGTGGATTCTGTGGACTCTGACTCAGAACTCTGTTAAAAAAAGAATTTGTTTTTAGCACAAAACAGTTTTTTTCCCCAATCTGTGACTGAAAGATTCAGAATAAAAACAATCTCACTTGATTTGAGACGTTCTCTTCTGAGCTCTGCATCACAAAGAGAGAAATTCACCCATTTATTAAAAAAAAACACGCATTAATATTAAGCTAACCACTAAAATGAATCCATTCCTTACCTGAATCTCTGAGGTGTTATTTTCAGCAGATTTTGAAGCCGACAAACTTTCAGTCTGGAGAAAAGCAAAAAACAAATGAAGCTCACAGCTAATTAGACTTGATTACAGCTTTAGACTGCAGCAGAAACAACAAACATGTTCGCATCAGATCCACTCATGTCGAGTCCGGTGCTGCAGAAACACAAACATTGCAAACAATCGTCTCTGCAGACGCGCCCATTGTTAGGTTTTCTGCTGACGCCATCAGAGGAACAAATAAAATCCTGCACACCGTTCAGATCCAAATGCAGTTTATCAGCGTGACTTACTGAGTTTGAGTCGAGCTCACTCGATACCAGGGCATTGTGTAAAATCTGCCAGAATGAAACAGACACCATTGTTACCAGAGAAGAGAACACATCCAGGGTGATGATGATTTATGGTAATATTCATTTTTATGAAGGGAATAGTGTACAAGAATGGTATAGTTCTTTGATGAAAAAGCCTAAAATATTCTTTGTAAACATTTAAAATGATAACTTTCATAACTATTTCAAGATTCAAGAGTTTTATACTTACTGGGTTGGCAAAAGCTGCTCCAAAAAGACAAAATGTGATGAATGCAGCCTTCATTCTGTAACATAAGTTTCACTGCAATTAGTTCAAGTCAGTTCAAAAGTTTAGTGACAAATTATTATAAAAAGCATCCATGCAAAAAGTGTGGCAACATCAAATTTAAAAGGTTCATGAATGCAGAAAAGGCTTTTTTGCACTGAAGGTAGTGCAAACATGAAAGGTTTACCATGCATCCACCCAATACTGCTGTCAGACGAACATATAAAGAAAACTCCAAACCTGGTAGAGAGGATTCGTTTATATCCCGGTGGTTCAGAGTGTGTGCAGTTACAGTCTCTGTGTACCAGCAAGAATCCAGATCCGGGTCCGAGCTACGTCTCAGCTGTGTGGGGATACGCTACACGCCGCTGTATATATGTAACCTCATTTAAGACGATTGCATCACTTCCTTCCGGACGTCTCCCTCTTGCCGACACACGAAGGTGTATTTGTCCCAAGAAGGGAGCCTAAAAACAAACTGGTGATGATGATGACTGTAGGCGAACACACACACACACACACACACACACACACACACACACACACACACACACACACACACACACACACACACACACACACACACACACAAGCACACACACAAGCACACACACACACAGAGCTTCTTTCAGTCTTGCATAAATTTCCTCCACCCCCTCACAAGTCTTTAGAGGAATATAGTTTATGCCGCTAAACCATAGGTTTGTGGCCTGTTTAAAAAAAAACAACACAAAGTCACCCACTCTGAGTGGAAAGGAGAGGGCCAGACAGGTCTGAGCAGCACAGCACGGGCTTGTTTCCGGTGAAATTGGGTGTTTTTACTTTTCTTTCACAAGGAAGAAAAACCTTTAATTACTTTAAACATTACTTAAAAAATCTAACTTTCTTTAAAACATATTTTGAATAATATTCCCATCAGTGTTCAGCTTGTTCCAGGAAACATGGCTCAAACCTGGCCCTGTACAGTAGGAAGTCTAACTTTAAACTTCTATATTTTCTCCCCAAGGCCCATAATTGCTTCCTGGATGTCCTTATATGGTCAGAGCCAAAATAGGGTTACAGAATTCCTTGTTTCGCCCTACTTTGGATTTCTACTGAGCAGACGAAAGCAGCAATTAGCCTGGATGTTCACCAGTCTGGAGTTCACCGCCAAAGCCACAGGGCAGGAGTGGGGAGGGGATGATTGATGCTTGAGGGACACAGACAGTCTAAATATCTGCTCACTGCAATCTCACCCAGGTTTTGCCCTCGTTCTCCAGCCGCACGCCTCGTGCTAATGCTCGCAACATTTGAAATAAAGTTCAGATTAATGTAAATAACGGCGTCTCAAGGATTTTCCTCCATGTTTTCACACCTCTGGATGATTTGAGAGTTTTAAAAGTAAACTGAGTAAACTCTCAAGATAAGCATAACCTTAAATATTAAGTTATTATTTAAAAATGGGCTGATTTTGATGTGATAGCTTCTTCAGCTTGCATATTGTATTTTAGGAGCAGCTTTAGAGGCCAAGACTGAGGCTGACCTCAGACTCAGACTGGATCTGGTTAAGTCTGGTTTTTCTATGTTTGAGTTAGTTATCATTTCAAATCCAATTTTGAAGCAGTTCAACCCCAGTATGTTAGAAATGCAGGTTCAACTGGATGTAAAAACCAAAAAAATAAATAAAAATCAACTTTTACAACAAAATCCGACTCAAGTTTGGGAGATTTAAAGATGTGGATCACTGAAAAAACATTTTTAAAGATTATTTCTGATTAGAATGGGTCACTCTGACTTTGTCATGCAGGCTGCACATAAAAATAGTCTCCTACACCTATCTCATTAGCTTCTGATAGAAAATAGATTAGAAAAGCCTGAAAGATCTACATCACACTGTCATTCGTGGACTCACCCATCTTGACTTGAGACGGGGAAGGCTGCTGTTGGTTTAGTGTCCAGTAAACAGCAGAGAACATTTCAGCTAATAGAAGCTAACTGTTAGCATTAGCAACTCCACCACATATCAGAACTCCTCCAAGCTTGTATTATTTGTGGAGATAAAACATCAAAGATGCAAAGTTGTGTTGCTGTTAGCCAATCAGAGACGAGATGTCCAAATATCAGGAAATAAGAGTCCAAATCCTGCCGTCTGAAGCTCAACTCTGATATGACTCACTTCTAACTTCTGTAACTGGTGCTTTGTTTCCCCAGAGTATGACTTAGAAGGCATTCATTCCTACTAGAGATCACTGCAAATGTGTTAAATGAATGAGTGTTCTTACAAAACAGACTGGCTGTAAAAAGATCCATTTCTTCATTTTCACTGTTAGAGCTCATGGTGTGTGTTGAAGCTGAGAATATATAAAATATTTTTAAGCATAAGTCAGCTAGTTCCCAATAATAACGAATCTAAAAAAACAAAACATGAAGTAATCTCACATCTATTGTGGCTGTTCTGCTGAAACGCCTTCGTCTTCGTCTTCGTCTTCGTCTTCCTCCGCTTATCCGGGTCCGGGTCGCGGGGGCAGCATCCCAATTAGGGAGCTCCAGGCCGTCCTCTCCCCGGTCTTGTCCACCAGCTCCTCCGGCAGGACCCCAAGGCGTTCCCGGACCAGATTGGAGATGTAACCTCTCCAACGTGTCCTGGGTCGACCCGGGGGCCTTCTGCCGGCAGGACATGCCCGAAACACCTCCCCGGGGAGGCGTCCAGGAGGCATCCTGACCAGATGCCCAAACCACCTCAACTGGCTCCTTTCGATCCGGAGGAGCAGCGGTTCTACTCCGAGTCCCTCCCGAATGTGCGAGCTCCTCACCCTATCTCTAAGGCTGAGCCCGGCCACCCTACGGAGGAAACTCATTTCGGCCGCTTGTATCCGCAATCTCGTTCTTTCGGTCATTACCCAAAGCTCATGACCATAGGTGAGGATTGGGACGTAGATCGACCGGTAAATCGAGAGCCTGGCTTTCTGGCTCAGCTCCCTCTTCCCCACGACAGATCGGCTCAGCGTCCGCATCACTGCAGACGCCGAACCAATCCGCCTGTCGATCTCCCGATCCCTCCTACCCTCACTAGTGAACAAGACCCCGAGATACTTAAACTCCTCCACTTGAGGTAGGACCTCTCCCCCGACCCGGAGGTGGCAAGCCACCCTTTTCCGGTCGAGAACCATGGTCTCAGATTTGGAGGTGCTGATCCTCATCCCAGCCGCTTCACATTCGGCCGCGAACCTACCCAGCAAGAGCTGAAGGTCAGAGCTGGATGAAGCTAGGAGGACCACATCATCCGCAAAAAGCAGAGACGAGATTCTCCTGCCACCAAACTCGACACACTCCACACCACGGCTGCGTCTAGAAATTCTGTCCATAAAAGTGATGAACAGAAACGGTGACAAAGGGCAGCCCTGGCGGAGTCCAACCCTCACTGGGAACAGGTCCGACTTACTACCGGCTATGCGGACCAAACTCACGCTCCTCTGGTAAAGGGACTGAATGGCCCTTAACAGAAAGCCACCCACCCCATACTCCTGGAGCGTCCCCCACAGGGTGCCCCTGGGGACACGGTCATAAGCCTTCTCCAAATCCACAAAGCACATGTGGATTGGTTGGGCAAACTCCCATGCCCCCTCCATCACCCTTGCAAGGGTATAGAGCTGGTCCACAGTTCCACGGCCAGGACGAAAACCACATTGCTCCTCCTCTATCTGAGATTCAACTATCGATCGGACCCTCCTCTCCAGTACCTTGGCGTAGACCTTTCCAGGGAGGCTGAGGAGTGTGATCCCCCTATAGTTGGAACACACCCTCAGGTCACCCTTCTTAAAGATGGGGACCACCACCCCGGTCTGCCACTCCCTAGGAACTGCCCCCGATGACCACGCAATGTTGTAGAGACGTGTCAACCATGACAGCCCTACAACATCCATAGCCTTGAGATACCCAGGACGAACCTCATCCGCCCCCGGGGCTCCGCCGCTGTGTAGTTGTTTGACTACCTCAGCAACTTCTGCCCCCGAGATCGGACAGTCCATCCCCAGGCCTCCCAGCTCTGGTTCCTCCTCGGAATGCGCATTGGTGGGATTGAGGAGCTCCTCAAAGTATTCCTTCCACCGTCCGACTATAGCCTCAGTTGACGTCAGCAGCTCCCCATCCCCACTGTAAACAGTGTGAGCGAGTTGCTGCCTTCCTCTCCTGAGGCGCCGGACAGTTTGCCAGAACCTCTTTGGAGCCGATCGATAGTCTTTCTCCATGGCCTCACCAAACTCCTCCCACGCCCGAGATTTTGCCTCGGCAACTGCCACTGCTGCACCCCGCTTGGCTATCCGGTACCTGTCTGCTGCCTCCGGAGACCCACAGACCAGCCACGCCCTGTAGGCCTCCTTCTTCAGCCTGACGGCTCCCCGAACCTCTGGTGTCCACCAGCGGGTACGGGGGTTGCCACCACGACTGGCACCGGCCACCTTACGACCACAGCTAGCAACAGCCGCCTCGACAATCGCAGAGTGGAACAAGGCCCACTCGGACTCAATGTCCCCCACTGCTCTCGGGACGTGGTCAAAGCTCTGCCGGAGGTGGGAGTTGAAGACCGTCTTGACAGGTTCTTCTGCCAGGCGTTCCCAGCAGACCCTCACTATGCATTTGGGTCTGCCAGGTCTACGCGGCATGTTCCCTTGCCATCTGATCCAACTCACCACCAGGTGGTGATCAGTTGACAGCTCCGCCCCTCTCTTCACTCGGGTGTCCAAAACATACGGCCGCAGGTCAGATGATACGACTACAAAATCTATCATCGACCTGTGACCTAGGCTGCCCTGGTACCAAGTGTACCGGTGGGCATCCTTATGTTCGAACATGGTGTTCGTTATGGCCAAACTGCGGCTTGCACAGAAGTCCAATAACAAAACACCGCTCGAGTTCAGATTAGGTGGGCCGTTCCTCCCAATCACACCCCTCCAGGTCAAGCTGTCATTGCCCACGTGAGCATTGAAGTCCCCCAGCAGGACAATGGAGTCCCCTGATGGAGCACTATCTAGCACTCGTCCCAGGGACTCCAAAAAGGGTGGGTACTCTGAACTGATATTTGGCCCATAAGCACAAACAACAGTCAGGACCCGTTCCCCGACCCGAAGGCGCAAGGAAGCTACCCTCTTGTCCCCCGGGGTAAACCCCAACACACAGGCAGAGAGTCTCGGGGCTAACAAAAAGCCAACCCCAGCCCTCCGCCTCTCACCCGGAGCAACTCCAGCAAAGTAGAGTGTCCAACCCCTCTCCAGGTCTCGGGTTCCAGAGCCAATGCAATGTGTCGAGGTGAGTCCGACTATATCTAGCCGGTACCGCTCAACCTCTGCCACAAGCTCCTGCTCCTTCCCCGCCAGCGAGGTGACGTTCCATGTCCCAAAAACTAGTTTTCTTGTCCGGGGATTGGACCGCCAAGGCTCCCGCCTTGGTCTGCCACCCGATTCGCATTGCACCGGACCCTTCATGTTCCTCCTGCGGGTGGTGGGTCCACAGTTGGACGAGACCATGTATCCGGTTCGGGCTGGGCCCGGCCGGGCCCCATGGGCGAAAGCCCGGCCACCAGGCGCTCGCTCACGGGCCCCAACCCCAGGCCTGGCTCCAGGGTGGGACCCCGGTAACCCTCCGGGCCGGGTACTCCGACTCTTCGTTTTAACCGCCATGAAAGATCCTTCGAACCGTTCTTTGTCTCACCCTTCACCTAAGACCAATTTGTCATGGGAGACCCTACCAGGGGCACTAAGTGCCCCAGACAACATAGCTCCTAGGATCATTAGGGCACTCAAACTCCTCCACCACGATAAGGTGACGGTTCAAGGAGGAACAGGAACTGTTCTGCTGAAACGCTCTCATGTTATCCCCTGATTTCTCAGCAGATATACTCAAGTTTTTTTTAACTCGTATTTGCTGCTATGAGTTTTTTCAGCCTGAAGTGACCCAGACACACACAGCTATATGTGGGTCTTAAACTGTCACTATTTGTGTAAACAGACCTTTCTCCCTCCCAGAACACACACCCCGTTTCATGTAAACACACGCTGACCTGAGGCATGATTTCCACACACAAGATTATTATACTTGTAGCTCCTGTGATGAGAGAGGGGCAGTGAGAGTCACTGACTCCTTGCGTTTGGTTTACCCTCATGATGCAGTGACATCTAGTGGTCAAAATTACAAATGACTGAGCAACAGCCACATAAAACCAATTTCAAAATTTCATTCCACGTGAAACGATTACATGTTGATGAATTCATGATATTATCTGCGAAAGGTAAATACTTTTGTTTTAAACTTTGTGTTTGAATGTTTTCTTATTTTCATGGGGAAACATTCCCATTCCCAGGCAGTCCACCCAACTGAAATTCAATGTGCCTTTGTGGCTCTCCCTTTATCTCTGCACCCCACAGACCCTCCCCAGATCAGTGGCACCCCGGATCCTGAAAACACCCCCACACCAGTGTGTGTGTGCCGGATGCCAGTTTGCATTAGTGCTGTCTTGAATACAAAAGGACATTTTCACAGGTCTGACTCAGGCCCATGCTGGTGATTCAGAGGGATTGTCAATCTTCTAATGCAAGCAGCAGGTAAGGTCTGATACATGTTTAAACATTCAGCTGTGCAGCTTAAAAGCACAAAAAACATTTTTAGTCTGCTAAAACGTCCCCGGATGAACCTGAAGGGTAAGTTATACAGATGCTACACTTCAGATATTGATTTTAAGAAAGTAAGAAAAACCTATTTTAAAAGAAATGTTAGCTTATGTTTTGCCTAAAAAGAAAATACATCTGATCTGCAAAACAGAACTAATCAAAACAAGGTAAATTTTATTAAATATGATAAACTTATCTGGTTTTGAGTAAAACAAAAACATTTGTTTTAAGAATTCCAGCAAATTTTGTTAACTCCGTTGAGAGATTTTATTCTACCCAAAACACAAACATCTGATCATATTTAAGAACATTTACCTGATATCAAGTAGCTCTGTTTTTGCAAATAAGGCTTTTTTCCCTTTTAGACAGAAAAATAAGATCAAATGTCTAAAAGCAAGGCTTTCCTTTTACTTTTTTGAAAATCAATTTTTGCAGTGAACCAACTTTGTGATGGTGCTTTATAAAGGTTTGCTATTAATTCTTTTGTTTATGACTCATTCGATTTTGTTTTGCTTAGATGAGAATTGGTTTACAGTTGTTTTTGCATACTTAGACACATTAAAACACTGCACATTCACAACTGTACACAAACGGATCAACAACAAAATGTTGTTAAAATTCTTCAAAAATCATGTTAAGTTCAACTAAATTGAGAAATGATTTGTAATCAGGGGTCAGTAATTTCTCACACTGCAAATCAATACCCTTGCATTTGAGTGTGAGGAATCAAAATCTGACAAGGAATGAAACGTGTTTGTTTAATTTCCAAACGTACAGCCCTGCTGTCTTTGTCAGGCCCGTTTTGGCGAAGCGTGAAGCCGTTATTCCACCAGACGGATCCGGTGATGTCTCTGTAGAGTCGGATTGTGGACTTAGTCAACTTTTTCCAGTCTGGTAGCTTCCGGTGTTTACTTTAGTCCTGAATGTGACTTTAGAGAGCGAGGCGCATCTCAGAGGCTTATCACCATGGCAACGCCGGAGGCCAGTGGAGCTCTGCTTGACACAAAAGTGTCGGCTGCATTCAAATGCATCAGTCTGCTTTATTTCAAAAACATGCACCCAGTTCACAAATTAGGAATTAATTTCCATAATAATAAGATTTAGAGTGTTTAAATGAAGTTTCTTTTGGGTATTTTTTTTTACATTATTTGTTTTATTTTTAGATATGAGGGCCTGCTTCTTCTTTGTTTTCTTACTGGCAGCAACATTTGCTCTTTCTGTAAGTAGTGAATGTGATTTTTCTCACTTTATTGTATACACATTTAAACAAGCAAAGGCAGCTACAAAAACTGATGCTGTTAATCGTTTATTTTATATCTAGGTCAAAAGTAAACCTCATGGCAAACACCACAGACCTCTGGAGACTTCTCACTCAGCCAAAGGAAAGGTGCCTAACACTAAACACATGTCTGATATTATTATTATTATTATAAAAATAGTTTCAGATAATTAAAAATCACAAGTAAAACATGTATCTTCTTGTTTAAGGATTTAATCACAAAGGAGGCCTACAAGGCACAGTTGTTGCCCACTTTGGCCGCGTTTGAAGCTAGCAACCACGAGCAGCAAGATGGAGAAATGATCTCGGAGGACAACACCAACACTGAAAATGAAGATGACGAGGTGACTGAAAACAAAAAGAAAAGCAGTGCAGTCCTGTTGAGTGAGGAAGAACTGGTAGATCTCCTAAAGAAAGAGACAGAAGAAGAGGAAGAAGCAAAAGAAAGTGAGGTGGAGGATGAGGAAGCAGAAGCTGGAATGATGGAGAATCCCACTGACAATGATGGGAATAAGAATGTTGGAATGTTAGAGGAAACAGAGGGCAGCACAGAATCAGAACTTCCTGCAGATCCTGATTATGCTGCTGATGGTGAACTTCTACAACCTCTACAGACTGAACCAGCTGCTGATGACACTCCGTCTGATCAGAGTCAGGATCTTCTAGATGCTAAAAATGAGGATGATGATGAAAAGACTGAGGCCATGCAAACCTCAGAGACAGGAAACACTGTAGGAGCCCCTGATCAGGACAAAGATTCACTGACTGAAAAAAAAAGTGTCAGTAATGAAGAACTGGAGGCAAATGATGATCCTCTAGTGTCAAAGAGCCTCAAATCAGGTTTACAAATGTCTCAAAAGGAGGAGAAAAGTAAAAATGAGAGTGGAACTTCCACCAAGAGAAATACAAGAAAACCAAAGAAAAACCAAAGAGCCAAGAAAGACTCTCCTCAGAGAAATGAAACACGTTCTACGCAAGAACCGGATCAACAGGACCGCCAGGAGCCAGAGGACGCCGGAACAGAGAACATAGCCCAAAAAGCAAAGAGAGGACGCGCGGGAAAATGGGTAATGCACTTTTACATTGGATCAGTCTTTCAGTGAGTCACAACAGAATTCACTAACCATCTGATGAACTGTTTTATCTTTGTACTTTTGGCTTCACATCCCAAAACTACGATTTTGGTTGTCATGCATCAAATTTTATGCTTTATTGTTTTCTACCACACCAAATGAAAAAGCAACAAATCAAGAAACAAATATTTTCCTCAGCAAGCCAAGCAAGCAGGCAAAGTTATACAATTTTTATGAGCTTTTCACTGCCCAGATATGCAAATCCTTTGGGAACGTCAATTAAAGTTGAAAATCTGATTAAGATAAATGAAAAAAAGCTTTAAACTACTATTTGATGAATAATAATTTGGAGTTAAAATAAATTGTGCTAGTCCTTGAAGCTCATTAAGGTGTCATGTATGTTTAAATAGAATATAAAGCTGGTTGGCCTTAGATAAAGGATCATGATAAGTACCTTCACAAAACTTGTCAGAAATCAAGAAGAAATAAGTGACAGAATTAATGGTGCTACATTTACAACTTGCAAACACTTCTTCCAAAAGCAGCAGATAAACAAGAACAGCGTCCCGAGAACACATCCCTGTGGAACACCACAAGTCTGTGGACAAAAATCTGATATAAATCATGTGAATGAACCATAGACATTTCTGGAATTAGGGATGTTGTTAAGTCTCAAAAACAGAGAATATGTGAACATGTCAGCAGAAACCAAACTCCCAGTTAATACTGGTCTTGCCCTTTAACTGCTGCGATTATCAGCAGCGCCTCCAAGTGGCCAAATTTCTAACAAATCTGTTATGATTACAGTGAGCTGACATTCTAAAATAAACTGAAATTGTTTCCATAAATCCACAAAAATCATGTTTCTTTTTCATTTTCAGGGTCCTTTAGTCGGTGTGAATCCAGTGCAGATTAGAGCTTCAGCAGAACTCTATCCCAGGTCCAGGTCCTTACTTGGCGGAGACATCCATCTTCTAAAAACCCAGTCTGGTTAGAAATTATTTTCATATTTTAACTTGAGTTGAGTAAGCAGCAGAAGAAATTAGAAGTAGAAGAAGGCTCAGCTTCAAAGCTACGTAAATAATGTTTTAATACGGGAGCTTTTTGTTGAAAACCTCTGTAGAAAGGCAGCAGTGAAGAGATATTATGGGTCTTCAACTACAAGCTACAAATCAAAGTTTTGACTGAAAAAAAAATACAAACATTCAGCAGAAATAACATATTATGATTCGATAATCACAAAACAGAATCTACTCTGTAAAACTATATTTGATTTACTTATCTCAGTACAGGCTCAATTGTTTCCCAGTTTAATGATGATTTGTTTGCAAGAAAATACATAAAAGAAGAAAGAAATACAAACATTTACATACAAATTGAAATGTTAGACGTTTAAATCATATCTAAGAACCTGAAAATGAGTAAATAACATTTTCAAACCTTGCAAACTGAAAACAATGAATATTTGATGCTCACATGTTTTCTGAACAGTGGAGTGTTTTTTCTAAATCATTACATTTTAACGTTACTTTAGAGCCATAAAAACCCTTCATTCTCTCTGGTCAGGAGTGTTCATAAGGACTAACTCTATACTAACAATGTCTGAGTGAGAGGAATTTGCTGACTGGGTCATTTTGCACCAATTTCTGCATGAATAGTGCCCACATGGCTTCACGGTCCCAACCAAACAGCCCTGCAGGCTTAGTGAGTGAATACGAGGTTGAATGAGATCCCACCACCAGCTCTAATGGTGGAGGAATGATGTGATGTAGTGTGTAGCTCAAATAGGGCAACCCATTCTATATTTTGTAATTCTAACTAAATACACAATTGGGAAACTTGTGTTTTGTTCTGACTTTTAGATCCATGTGAAAATTTCCGCTGCAAACGTGGAAAAACATGTAAACTCGACACAGATGGTAAACCAGGCTGTGTGTGTCAGCAACCTTCAGAGTGCCCAGGCAGGACGAATGAATTTGATCAGGCAGGTTCTTGCAATATGAGATCAAATTTCACCTGAAAAGGTTCAAACAATAAACGTTTTATTTTATTTTCAGGTTTGCGGGACAGACAACAAAACATATGACACGTCATGTGAGCTCTTTGCGATCAAATGCAACTTGGAGGGCACAAAGAAGGGCCACAGACTTCATCTGGACTACACCGGTCCCTGCAAATGTAATTCACACAAACTGTACCAGCTTTAAAAAAAACTACTTTTAAAGGATGGATGGAAGGTTTAACTCTGCTCTCTCCTTCAGTGATCCCTCTTTGTGTGAGCAACGAACTGGTCCAGTTTCCTCTCCGAATGAGGGACTGGCTGAAAAATGTGCTGCTGCAGCTGTACGAGCATGACTCGGCATCACCAGGCTTCCTCACTGCGAAGCAGAGATTTAAAGTAAGATACAAGAACATCATGTTATTGTTGCTGAGCAAAATGCACACTTGTCTTTGGAATGTTTAATTACCATTTTGTACAAAAATGTAGTTTATTGCATATTAAATCACAAAAGCAACATATTATTCTAATTTTTATCTTAATGAAGAACAAGCTAAAGATGGTCAACAGGTTCAAATTAAAGAGTGAAGTACCACCTTAGTGTATTCCTCAAGAAACTGAATTAATTTTTCTGAGGTCAACGTTTGAGAAAATGTTTGAAGGAAGACATGAAAACACCTCTGTGACAAATAATCCTTTTTTAAATTTGACTTTAAAACCCATACTTTACATAAAAAAATAGACATTGATGTATGAAAGTTTTAATATGGCCTCTTTAACAGGGAATCCTTATTTAGGAATTAGTAATTTAAACAATAACTGATGTTTTATCCTCAAGCGTCAAAGAATGAATGAATGAATGTTAAATATATTTGTAAGGTTTTAAGCAACAGCAGATGCATCAGAATTTGACTTTTTTTCTACAAATGAGATGAAATTGGAAACAAACGCAGAATGTAAAAATGAATGAATTAAGCTGGTTTTAAATAGAACTGCACATGTTAATGACTTGTAAATGTTGTAAAAGACATTTTTTAAAGAGAAAATTAGATTTTTATTTTTGTTTAGGTCAAGAAAATCTTTGAGAATGAGAGGCGACTTCATGCTGGAGATCACCCCCTGGAGCTTCTTGCACAGGACTTTGAGAAGAACTACAACATGTACATCTATCCAGTGCACTGGCAGTTTGCTCAGCTGGACCAGCATCCCTCTGACAGGTACATTTTAACAAAGTGAACTGCATCAAAATCTGATTTCGGCAATAATTTCCAAAATACTCTCTTTGCAATTTTACCTGCTAAAGAAAAACACAAAAACTGTTTAAATATGAGATTATTAACTTAAGCTCATTTTTATTGCCCTCTATGAAACAGTCACAATTTAACATAAAGCTTGACTTGTTGTAAATTTTGTTGTTTGACAATCAATGTTAGAGAATAATTTATCTGATTCATTTAAAGCAGCTTCTGTTTAGCCATCAGGTAATCTTTTCAACAACACTCCTGCTGTTGGTTGCAACCTCTTGTTTGTCTTATTCGTAAATTATAATAAAAAGTTGATGCCCAAAAATAAAATAATAAATAAACCTTTGTTTAAACACAGAAGGTGGGCCATAAATTCTGAGCACAAGTGGGCCCAACAGAGAGCCCTGTGGAACGCCATTAGAAAAATCTTCATACACATGAACAATGATTGATAAAGAATGTAAAGGAGGTGTTAACAGAATTTATCAAGTTTGATAAAACTATATGTGAAATGAAATGAAAAATATTCAACCTTGAAATTGAAAAACTACCCTGTGTCTTTTTCATGACCATTAAAATAACACTTCAAAAAACATATTTTATATTTTGTTGACAAAATTCAGCTATGTTTCTTCAATTGATAAAAAGTACATTATTATTTTGTTAAGGATCTGATTATTATACCATAAAATCCCTCAAATAATTTAGATACCTTGGAGAGAAATTGTGTCCCATGAGCTTAAACATTTTTTTGGGGAATTATTTTTAGCTTTGTATACATATGTACCTTGTTCTTAAGCAAAGTATTTATATTTAACATTATGTCTTAGTATACTTCGTGTACCCTGTGATGACGTCTCAGTAATAAACATCCACTCACTGCTCATTCTATGCAGATTCTTGTCCCACTCAGAGCTGGCCCCGCTCAGGGTCCCTCTGGTGCCAATGGAGCACTGCACTTCCCGTTTCTTCCAGGAATGTGATGCTGACAAGGACAAGCAGGTGTCATTTAAAGAGTGGACCTCCTGCTTTGGTATCAAAGACGGTGAGAGCAACGCCACGTCTTATCGACCTAAAAATACTTAGCATTTATGTTAAAATTCAACATGATCACATGATGAATGCATATAAAATATTCTATCTGACATGTCTTTCCACAGATGACATGGACATCAACCTGCTATTTTGAGCTTCATCTTCTCCCTCCTCGCCATCACAGAGATTTGGAAACTTAAAAGAGAAGCCCTCAAGAATTTTTTTTTTGATTTTCTATCAGACTTGAGTTTAGATTAAATATATTTACTGTACCTCCACCTGTAAAAGACAAAGTTAGTTATCATTTATCTGTTAGAATACACGTGTGCTTTTAAATTAGGGAGCTGTGACTTCAGTTCAACTGATAGAATTGTGTATCTTATAAACTCGTGTACTTATCTGTTTATATTCTGCATCTGTTTTCAAATGAATTCCAAACATATAGATTTTAGGGTTTTTTATTATTTAGAGTAATTTAGTGGTGAGTAAATATAATTATATATAAGCCTTTAATCTATGAATGTTTACATTTTGATCAATTTCAAGCCTGTATGTAATACCTCTGTCGTAAATCACTAATTGTTTTTCTTAACTATGAAGCTAAGGTCTTCTGATTTCATGTTTTCTTTTAGAATGACAATTAAAATCTTGAAGAACTCCAACATTACTCATCAGGCTGTGGTGTTTTATAAGTTCCTGTGTACTTTTGTGACTTGTCCTCTGCACGTCACTCATATGTGGTTTTGGTTTGCCGCTTAATCCTAAATAATAGCCGTGTGAGAGGCAACAAAGCAAAAAAAAAAAAAGACAGAGAAAAGAAACAAGTGCAGCCAAGTCATGATGATTATAGTAACTTGTTGTTTTCAGAGGTGGATTCTGATTGGACCTTTCTGGAGGATCATTGATTTTGGCTCTGTATATATTGAGGAGGAAGCAGCTGGTCACCTGTAGATCGTCCGCTGATATACAACATGTACTGCATACTGTGGGTCATCTTTCAGACTCTAGCTTTTGTGGTAGAGGGTGGTGTGTCTTCAGGGAGTGCTGAGGCGCTTCTGAAGGGGGCAGCCAAAAACAATGGAGGAGGAGGCGCTGCAACTGCTGGTAATGCTGCCAATGCTGGGGCTCAAAATGGAGTTCCGTTGGCTGGGGGAGCCATCGTGGCACGCTTAGTCCAAATAGGCGGGTCACTTTTTATCCAGCCAGTGGGGAACCCTGCAGGTCAGGCTCCGGTGCAACAGCAGCTGATTCCCATCACCGCTCTCCAACAAGGTGGGACTCTTCTGGTGGGACAAGCAGGCGCTGGAGCCAATGGAAATCCACAGGGGCCGGTGGCTCAGCCAGCTGGGGGTGGGAGTGTGATTCTGGTTCCTGTCGTTCCACAGAACAACGCTGGAGTGGACCCTCAACTTGGCATGTTGAATCCTGGCCAACTGCAGCTGATTCCTGTAGCCGGGCCAAATAACCAGCAGCAACTGGGAGGTGGGAATGGTGGGAGAGGACTGAGGTTTCAGCGTTCAGTGACTGCGCGTCTCAGGAGGACACCGTCTCCAACAATGAAAGCTGTGGCTGCTGAAGAGGAGGAAGAATGTTCTGGGATGGACACAGAGGAAAGCAACTGAAATTAAATGATACCCTGCGGTTGAGAAAGATGATTTATTCTAACATCCTACTCACAGACCCTGCGTCATAGCATTCCAGACTTTAATATTGTCATTCAGTCCAAAAACCAATAAATCAATGAGTTATTTTAACTGCCAAGACATTGTTGGTTTCTTTATTTGAACACAGGCATCACCTGCGGCCAAATAGACATCTAAGCAAAACATTACATTAATAGTATTTAGAGCAACGTCTAAGATTACTGTTATTTTTGTGTGACAGAGAGACTGATAGAAAATACTCAAACATCTGTTTATAGTTCAGTGCCAGGTTGCAGCATGGTAATTTGGGGTTCTTAATTTGAAAAACATGTCAAACTTTTACATCACAGCTCGATTCATGGAGTATCTTCTTGCTGCTGAAAGCTTCTGGCAAAAATAAAAAACAATTCAATTATGTATTATGTAGGAATTAAATCATCTTTATGAATCACACCAAGAAATATAATTTCTTTCAACATAAAACTTCAAACAAGAAAAAATGTCTAAATGTGAAAGACATGACAGTGCGTAATTAAATGTCCAGACCAGACTTCCCACATGTTGTTTACCTGGTATGCTGTGAGCTGCTCAGTCAGCGGCAAAGAAACTGTTCCCAGACAGCATGAATCTGAGAAAAAATGAGCCGGCTACCCAGGGAATGAATTTAATGGCTCCAAACCTATAGAGAAAAAGAGCAGCCTAGACATACTAAGTCAGTTTATTTGTATTTGCTTCAGGCAAATGGAAATGGAAAATATAGATTCAAATATTTTTTGAGTCAGAGATTATGCTGAAAAAATTTAAGATACGATAAGATAATTGTACCGCACCGCACCACAATTCACCACACCACACTACACTGCAATACACCAAACCGCACCGCACTACAATACACCACACCACACCAGATCACACCACAATACACCAAACCGCACCACACCAAACAGCACCACACTACAATACACCGCACCACACCACACCACAATGCACCAAACCGCACCACAATATACCAAACCGCACCGCACCGCACCACAATACACCAAACCGCACCACACTACAATACACCACACCACACCAGATCACACCACAATACACCAAACCGCACCACACCAAACAGCACCACACTACAATACACCGCACCGCACCACACCAGACCACACCGCACCACAATACACCTAACTGCACCAGACCACACCACACCACAACGCTTATTGTTTCAGGCTGGAAGTGTTCCTCATGTACACTCGACCCGCTTCCAACAAAATTAGTCAAGCAGGTTTTACCTTCCCTATTACCAATTATTACTAACATCCTGCATTCTTCACTCACCTCTGGTGTGATCCTTTTAAAATTCAAAGTAGTGATAAATATAATAATCTCACCGGTTCTCAAGAAGCCAGGTTATGCCCAAATCACAGTACTGAAACTGCCATGGTTAAAACTACACATGATCTCCTAATGGCAGCCGACTCTGGCCTATTTAGTTTACTTCTTCTTCTCAACCTAACAGCAGCTTTTGACACAATTCTCCACTGTATCCTCCTAAAGCGTCTTCATTCTATTGGCTTTCGTGGTGCTGCATTATCCTGGTTCATCTCCTATCTATCTGATCATTCACATTTTGTCAAAATAAAGTTCTCTCAGTCACACCACTCACGAGTTTCATGTGGCGTACCACAGGGTTCTGTCCTGGGCCCTCTCTTGTTTATCATCTATATTCTACCACTTGGCAATATTTTTCGGAGTCACAATGTTAGCTTTCATTGTTATGCAGACAATACTCAACTATACCTTTCTTCTTCTCCTGCAGAATCCCTGCCCACCTCAATGCTCGTACACTGTCTCTGTGACATTAAATCTTGGTCCTCCCATAATATGTTAGCACTAAATGTTGAAAAAACTGAATTACTCATTATTGGAACGAAATCCATAGTTACTAAACTTGGCAAATTTTCATTCAAAATTGATGATTCCATTATTTCATAGTCTTTGCAGGTAAAAGTAGCCTGTGCTCTCATTTACAGCTCATTTGAACAATGTAATCTACTGTGCTTATTTTCATCTTCAGAATATCAGTTGGGTTTGTGCATCTCTTTCTACAAATTATATGAAGACCAGTGTTAATGCGATGGTTACCTCCCGCATTGACTACGGCAATGCACTTCTTGCAGGTCTTCCACAAAAATGTGTTCACAGACTTCAACTGGTACTAAATGCTGCAGCCCACATCATCACCACAACAACTTCCTCTCAACATAATACTCCAGTTCTTGAAGAGCTTCACTGGCTACCATTGCAATATCGTATTGAATTTAAAATTCTCCTTTTAAAATACAAAGCTCTGAATGCCATGACTCCTGTTTATTTAAGTAACCTTCTTAGCCAATGTAAAACTTCCTCCAGCAATTTGTTTAGCGACCTCTGTTCAATATTTTAAATCTTTGCTCAAAACACACTTAGTCAGGTAAGCAATTTCTGTGTGAGTGGCTGAACGCACCCACGGGCCAGGGAAAACATTAATTAGTGCCTAACGTGATTATATTGATATTGTTGCATTTACTGAATGCACCTGGGCGAAGCGTTTGACTGTTGCCTAATATTTTATCTATATTTTTTCCCTGATTCATCCAGTGATCCTAGATAACCTGTATTTCACTGTTGTAAATTGTTTTTACCTAAGATTTTATGATGTTGTTGTGCCATGTAACCTTTGTTAAAGTGGCCCTGCTCTATTATGCTGAAGTACTATGTACCCCTTGTCAAAGGGACCTTGAGAGTCCTGAAAGGCGCTTACAAATAAAATGTATTATTATGTGTATGTGTATTATTATTATTATTACAATAATTAACACACCTGACCACACCACACCATACCATTAAATTATATAAAATATATAGCTTGTGTCTTTCTGGAACTAAAGCAGGACCCTACAGTACTTGAGTCAAAGTCCATAGGAATAGTCCAAACTATACTGAATACTAGCTATTCATACAGTAATTTTAGCGATAGTATTAGCTACCTTTGATGTCTTCATTTACCTTTTCCTCTATCCAGCTGCTGCCTGTTGTGGTTGGTGCTATTTTACCGTATACTGGGAAGCTTTATTTCATTTTTTAATTTAATTTAATTTAATTTTAACAAAAATGTATCTCTGTGAGTCTTCATTTCAATATATTTTCAAATGTCCCACAGTTTATTGCTTGTAAATTTGTACAATAGAAGTGCACTGTTATATTAACTCAACATTATTATTTACTGGTAACCAACTACTTGAGTGACAACAGCCAATCACTAAACAGAATGATGTAAGTATATAAATGCTAAAATCAACATGATTATTTTACAATGACTTTTCCTTGAAATTACATCATTTACAAGGCACTACATTTATAAGCAAGCAAATGTTGAAACTGATTGAATTGTAGTAAGTATTTATCACACATAAATGTAACATCGAGCCTTTCCCTGTTGTACTTTTATTTCATCTAAGGAAAACTAAATGCTAATACAGGCTATCTGATAATGACTGAATAATAATGTTTTTTAATGGGTGGGATTGAATTTCACGATCAGTTCAGCTCCATCAATAAACATACAAGACACGAATCAAATCAGAATGTGCCTTCTTTGCTGTTTCTCTGCAGTAATTATGGTAATTTCATGAGCACCGTGTTACACGTTTCATTTGATCACGAGCACAACATTTGTTGTTCACGGTCTGATCCACTAAAGCACTTGGTTATGAGGTCAGATGTTTGCCTCCTGCAACCATAGCCCTCAAGATTTAAAAGGTTCTTACTGGTTTTGGGTGAGCGGCTTCCGCAAACCTCCACAGACTCATCCCCAGGGGCTGAATCACTCACTTATTTATTTGAGGTCATCTTGAGAACAATGAGAAAGGCCTGAATGTGTTTTTTTTAAATGTCAGCTTTACAGATCTTTACAAATCTTTTGTTCAAAACGAATATGTCATATTTACACATTCCCATGACACACAGGTGACAAGTCTGTTCTCATCTCTAATTGGCTCTAAATAATCTCTGGGGCTGATAAAAAGGTGCTGTAAATGCACAGAGGTACAGATCTTCTGACATTTGTGGAAAGAACACCTTTTACAGGCTTTGCGCTGCAAAATGAAGTTCCTTCTCTTCACGGCGTTTGTGGCATCCATCTCCTGTGTGAGTACCATCTGTATCTGATGTATCTACGCCACTAGACAGAGCTATCTTTTAACGCATCGTCTCCTCATTCATTGCAGGTCAATGCGGGCAAGGTGAGAAACAACCTGTGAATGTCTCATGTTTGAACAATGGTTTTAATTAGATCAGAGTAAGAGAAGACATCTTGTTCTTGCAGACAGCAAGGCTGTTGGCTGCGATGAATGCTGGGATGCTCAATGGGATGATAGCTGGTGGTCTGAACCCATCTTTGGTCGCCGGTGGAGGAGTAGGTCTTCTTGGCCAGCCCCAGTTAGCTCAGGTGAGTTTCTCGGGTTGTTTGGAGTTTATTCAAAGGAAATGAGATGACATCCTTCTCCAATGTGTTTTTACAGTTTGTTCCTGGACTTCCTCCTTTTGCGCTTCGAGCTCCTGTTGCTAATGTCTTCCCTGCTGCAGTCAATCCGGTTTGTGTTACTTTATCTGTGGCAACATAAAACTTGCAACGTTCATTTATATCCTAAACAAAAGCGTCTTTTCTTGTATAGTTCCAGGTTCCTGTTTTTGGTGTTCCCCAAATGGCTCAAATGAATCAGCAGCCTCAGATGGTAACCACCTCTTTCACGTTAGTTCCTGTTAGCATGTCAGAAATCAACACAACCAGCTGATCTGGTGTTTTATTTTGTTTAGGGGATGGCAGGTGGACCAATGCAGCAGCAACCTCTAATGGTAACCACTCACCTCTCTAACAGCTTCACTTTAATTCCTGGAAGCTTTTCCAGAAAAATGACTATCATGAAAATATTTTTGTCTTTGTCCAGGCTATGGCAGGTGGACCAATGCAGCAGCAACCTCTGGTATCAGCTTATTTCTACTCTTCTTTTTAGATTTTTTTTGGTAAAAAAATCATCTAAAATAAGTTTGTTTTCTTTGTTTAGGGGATGGCAGGTGGGATGGCAGGTGGGATGGCAGGTGGGATGGCAGGTGGGATGGCAGGTGGAATGGCAGGTGGGATGGCAGGGGGAGCCATGCAACCACAGGCTCAGATGGTAAATATAAATAACCAAATCACTAAAGGACAGAAATTCCATAACAAACAACAAACAACAAGATGAGGCTTGTTACCTTTGTTTAGGGGATGGCAGGTGGAGTTGGGCAACAGCAGCTTCCAGTTCAGCCTGACCCCCTCAGGAGATTCAGGGTAAGATATTTTAAACAGAACTATCTGGACAACAGAAGAAAATGAAACTGGCTTAAAAATGTCTTTATTTTTTATCCTCAGCGCCAGATCATGAAATCTGCAGAGGCTGTGAAGGCTGGTGTGGACACTCAGGTGAGTCAGTCTAAATGATAAACAAAGATCTAAATGTTTTAGCCTTTTGCTCTAACAAACTCTGTTCCTATGTCCACAGATTCCAACTCCAACTGAGTCAGGAACAACACCGTCTCCATGTGACAACAGCATTAATTAAGTAGATGTTAAAAGATCAGAGTCTTTGTGACACGATGAGACGTGGTTTGACTTTCACATTTATTAAAATTAGCTTATAAATTCACATTTCTAATAAAAAAATGTGATCAGACAATAAAGCTGACTCTTGTCCTCCTTCATACCCGTTTGTAAGTAGATATATGTTTTCATTTGCTTTAATTTCTGTGTGAAGTGCAATAGATCTTTGCTGCCATCTAAAGGAGACATGAAATATTTTCAAACACCTAATAAATATGAACATAATGCAGAATCAAACTCAGACACCTCCCTGTTACATTAGAAAAGGGTTTTGTATGTTTGAAAAAATCTAAAATTTAATTGAAATTGTTATCTTTTCACCAAAGCAAATTGAAACTCTCTTGAATGACAAATAAAACCCCCAATAAGTGGTTTTGTGTGGATTAACAAAATAAAATATGTCCTACTTATATAAATAGTCAGAAGCTTCACAGATGTTATAAATTCAAAATAACCTGAAGCTGGGCCACTCAAAGACTTTTTCAAAGTTTATTCCAATAGCCACCTCTGTGGAATCTGAAACACTGGTGTGTGTGTGTGTGTGTGTGTGTGTGTGTGTGCCTATCTCCAGCAGGCTATGGGCATACATGTCTAATTCAGCCACACTGAAGATTTTTCCAGCATGACTTACATGTTTAGTATCATGAAAGAACCTTTTAACTGACTAGGCCACACTGAAACTTTCCTTCTGATTTTTTGAGCCATTCAGATGTGGGCCTGCTGGTGTCCTTTCACTGTCCTGATGTCCAGACTAAATGTGATTGAGCTTAAAGGGACTTAAAATGATGGATGGACATTCTCTTTCAGGATTTTTTGGCAGAGAGTAGAATTCCCATTAATTACAGCAAACCATGAAAGTCCTGAACCAGCGATGCAGCCCCAGATCATCACATTACCTCCACCATGTTTGACTGTTGGTATCCATGTTCAGGAATGTAATTTGGTTTTAGTTCACATCTAACAGGACACATTCCTTACAAAAAGTTACATTTTTGCCTCATGAGTCCACAGTTCTCCTGTTATGCGTGAGGATTTTAAGTTAAAATAAACATATTTTATTAATCCGAAACAGTTTGAATGCTTGATATGCTCTGATTTTAAAAATAAATCTTCAAAATAAAAAAAATAACCTTCTGATTTTTTCAAATCTCAAAAGTGCCAGAGAACATTAATGATTGATAAGGATAGTGATTTATATATATATATATATATATATATATATATATATATATATATATATTAGCCTTCTCAGTCCACCCATTCATTTTTTCTGTACCCACTTATCTACACAGGGTCGTGGGGGGCCTGTGCCTATCTCCAGCTGTCTCTGGATAAACAGGCGGGGTACACCCTAAACAGATTGCCAGTCAACGTAGAGACACACGTGACAAACAACAGATAAGCTCACACACACACCTAAGGATAATTTAGACGTGAGTGTGTTTTTTGTTTTAAAAAATTTGAATGGGTTGGCTCAGCGGTATTTGTCAGATCTGATTCACCCATGCATTCGGATGCAGCCCTTTCAGTCAGTGTAGCTGGGATTGTTGGCGTCGCCCAAGCACAGACTCAGATCAAGAGGGAGTTGTGCATTTTCAGTACTGGGGCTAAAGCTCTGGAATGAGTTGCCTGCAACTGTGAAGCAGGCTCCTTCGTTCAAAAATTTGAAGAGTTGTCTGAAAACACATTTTTATCCTTTGGCGTTTGCTCACAATGAGCTGTGGTAAGTGGCGGTTGTTGCTCGTGTGCTGGTCCCAACCTTTATGGGGTTTTTTCTTGATCTCTTTTAAATGCTTTTAAATGTTTTCTATGTTTTGATTTCATTGTATTTATTTATTTATTTTTAATCAGATTGTGCTAATTTGTGATGTTTGTTTGTCCCTTGGTCCATGTGAATGTGCTTTACAAATAAATTCACAAGGGTTCAAATAAAGGCAACTGGACTTCTTTGGTCTATTGAAGATGTTTCGCTTCTCATCCGAGGAGCTTTGTCAATTCTGACTGGAATATGGGAGAGTCAATTTTATCAGCTAATGAGCAGAAACTACTCTGAATGCCCCTTATTTCTACCACTGATCAGTTGTTATTCACTATTGTGAGGGAGTTCTTGTGTTGATTATAAATATATATATATATAATATAATATAAACGTATAAATAAACTTGAACTTGAATTTAGAGAGACCAATCAACCTGACAGTCATAATTTTTTGAGCTGCACAATGGTGCAGCACTTCTATTCTATTTTGAAGCTGACAGCCAAGACAGACAAAAACCGAGCCTTTGGTGCCAGTTTGTTCTTACATCCTTCCTTAATTCTGTTCCTTTTACCCAATCCTGTTTTTCAGGACTTTATAATCCCCACCTCATTGTTTAGTTTTTAGTGGCGTGCAATCAATTGTGAGACATAAACATACATAATGAAGCGCTTGCTGCCCTGTTATGACCAGGAAATCCAGACAGCACCCACATCATTTCTTTTTACTTTTCATAACCTTATAAAATAGTTCAAATGTAGCTTTGTTTGGATATGGATGTGTGGTAGATAACTATTTTACATTTTACAAAGACGTGGAACGCTTCAGTTGCACCCTAAATTGTCTTCATTGCTGCTGAAGACAATGTGACTGCAATTCAAACTCACTCACAAACCGCTAAGTCCAGCATGGAAGAGGTTTAAAGATAGTCACAATGTTTCTAATTAAAAATTCTTACCCAGACTCAAAACTCAGGAGGCAAACAGGTAAAACGTGCTTTATTGACAATTAACCAGAAGACACTGCTGTGGCAGGAAGTCTATAAACAAAACCAAACTCAGACTGTAAACAGAGGAATGCAGGAAGAAACTCACACAAAGAAACAAAGAATAACTAAAAACCGCCGCTCATAAACAAAGAATAACTAAAAACCGCCGCTCATAACATCGGGGTGCTGATGACTAATGACTAAAGTCCACCTCTCCTGGGCGGTGGGGGTAGGTACGCTAACTCAGTGCTAATGTTTAACAGTTCAGATGTTACATCGATACTGACAAAGGATGAATACCTCAGCGCAACGCTGACAGAAAATCACTTATTGCTAGAGGATTTTTTTAATGGTGGCAATTATTTGTACAAACTAAAGAAATAACAACTGTAATTATAATAACAACTGTAATTATCTAACCCTTTAGAAATGTTCAGAAGTTTTATCGTAAATACAGCTCAAAGGAGCCAGACCATTTTAGATGTCTCTCATAGCTGCAACCAGGGGAACTGTTGGCTGACACCAGCAGCGTTGATGTGAAGAAGGAAATCTTTACGACTTGGCTTTTCAAGACGACCCCTGAAGTAGCCGAGGCATGGGGGAACTTTTGAGAAGTCACGGAGAAGAGTGTAATAGAGATATTTTCGGGCAGTAGAAGGAAGCTTTTAAGGCTCTCCTGTAGGGTGAGTGAGGATGTGAGCTGAGTAAATTGCTTTGGTTGTTTCCAGTAAGTCCGTTGGCCAGGGCAATGGGATGGATGAGTCTCCAATGCCGGCTGATTCTGGTTCTGGTGTTCATGAACAAGATCTAAAGGCATTGGTATGGAGAAGCTGGTGTTTGGTTTGGGAATCTATGTCTCATTTTTGCTTTCTGTAGATGTGGTTTTGTTGGGTTTTTCAACTTACGGCCATCAGTGTGCACTGGGACAATTCACTACTATATGGAATGCTATCTCAAATGGAGTCTAAATGTCTTGACTTGTTTGTAAGTGATGGTAGGATGGAGTGAGCGATGGACTGATTCATCAGGGCTTCATCAGCAGTTATGAAAGGAAATGACCTTTCTCTGGTAAGTTGCTGGTCTCAGTGTTTAAGTTAAAGTGAGTTATAGTATCCACAGGGAGAACGGAGCAGCACCACTGCTCCTCTTTATCACCAGAGATGGTTCTCACACATGGATGTGACCCACCTTGTCACCTTCCCTTGAAAGTTTTCTACATCCCGCTGTGGGGAGACCCCAAGTTCTTTGCTGCTGCACATGTGTAGTTGCTCTAAAGAAAGATTATCCTTGAGCCACAAAAGAGAAAAAAGGAAACATAGTAGAACATCCATCCATCCATCCATCCATCCATCCATCCATCCATCCATCCACTGTCTTCCACTTATCCAGTCACAGCAGGAGCAGCCTAAACAGAGAGGCCCAGAGTTCCCTTTCCCCAGCCACTTGGACCAGCTCCTTTGGGTAAATCCCAAGGCATTCCCTGGCCAGATGAGAAACATAGTCCCTCCAGCATGTCCTGGGTCTTCCTTTGGGTCTCCTGCCACTTGGACGTGCCTGGAAAACCTAACCAGAGAGGCGTCCTAACCAGATGCCCGAGCCACCTCAGCAGGCTCCTCTTGATGTGGAGGAGAAGCGGATCTAATCCTAGCCCCTCCTTGGGATAAAAAGACAGGAATTTGCAGGACTGAAAGTTTGCAACTTATCACTACCTCATCAATCCCTTGTTAATTTAACCAATCAATCAATCAATCAATCAATCAATCAATCAATCAATCAATCAATCTATCAATCAATCAATCAATACTTTGTTAATCCAAGATGGAAATTAGAGTTTCAGTACACACAATTCAGAGATCAGACATACATTGGCAAGACACATGACAAGAATTGGTGACTGTGGCCATTCACCACCCGAGTCGCGCTACCTTAATAGAGAAAAGGAGTTAAGCGCTCGCCCCGTAATCGGAAGGTTGCAGGCTTGAGCCCCGCTCAGTCTGTCGCTGTCGTTGTGTCCTTGGGCAAGACACTTAACCCATGTTGCCTGCTGGTGGTGGTCGGAGGGACCGGTGGCACCAGTGCTCGGCAGCCTCACCTCTGTCAGTGCGCCCCAGAGCAGCTGTGGCTACATCGTAGCTCATCCCCACCAGTGTGTGAATGGGTGAATGACTGATTGTGTTGTAAAGCGCCTTGGGGGGTTCCAGGACTCTAGAAGGCGCTATATCAAATACAGGCCATTTACCATTTTACCATTTATAAGAGGGTTACATGAGGATTGGTTCAGGTGGAGGGGGAAAAGAGGCACTTCAGAGTTACCCTCCTACCAGGGGGGCAGCTTTGCTCTGCAAAAAAACAACAACAACACGTCAACCGATATGCAACAGACTTCAGACAACACAACATAACATGAGACTCCAATAGGAAGGTGTGTGTGTGTGTGTGTGTGTGTGTGGGGGGGGGGCTGAGATCCTGTTTTCCCCAGCGAGAGCAGCCATCTACGGCGCTCATCTGCTGTAGGTCGGGTTTTCACAGCATCTGTCTGCATTCCTTCGTGGGGGTTTGTTGCTCGCCGCTCAAGGCTACCAGGGCGTCAGATTCAGATAACAAGAATTTGTTTGGGTCAGGCTGAGATAATTTTCCTCTCTGCCTTCAGTCTTTAAACTGATCATTCCAGTCCTTCAGTGAAGCCAATTTTGCGTTTTTTAACCTATCCATACGTCCGGTGACCCTCTCCGAGATGACATCCATTTTGCGCACTAACACCGGTATCGCAGCTAGAACATTGTCCAGCTTACGATTCACCTCGAGTAACGTCCCAGTCTGTGAGGTCTCCACACGGACGGTGCTTTCCGTGGGTGCGGGTCGCCCTCCAATTGCTCCCGTCTTCCCAAATTTCCAGAAAACCAGATATCCTCCCACACCAATCAGGAGAAATCCAGCGATCATCAGGCTGAATATCCACACGTCTTCGACATCCTCAATGGACAGCTGGCTGAGGCATACGATCTTCCACTCCTTCCAGGAATCCAAAATATGCCCCACCGGGTGTGTCCCCTGTGGACATGTGGGAGCCCCCTGCTCCGTTCTCATTGTTGAAAAAATCTTGTCGATCACATTGAATGACCAGTTTATCAAATCCATGGTTAGTAAAAAATAGAGTTTTTCAGAAGAAATGCAGAGAAGCGCTCTGTGGGCAGACAGGACAAAGAGCCTTGGGGAAAAAAGATAAGGGAGCGAAAGAGGGAAGCGTCTGTTCTCCTCGAGTGCCTTGAATTTAACACTCACATTTCCCAGATTTTCAAAATGTTTTCCTAGAGAGGATCCTGAGTACAGATGAGACCCAAATGCTGTCCAAAACATAAAAAATGTGCACAAAAATATCACAGCACCCTAATGCACTTTAAACTAAATTAGGAAATATAATAATGCACAATAACTATTCTTGAAATGAGTTAGTTTACCGTGCTTTATAATTGGAAAACAATTTAGATTTTTTGCAGCCCGTTAAACACCACCATGCCTCTGTCTGATTACCAACTTATGACAAATGTCTGATTCTGCGCTTTCTCAGTCTGCTTTTCCTCTTTTTTCTCCTGACATCCTCACATTCCTGTTGGTTCATGATTTTCCTAATTACACACTAAAGAGTTAACATATGCGCTTAATCTTCATTCAAGAAACCTTCCAAGTCGGGTCTTGCATAAAATTGACACATGCACAGCAAAGAATCGAATGCAAGCAAAAAAAGTGACAATTTGGAGATTTAATTAAGAATCTTTAACAACCCAACATGCAGCATGACTTGATGTTTAGAGACATGACTTATACTTAATGACACACTTAGCAGTCTTGTGTTGTAAGTGTCTGAGTCGGTTGTCATGAGAGACGTCTGTCACTCTGACCACACATTGTCTGAGTGGGCTGTTGGTGGACTATAACAGCTCGGATCCAGCGGATTTAAACCGCATCTGGACGAGGAGGAGACACAGAACCGAGCAGGTAAAGAAGAGAGGAGCAACGTTAAGGTGGAGCACTCTGTTTCAGTAAATGGTTTTCATTCATATTTCATATTAAATCTTTATGTTTCTCTGCAGGACACCATGAAGCTGCAAGTGGTCTTTCTGTTGATCTGTTTGTTCCAGTCAAGCTTCACTTTGCCTGTGAGTTTAAACTTTGAGCTGTGTTATGCACAAAGTTTGCATCCTTTGCCGATAGAATAACTGTTTTTGTGATTGTTCCTTAAAGTTGCAGATTGGACTTATTGCAAGCAACAGCAATGAGGTAAAAACAAAGTAGAATATTTGTTTCTCTGCTGAATCTCATTCATATTTACACAACCCTAACCCTAACCCTTTTATTGATCAGATCCTGAGACTGAATGGGTTAACTCTTGCAGCTCTTGGACAAACGCAGGTACAGGCTGTGCACAAGCACTCGTGCTGTATAGTGGTGGGTTGTGTACACCGCATTTCACTGAAAAAAATAACTCACATTTCCTCCATCTACAGGCATCTTCGTTATTCCCTCAGTATGTTCTGCAGCAGCAGACTCCTGAGGTCCTGCTTACACCACAGGTGGTGAATCTGAACCCTCAAGTTGCAGGTCCATTCGGTCCCCAGGGCCCACAGCTGCTGCTTCCCAATCAGGGCAACCCGCTGACTCCAGTGCTTCTTCCCAACGGGCAGCAGGAGCCGCTCGGGCCTCCACAAGACCCAAACAATCCTAATGTTCCTCAGCAGACCCAAAACACTCCTCAGGTAAGAAACAATAAAGCCAGTGAATGTGTCATTATTTGAAATGTGGCAAGACTGAATAAGCTAATGAGGAATTTAACATCTCCATAGATGTATCCACCCTTTCAGTACCCATCTTTTGGATTTCCTCAGTTTCCCAGGCAGCAGGTACGGAGTCAGACCTTTTGAGCAGATTCCTAAAATATTTTGAATAAAATTTCACTTTTTTTATGTGTTTCTACAGGGTTACCCTTACTTTGTACCACCTTACGTCTACCCCCAGCGGAGGAACCCTATTGTACTGCCTAACAACGGACAGCAGAACCTGGAAAGAACCACTCAAAGACCACAACTCCCACTACAGGTTAGTTTAGCGATCCTTTCAAATTCTGTAAAAAATTTCTGGGCTGAAATTTTTTCTGTAAAATGATCAAAAAAAAAATAGAAGAAGAAGCAGGTAATCTGCAACTGATGAAATGGGGTGGGATTAGGTGAAGGGTTAGGCGCAGCTTCTTCTGGGACAATGACTCAATAGAAGGACTTAATGTTAATAACACAGCTGCGGATGTTGAGCCACGGCGGTGTGGAGGAGGTGAGCATGCTGTAATCATGTCTGGTGTCCAGACTTGTTAAATGTTTTATTAGTGGACGGCTGGTGGCGCTGACCGCTGAAAGAAACGTCTGATTGCACTTGAATTCAAGTTTCTAAGCTCAAGATGCTGCTGATAATATGACATTTTCCTATTTCAGCAGGGCTTTAAGCCAAAGCTTCCAACAGAAAAAGTGAGTTCTCTCCTTTGTTTTGACTTTGTGTCAATAATCTGAGATTACAGTGAGTGGTGTGCAACACTTTGTATCAGAGAATAACTTTCTCCGTGTTTCTTGTCAGACGTGGGCCGCGGGGACACAGAAAGAGTCCACCACCATCCCTCCTGATCCTCGTGGTGACACGACTGGCCCTGGGATTGATGAAGTACAAGTTTAAACATAAACTTTGCATCATTTACATCTTATATCAGTTTTTTTGACGTCATCATTTGTGGAAGCTAATTTTGCCCACTTTAACAGCTGCTTCTCGGTTTGTCTTTTTCTTGTCTCCCTCCAGGCTAACGGCAGCTTCCCTTTCCTGTTCGAGCCTTAGATCTCATCTACAAAATAAAAGCACCAACTGAGGCAAAACTGCATGAATGTGTTTGTCCCAACCTAACTGAAACTTTATTATTACTCCCACAAACATGTTAAATAAATAATTTTGTCAAATGAATAGTATTTGTTTCATTGCAACTTCCCTCTTCAAACATTTTCTTTAATTTCCAAAACAGGATTTACATCTTTAACCCTTTTAAAGACTTTAAAATGATAGTTTAAGGTTTCGAAGACAAACTCAAGCTTATGAGAAGAAAATTAGATGAGAAAATCTGTCAAATATTTAAATTCTGTCTTGGTCTTGTTTTAATTGTTTTTTTTTTTATTTTAATTGTCTTTTATTACTTTTGCTGCCTCTTAGCCAGGACTTCCTTGAAAATTAGGTTTTTAATCTCAGTGTGACATTTCAGTTAAATGAAGAATAAATAACATTTCTGGCAGACAAACACAAAAAAATGATCATTACAAGGAAATCAGTTTCAAATAAATCCTAAATCAGTTGGAAATATGAGTTCAACGGGCAGATTTATTTCAGGTTTCAGTCAAAATAAACAGTTAAAGCTGCTTTAGCAAATTTACAGAACAAGCAAACACTCACCCCTCCCCTCAGGTGTCTTCCCTGTGATGCTTTTGCCAGAGTCGGAAAGCCACACTTCAAGAGGAATAGAGACAGCGCTACACACCAGTCACTGTTATCTAGTTCCAAACGTCTTTTGTTGTCTGTGAATTCAAATGGCGTTTTTCTTTTTGGGACTCTGGTAGTTTATCCTAAAGTTGAAGCGGTAGCAGCTAGCTGTTTCTCCTTCTCTGATATTATTGAGCCGAGAACCTCTCACACCTGTGGTCTTCCGTTGGTAAACACACGAGTGTGTAGTGAGTGGAGGACCCAGTGAAGTGTAGGAGTGCTGCAGTTTGGCGAGACCGGCAGCCGGACTGTCCAATGGTTGCCTTCGGTCTGCAGCATGTCATTGGTTGAGGTTTTTAGACAAATGCTAGAGAAACACTTCATTTTTAGCAATCTTTTCTTATTTCCACAATGTTTTTATAGCTATATGTTAGAACATTGCTAAGAGGTAGGAACATTTATTTAAGCTCACTTGATTTCCAAATTTGCCATTGTAGCTTTAAGAATGCCCCCCCCCCCCCCCCCCCCCCCCATGAACATGACATGGGATAAAGTTTAAATGGCCACATGCATGGGTTGGTCACCCTGAGCCCTGAATCTTACATAGTTCATGTTTAAACACAAACATATTAACACAAATTTGAAGTTTAAAGACATCCTTTTAGCTTTAAAAACCCAGTAGAGAATTAGTTGAAAAATGAAATACTTTGAATCTAAAACTGAAATACTGAAAAGAAAACATGATTGAGCAACAACATAGCAGGTTTTAAACCTTAACTTTGAACACGTTGTGCAGAAACGTCAGCTTTCCTTCTTATGACAGAGGAAAATTATAAAACCCACCGGGTGTTATAGCTTTAAGTAATCCCAGCAACACTAAAGATTAGGTTGCTAAATCCCTACAATTAGGGATTGGTTGTCTTGGACCAATATAATGCAATAATGACATCAGAAATCTTATTTACTCAATCATTAGCAACGCCTAAAAAGTGCAATGGTGGGAATTTACCTGATGGTACCGTTGCTTAACAGCTCAGCTCCTGGTCTTATAAATAAGAGAGATCCAACATTCAGACCAACAATTCAACAAGCTCTCCATCAGAGGAACAGTTTACTGAAGCAGAGAAGACTTGACGGTAAACATTTCCAACAGATGCAGGAGGTTAGCTTTGTTTTTCAGGTGAGACATTTTATTTCTTTTCCCTCCAGCAGGTGAGATCACTACAATCATGCTGAAGGTTGCCCTGGTTCTTGGATGCCTCCTGAGCCTCATTTTGGCTGAAACTGTAAGCGTGACTTCATTATATAACCAATTTTATTACTCTGAATATTTAATGCATATTATATCAAACCTGTTACAGATGGATCATGAGCGCTTTGTCAGCTCTAACGATAAATATCAATCTAAACGTGGACCCAAATTAAGCGAGGTGAGTTCTTTTTATTTATTTTTTTACAACCTAACCAGGTGTAAACACCTGTTGGTGATCGCTTCCTCTGACATTTGCCTAGTGTACGTTTGGTTACGTTGCTCAGTTATTTTTGTATATTTTAAATATAATTTAGAATGTATCCATTCCTTCTGGCAGCCTTTAAAATGCATTTTCATTTAAAAAAGCGAATCCACATCCCTTTCTATGTGAAAGACTCTGCAATACTATTTTTGCACAAAATGTGTTATTCTATGGTCTTTTTGGCATCATTACTATAAGTTTGACAAATTTCTTGCATTCTGCTTTTACATTTAAAGTGTTTTTGCACAACCAAATTACAGAAATAGATTAACAAGTATACAATTATACAGGAAATACTAGATTGAGTGTATTTTATTTTACTTTACATTCTGTTTTCTGAAGTGGGTGCATCAGCGAGTCGCCCGCTCACGCTCTGGTTCCAACTCCGTGGAGAGGGTAAGTGTCTTTTCTGTCCTTCACAACCAAATCACCCAAAATGTCTTTCTCAGAGGTTCCTCTGCAGAGTTCCTGACATTGATGCTATTTTTTCTTGAAGGCCATGGGTCCAAACAACGGTCTGAACAATGGTCTGATTAATGCGCAATACCTGCAGGCTCTTCTAACCTTGCTTCAACAAGCTTTGGCCACAGCTCCAACAACGACTGCAACCACAGCTGCAACTACCACCGTTGCCGGACTGGGATGATAGTTCAGCCCTGGAGTAACCAGGTGGTGTGCATCAGCGGGGTTGGGGGTCTGCGCAGACAGTGACCCAGAGCACATCCACTGGCCATCTGGGATTCCCCATAACTCACAGATTGCCAGTCGGCCTCTGACCACCACTGTTACTGCATCTACCAAATAAAGTTTGAAAATGAAAACCTTTTGCAATCTTTTCTTTAATTCTGCATCACCATAAAGAACATGAACAATGTAGCACCTTCACACTCATTTCAAGTCCAGGGCCCCTCCTTTGTTAAAATTTGAACAAGTTCCTCTGTAAAATACCATACGATGATGAGCCTCTTCCACACACCACTCATCTAAGACTTGCCTGCAAGATGAACTGGAAATTAGATTTTAACATTTGGAGATGATCCTGCTTATGAGTCTATGAGTAGCAAGGAGGTGGAGGAGCTCAGTTATGGCGTCCAGCAAACAGCCTGAGCATTAATGTTTGCCCTTCTTTAAAATGAACTAATAAATCTAAGGAGCTACATTTTCTGGCTGACCTTACATGAGTCACTAACAGGGCCAGCAGAAGTAAAAATGATAACCAATGTCAACATATTATGAGTAAGCTGATAAATACCAGCATAAGTGCTGCTTAGAGCTCCTGGCGCCCTCTATAAAGGCTTGGTGTAGGAACTGTTCGAGAAGGCGGTGCAAAAGGTCGATGGATTTTCAGTGTCCACCAGCAGCATCCTTTCTCCAGAGGGAGTTTATTTCTGCAGAGACAGATCCAGAGCATGAACATTACAGGCCTCACCAAACCAGCTCATTAACTATTTACCCTCTGTCCTTCAAGCAGAAGCCTGAGCAGCCTGAAATCACAGACAGCAAAGTTGACGACCCGTTTCGTTTTTGAGATGCCGTCCAGTTTCCTTATGGTGTAATTTACAATGACTGCAGTTCATGTGCTCATCATCTATGGATATCTGCTCTCACGACAGCACTAAAAGACAAGCTCAGGGGCCTAGTGGTATGGATGTGTGCTCTGAGACTGGGAGATCGGGGTCCAAATTCTGGTCAGGTCACACCGAAGAATTTAAAAATGGGACCCAATGGCTCCCTGCTTGACACTCACATGAAAAGTTGAATATGGAACATGGACACTCTGGCGAGCTCTGGTGTTCAGAGATGGTATTGCAACAACAGGACACATTTTCCAGCCGTTGGGATGTTGGTTCACTGCTGACACGTTCCAGCACCATGTTGAGAGACAAATTGTACAGGATAAGGACTAATTTCTACTAAAGAGTTTATTTTACATCAATATGTACCATTTTACACAGTCCCAACCTTGCCTTGCTGAGTGGACTTTTTAGTGCAACGGTGCCCTCTAGTGGCTGCCAGATGTAAACATAAACCCAGTGTCGTGCCCGACAAAATAAAATTTGAATTCATTATTTATTTAAATATAGCTTTTAAGGGAGTAATTGTACATTCACTCTGCACACCTCTAAATGCCCAGTGAGGTATCATTATAGCTTTTTATTAAAATGCTCCATATTCTAACTTTAAGGGGTTGGATTGGGGGGTTAAATCACCTAAGGGTTCCCAAGCACATCTGCCTCTGCAGCTCACCGCACCCCCAGGGGATGGGTCAAATGTGGAGAACAAATTGACAACTAATGGGACTTTAACTTAACTTTAAAGATTGAAATGTGACATGATATGTTTAAAAATACATCTGTAAAAGTAACGTTAACTATCATTCTCTGTGAACTGATACCGCTGTCAATATTAAAACAAAGTAGGCAGAAATACTGCCACACAGGCTTTATTTTAAATTTGACCAAATGCACCTTGCTGGTTCGTGTATCACTTCCTGTCTGGCTGACATGATTTCTTTAGCTTCATGACAGTCCGTATACTGAGTCCTGAAAAAATTGACTCCATGCTCAAACTTTCTAGAGTTCTGCATCTGGATACTTGTCAGACCGCAACTGGTGTAAATGCTTTGATTGGACTTGATGATTTTTGATCCATGGTGCAAAAGCTGAATGGAAACCAGACCACATTTTTTCCGCATCCTCCGATTTTTCTTTTACTACAGAACAAATTTCATCACGAACTGCAAGGTGTGTTGACAAGATGTTGGTGTCGTCAGGCTGTTGAACAGCTTGTCCCTTCACCTGCAAGCAAACCAAACACGTGGAAATAAAGATATTAATCCTTAAGTAAGGTCACATAGTGATTTACAAATGACAGGACGTCAGGTGCTTTATAAATTAAATAGATAAGTGTATTCATTAAGTTGCATTTATACAAAGAAAATATCTACATTTTCTGTAATTAATAACAAATGAAAAATAACAACTACAACATATCAGTGTGTCAGAGAAACAGACATCTGGTAAACTGCTCCAGGGTGGTGTTGGTGTGGGTGTTACGTCAGAAGAATGCGCTCCAACAGCTTTTAGGGGCGTCAGTAAGTATTTTCTGAGCAACTAGACAGATATAAAGTTATACATGTTTGTGGAGGTTCCTCCAGCCATTTCTCAGTGTTAGTATTTATTTTTTCTACATGCTGGTTTATTATTTCATTTTGTTGCAATATTGTAAGATACTTACTAATGGGTGCACACATTTAGTAATTTATCTTATATATAGTTTATGTGATCATTAACTATTTTCATTTGTATTCTGAGATTGGATGAACTGGCAGAGAGAGGGGACACGCCCAGTGTAACTCCATGCAGGAAGTGGAACATTCCATCTGGCTCCTGGAAGCAGGGAGCTTGATAATGAAGAAACCAGAAACCAGACGTTCTGAAGCTCCATTGAGTTTACCAGATTTTGTTAGGATGTATTAGTTAAACTTTTTTTGTGGTAGTTATACTTTGTTGATTTAGTTTCCTAGGTTTATTTACTGTTTGTCTTAGTGTTTCCCCTGTCTCTCCCCTCCTCGTTGTCTGTAGGCTAGCCTGTGTGCATAAATTCCCCTGTGTGTCTCCAGTGTTGCCAACTCAGCGACTTTGTCACTGTTCCTAACGACTTTTTGACCCCCCTCAACGGCTTTTTTTTTCCCAAAAAGCGCCTAGCGACAAACTTAGCGACATTTCTCAGGACCCGCTGCTACTTTCTGTAGAACTTTCATGTAGATATTCCACACAGATTAGCAACAAAGAAACCATTTGCACTCTGAACCGTTCTTCCGGGAGAAGAGAGAACGATAATCTGCACATGTGCAGGATTGACCAATCATAAACCATTTTCGGCCGGGCCGATCTGCTGAAGACAGAGTACAGCTGCTTTCATATTGCTGCAGGCTCACGCTTCTACTAGAGACGGCGCGGGCGTCAACCTGCGATCTCTGGTTCTGCAGCCGTCAGACACTTTGGCTTTTCCTGCATTTGGCAAATACAGTCATCGGGAGTTTCAACTACCGTCCCGTTTACACACGCAGCTCTGTGGCTCATCTGAATTTCCTTCAGTGACACAGGGATGGTTCTACTATGAGACACGCGCTCCCTTTTGCTCGGTGCGCCGTTATTATGACGATGGAGAGAATACACAACAGAGCAGTTTTAGAAACTATGAGGTGTAAAAAAACAGCTTTTTAGGAAAATGTCTGTGAGAATGAGGAGAGCAGGAGGTCTGAGTTATATCCTACAACAGAACTGTTTGGATCACCACACCATATCTGTCTTAATGTCACTTTATTAATACTTTTGGAATTTATTGTACATATCAAAGCAATTTGGGCCATTTTAATCATACTAATTAATAACTGTAACATATAACATAGTTTTTATTTTCCTCCCTTTTAGTCCTTATATATATATATATATATATATATATATATATTAGATGCTATGGGGAAAACGAACGCTAATGTGGCGTGATGACGTCATCAATATGTAAAGTAGCACGTGACGTCATCTGGCGACATCCAGTGACTTTTGGGGGGAACTTCAGCTACTTTCAGTCAAAAACAGTTGGCAACACTGTCTCAGTTTTAGGAGAGTGTTGCTTGTTACTTTTAGTTAAGGTTATTTTTGTGGCCATTTTTTCCTTTGGGCCCGGTTTTTGTTTTGACTTTGTTTCATTCTTTATGAAATAAATGGAGAAGATATTCTTTTTATACTACTGTCCTGGAGTTTTACTGCTCGGTCCCTGACAATGTTCATGTACAATATCAAACATAGTAAATAAGTAAGTGATACATTATTCATATAGCACCTTTCAAGACAATATTGTTACAATGTACATATAACAGAACAGAACTGAATAGAATAAAACAGAATCGACTCGATTAATCCCACAGTAGAGAAATTCACTCGTTTACAGCAGCACATACACTTAGGGGAAAAGGAAGAAGAAAAACAATAACAAGATTACAGGTAAACACACAAGGACAGTAAGCTATTATTGTAACCTTCAACCAATAAAAACAATGCATGAAAAGGAAACGTGTGTTTTCTACACTACGCAGCATAAGGGACACGGACATATTCATGTACCTTTCTGGTATTGCACAATATTGAACACATACTGAGTATTGCGTTGTTGTCATTGTGTAACATGATAATGCCAGTACCAGTTCAACTGAGGAGTTACACATTCTTACTGCAGAGGGGATGAATGACCTACGGTAGCGTTCTGTTTTACATCTGGGATGTCTCAGTCTGCCTCTGAAGCATGCCGTCCATTTTGTCCACAGTGAGATACAGAGGGTGGAAGGGGTTTTCCAAGATAGAAGTCATCTTCACCACCATCCTCCTTTCACACATACACAAATTCACGCAATAAAAGTGTATTATCCTACAAATCAGAAAGTTAAGGGTTACACGTCTCATATAGCAAAAGGAAAAGGTGAAGAAGACAAAATAGCTCTGTATACATAGCAATCAAACAAAGTTTGTATTTACAGAAAATGTACAAAAATGTATAAAAATATGCCACAATGTATAGACATGTACATATATATGTACTCAGGTGTGGGGTGTGTGTGAATGATCCTGCAGTAGACACCATACCACCAAGCTACACATGAGTAAAAGCAGTTTAACAGATAATGTCAATTAAATGGGTGATGTGTAAATTTAAAATTCATCATTCCACATCTTTTGGTTCAACCAAAAGCCTAAATATTATTCTCTTTGTACTTAATCTAACTTCTTCAGACTGAGAGAACGCTTCACCAGTCAGGACAACAACTGAGCTAAAACTCTAAAATCTCACTTATCGGTGCAACAAACCCACAAAATCTTGAACAATGTTTACCGCCGCTGTGTCAAAACTATTTGCACATGACGGCACCAGGAAAGATTTACGGCATATTTTACCATCTACCTATTTTTTTTATTATCTTTCATGAATTTCATGATATATTTGTATTTTGATTAATGATCATTGTATGATTTTGTGACTTTACTATTTTATCTAAAACTGATTTTTAACAGTTTTTTGGTTTCTGACTTTATCTTTCATTTTTATTTTATGATTTTGTTGTTTAGTTTGTGATCAATTTATTGCTTTATGATTTGTTTTGATAATCATTGTGATATTTCTTTCTAATATGTGTGGTATAAATAAACTTTACTAATACTAACATTTTTCTTCATATTTCAGTGTCAGTAAAGGATATCAGTGACTGCTTCCTGGAAAATTCTTCCTCTTCTTCTTCTTCTTCTTCTTCTTCTTATTATTATTATTATTATTATCATCATCAGTGATACACAGGTTGTAAAGAATTTTTAATAATAAAATCAAAGGAAATGTGAAATAAGCTTTCTGCTTCTTTTTAGGATTAATCCATCAGTAATGGAAATGTGCTGTATGGTTTAAATTTTTTTAAAGCATTGCATAAACAAAACAAACAAAAACAAAAGGAAAAAACAGAAGTAAAAGTTAAAAATTAAAATTTACATCTGGGAAAAAAAGGTAAAAGTTAAAAATTTTAAAATATCCAGAATAAATATTACATTTACTTTCTGTCATGCATCGCAGTGAAAATGCTTCAGAGATATTTTCATTCATTTAATCAATGGCTGAACATTTAAAATGATGCTGATTATAAACATGATTACATTTAAATTAGGATGGCTGTGTGAACCAAGTCTCACTCCTGTGTAAAGAGCCATAATGCAATTCTCAGAAATGTTCCAGCGTGTTAGTCACTCTGAAATAGGTTCAGAACAAGTTACTTCACATGTTGTTGGCTAAGTCTGTCTAATTAATTTTGTTTTCTCTGCCTGGTAACAAAACATGATGATGACAATCTGACTACCGACGACTAAATACAACTCCAGCTTTGAAATGCTGTCCCATCGTTATGTGACCCAAATTATGCTCATTTATCAGTGCTGTTGCTTTCTTTGTAATCACAGGATCAGTTGTGCTTAATAAGCTACATCTGTTTACAGATTTGATCATACTAAGGGATGGAAAAAGAGCCAACCTAATCAAATGCGTGTGTTTTCAATAGTTCATCAATATGATTGAAGGGTAAAAATGTATTTACTGTTCTTGATGAAGAGCTTGTTATAAAGTTCAACAAACTTACATCCTCCTGTCCAGGTGTGGTTTCTGTTGATAAACATTAGCCAGACACTGAAATCCAAAGGTGGAAAATCTCTTAATGCGAGCAGTTTCCCAACACTTCAGCTCATGTACTATATATAAGAGACGTCCGACACTCACAGCGGCATCACAACTTCCACATCCAATTGTGAAGCAGTTACCTGAGGCTGAGACTACTTGAAGGTAAAGACTTTGAATGGATGCTAGAACTTTTCAATTAGGTTTAAAAGTAAGTTTACCGAAGGCAAATGATTTCTCTTTGATTCCAGACGGAGAGATGTCGCTGAAGGTTGCACTCGTTCTTGGCTGCCTCCTAAGCCTCATTGTGGCTGAACCTGTAAGTCAGACTTCATCACAAAACATACTCCTCCTCAGCTGAAAGACACATTTATTTAGCTAGAGTTCTGGACAAGCTGTAATTTATTATTAATAATAATAATAATAATAATAAACACTAAATTACTTTAATTTAACATTTATTTGTTTGTTTATTTCAGACATGAACTTGTAAAATCTCATGTTTTGTCTCTATAACTTTGTCTCTTTTGATTAAATGTACTCCTTGCAAGGCTTGGATCCTTCAGGACATTTCGGCAAAAATGATGAAGTTTAGGCATAAAAGTGAAACACTTCATAATTACAATCACTGCTTATTTAATTGCTCATATTTATTTGTCCTACTAACCCCTTTTTGCATACTTTTCAATTTTTAGAATACTGTCCAGATTAAGGACAAATACCCAACTTAGATTAACAAGTAAAACTGATGTGGTAACACAAAATTGGTTCATGCTTCCTGCAAAGAATAAAACTTTCAACTGTTGCGTTTTTACAGATGAAGCACCAGATGGAGCACCAACTAGAGTACGAGGTGGAGGACCAGATGGAGGACCCGGTTGAGGACCTGGTGGAGGACCAGATGGAGGACCCGGTTGAGGACCTGGTGGAGGACCAGATGGGGCATCAGCGAGTTGCTCGCTCACGAGAGCGGGTGAGTGTCCTGTCCTCTGATATCAACCCACAAAAGAACCTTTTACACTCCTAACTTCATGAGTCACCAGTTGTGTCTCTGACAATATTTCTGTTTTTCTTCAAGGGTTTTGGTATGGGCATGGGTATGGGGAACCGTTTTGGTTCCTTGCTCAATCTGATCAATTTAATAAAACTCATTAAGATGACTCGGACTACAACCACGGCTGCCACAACCACCACTACGGTTCCAACTACAACTACTACTGCAACCACCACTACGGTTCCAACTACGACTACTACTGCAACTACAACTACGGTAGCCACTACAACTACGGTTCCAACTACAACTACTACAGCAACTACAACCGTGCCAACGACTACTACCGTCAAAGCTGCAACATAAAGTCTTAAATGGAACAAACCGCCAACCAGTGGAGTCATGACATCAACACTATATTTTACATGTGTTACATGCGCTTTCTCTTCAGTTTTAAATAGTGTTGTCTTAATCTGAGGTTTTCCACGACAATCATACTGGTTGTTCCAAATGTGGTTAAAAAAATATTGTTGAATGTATCTAGCAAATAAAAATTCTAAGTGGAATGTTTTGCGGACTTCCTTTTTTAAAAATCTGTAGCTTTATTTCCGTTAGAAATTCACTTTAATCTTGAAAAATGGTTTGGGTGAAATAATCCAGTATGGAGTAAAAAAAATTGCAACAAAACCAAGAACGTAAACTAGAACTGAGCACATCACTCCTGTTCTCTACACTGGCTACCAGTAAACTACAGAGTTGATTTCAAAGTGCTTCTACTGGTTTATAAATCTCTCCATGGCTTGGGACCAAAATACATGTCAGATCTCCTTGCAGCGGGGGAGGCAACTCCGGTCCTACAAAGTCACGATCCAGCATGCTTTACAGGTTTCTCTGCTTCAAAGCACCTGATTTTATTCAACAGGTGATTAACAGGCTTCAGCAAAGCTTCATGCGTTGCTGAAAAGGTGAATGAAGCAGGGAAACAATTAAAACATGCTGAATAGTGGTTATCTAGGACCAGGACTGCCTTATACGCCCAGCAGAGCTCTGAGATCCTTAGGAAACGGTCAGCTTATACTCTGGGTCAGAACCAAACAGGGTGAAGTTGCATTTAGCTAATGCGCTGCACATAGATGGAATCAGCGTCCTCGTGACCTCAAATGTGGCCCAACTCTAGTAACCTTTTATCTGATTCTTAAATCTGAATTTAATTTGTGCATTTAATCTGATGTATATTTATTTGTGTATTTTAATCTGGCTGTTCTTGCTCCTTAAAAAGCACATTGAATTACCGTTGAAAAGTTAGGTAATTTTTAAAACGAAAGACTATTGCAGCAATACGATATCCTATTTGTTCAAATCATGTCACCTAATGGCTTCTTTATTCCCACTTTTGAGAAGTGCAACAGTGTGTTTTTCATGGCTTTAATCCTGGCAGTGGAGAGGAACATTTTACACAGCATCAAACAGTGATATAAAATGCGATCTCCATCTTCTTATTGGTTAAATGGTGGGTGACGTAAGCAAACTGTGACCTTTGCCGTCTCGAGGAATTTTGTGATCTCGCAAGTCCAGTGAGGAGGACAGGGAAGGTTTCACGCCGCGTCTGAGATTCTCCACGGTGCGGATTGATGCGCCGCAAAAAAATGCGGGTACTGTACTTATATCGCATCAACTGAAAATCTGTCTAAATACTTTAAACGTACAGTGTAATAACAGCGAAGAATGCAAGTAAACTGTCTTGCTGCCGTTCCGCACCACTGATGCCCCCAGTGTGGTTTCCGGGTCAGCTGCAAAGAAAATAAAAACAAAACACGAGAATAAAAATGATTCAGTGAGCCTTAAAATAAACCACACACACTCACATTGGCACATCAAAATAATAGATTGAGTCCAAAGTGACATACATGCATGTTTGGGGACACACCCATGCAAAAAGCATGGTTGTATCGTGTTAAACCACACACATCACACATGTTCTTCAGGTAAGAATCATAGCTTGATATGGTTGAACCTGCTTCCCCTTCAGGTGAATCAGTCGGGGCAAAAGTAATCACAGTTCCTCAGAAGCAAAGAGCAAATTCTGCAATAAGGTGGAACATGCAAAGCAGAGTATTCTAGAAGGTTAAACAGGAACTTCAAAAGGGCAAACAGTGGCAGTGTGGATAAGATTACTAGGAATTTGCATGTAGCCTCTTAACAGTGGTGCTTACAGCAAACCTGGCTCAGATTCTGCAACACTAGAGCAAGTTAAAGCAAAGCTTGGGCATCTCCTGTTCTATTTACTAATGCCGCTGTGACTTGAAATGACTAAATCTATGAGCACTGCCTTTGTCTGCTGTTTGTCAACCACCACGATGTCTGATTGGTTAGCCATCACCTGTTTTTCAGTTTGGATTAGAAACTCCTACAGTACACTGTAGCTATTTTTTGAATCAGCCATAAAAGAGACACCCACTTTGATTGTGGGACCTCCAGGCCATACTTGGCTTACATGTCCATGTACACTATCCCTGCACGTAGTTTTGGTCTTAGCCACGCTTTGCATCACCCTGTACACACATAGCTAGGTAAGCCACGAAATGAAAATGTTTTTTCTATGATCTGGCCCATCATCCTCATGAAAGTGAAGATGAACAACACCAAAAACGATTCTTTCCAAAACCTCCGACCAAAGGGGAGATTTAAGAATTCTCCAATTTCAGCATTTGCTTGTGGACGTAAATTTACGAGGTTTGTTGTAATGTCACTGCCCGGGACAAAAATGCTCTGACATCACATGTACAACCTGTTTTTACTATGTAGAAGACCACAGGTGAAAGAAGATGTTAGGGGTGGTTAATGTTGCCACTTAGTTTTTCAGCAAGGATGCTGATGATTTGGGGAGCCACTGCCATTTATACCTTTGGGCAGCCGTAGCCCAGGAGGTGGAACGGGTTGCCCAGTAATCAGAGGGCAGCAGGATCGATCCCGGCTCCCGGCAGAGAATGCTGCTGTTGATGGTGGTGGTTGGAGCAAGGCCGGATTATAATACGGACAAACTGGGCACAGGACCAGGGGCCCACAGCCACAAGGGGGCCCACGCGAGCTGCAGTCTTTTTTATTTTTATTTTTTTGTGCAGCAGTCAAAGTTGGAGAAAAAAGTTGACAAGTAATTAAAATTGCACCCATGTTTTCTAAGTTAACACAATTCTTTTAACAATGGTAGATTTTGCATCTTTACTCCACCCCCCCACCCCCGGCCGCAAACTCACTGGTGCGCCTGCAAACTCTCAGAGTTCCTGCTGCTCTAAACATTGTATATGCTCCCCTTAGGCTCTATTTTTGAGAAGTATAAAATAATTTTTCACTGTTTCGCTGATGACCTTCAGATCTTTTTGCCACTTATTGATGCCAGGTCAATTGGCTCATTACTGGAGTGCTCAAAATGTGTCAAACATTAATTTTCTTAAGATCAACAACCAAAAAAACTGAAATTTTACTGTGTCGCAGTCCTAAACAACGCTGTTGGTCCTCTTGGTCCTTGTTCTGGTTTTCTAAAGCCCTGTGTTAAAAACCTTGGTGTGGTTTTAGACGTTTTTTTTAATCTTCACAGACAGGTGAGTGCAGTGGTCCAATCAGGTTTTAATCATTTAAGGCAGATAGCAAAGGTGAAGCCATACCTTCCTGCTAATGTCCTCGAACATGTCACCCACCTGCTCGTGTCTTGCCGATTGGATTACTGCAACTCCCTGTATTCTGGCCTGGACCAGTCCTCCCCACACCGTCAGCTGGTCCAAAACGCAGCGGCCCGCTTGCTGGTGCCAGTCAGCAAGCGGGACCACATATCTCCAGGTCTGGCCTCTCTCCATTGGCTTCCTGTCTCTTACAGGATCCATTTCAAAATTTAACTTTTTGTTTGTAAACCCCTTCATGGCCTGGCCCCAGTTTACATCTCTGAGCTGTTGTCCGTTTACGGCACTGCCTGAACCATGAGGTCCAGCTCTCAAGCTCTTTTAACAGTTCCAAAAACCCGCCACAAGACTCGCGGCGACAGAGCTTTCTCTGTGGTTGGTCCTAAACTGTGGAACAAGCTACCTCTCGACATCAGGACCACACAGAATCTAGAGCATTTTAAATCCCTTCTTAAGACACATTTTTTTAATCTGCTTTTAATGCAGGTTGACTTGAGCATCATAATAGTTTAACAGTTATTATTATAGATTGTGACTGTTGTGTGCTCATCTTATTTTAGGTTTTTATTGTTGATTTGTTTTACCTTGTACAGCGCTTTGGGTGTAGCTTTGCTGCTGTAAATGCGCTCTATAAATAAAACTGACCTTGACCTTGAAAGAATCATTTCATTTTCTGTTCCTCACTTCTGATTATTTTCAGTGGTGTCTGTTTGTTGCAACCACCAGGTACAATAACTAACTTGTTTTTATTTGACTATTTATCAGTCCTGTCTCTATTATCGTCCTGCATCTCCTCTCAATCCTAAAGAAAAATACCTGGCTTCAAATTTTTTCACCTTATGAGTTTCCTTTAAATTGCAGTTAAAAATGATCTATCAACTGAAAAAAATTGTGGGAGAGCGCGCTGCGCGCACCAGTGAGGTGAACTCACCGGAGGACGAAACAGGTGATGCGCTCCGCAGCAGCGAAACACATCCGGCACAAATAAACGACAGAAAGCATGAAAGGAAATGAGCCGACATGAACGATCGCGTGTTGGGGGTGGGGGCAGCTGTGGCTACATTGTAGCTCATCACTACCAGGGTGTGAATGTGTGTGTGTGTGTGTGTGTGTGTGTGTGTGTGTGTGTGTGTGTGTGTGTGTGTGAATGTGTGTGTGTGTGTGTGTGTGTGTGTGTGTGTGTGTGTGTGTGTGTGTGTGTGTGTGTGTGTGTGTGTGTGTGTGTGTGTGTGTGTGTGTGTGTGTGTGCATGCATTGGTGAATGACTGGTTGTGTTGTGAGCACCTTGGGGTTCTTGGACTCAGGAGGGGGCTTTTTCAAAAACAGGCCATTTACAAGCTTTGAATGCTGATGAATGCGCTTCACAATGCACTGGATTTGTTTATTTATATTTATGCTGAAAACGAGGTGGTGTGGGCCCAAATTTGTTTGGTAACACTTTACAGTGAGGGTCCCTTTATTAAAGCTACTTGGTGCGTTATTAAGCATTGATTAATTATTAAATAAAGTTTAACAACAGCTTTATATTAATGTTGCTACTAAGTAATGAATAACTAAACCGACACTTCCCTGGCCCTTTGTGCTAACTTTAAGGACATATAGGAATATATTATTACTACTGTAAAGTGTTACCTTTGTTTCCTAGTTGGACAGGGGAAGGATATTCAGTTTTACATAAACTGACTACAAGAACATGGCCTAACTAAAACCTATTACAAGATGGATTGTCTCAGGAGCATCTCTAGAAACCTGAATCAGGTATTGAAGACCCTTAAAGGAGTTCCCCATTTTATGCCTTTATTGATTTTAAGCTAGCGTGATTAGCGCCTCTGAAACAATGTCGCTTTCTTTAGCCAAAAGGAGGACGCAGGCCCTCACCGCACTAGAGAACTTCCAGAAAACCCTAAAAATGCAAATTTTAGAAACTGAAAAATACATAATACTAACAAACTTTTATTGATTCAGATACTTAATCTTCTGTTTTTTTGGCAACGTGACCACATCCACTGGTCTCTTTGTTCCCATATTTTTCTGGACCTGTTTGGAAACCTAGTTGGGTAAGACTCACAGGTGTGCCTTCTTATGTAATTATTTTGCTGACTTTTGTTTTTGTCAACAACCACAAAATGATTTCAAGTGGGAACAAAAATAAAAAATAAAAATACATAGAAATGCCATTAAGTCATGACAGTGGATGAAACTCTTGTAAGAGCACAAGCCATTAGTCCAAAACTTGAGAAGTTATGCAGAAATATCAGCTAATGCATCCAACCACAATGGATAAAATGATTTGTCACACTGAAGCGTAACAAGTTGATTTGCCTTCCAGGCGTGGTATCTGTGTCAAAACACTCTGAAGGGTGAAGATGGAAAATCTTTTAATGCATGCCGTTTCCCAACAGTCAGGTTGCAAGTACTATATATATGAGACGTCCAGCATTCAAACCAACATGAAAACAACATCCTGGTCCTCTTGACCCTTGACAGTTCACTGAAGCCAAACAGACTCAACGGTATGTATATTATTTTATATATATTATTTTATTTACTTGAACCTGAATGTTCACTTCAATTTCTTTTGGTCTTTGCAGCTGAGATCACTGCCATGATGCTGAAGGTTCTGCTTGTTCTTGGATGCTTCCTTTGCCTCACTATGGCTAAACCTGTAAGTTTGACTTTACCATAGTAAATGTTAAGAGATTATTTGGCAAAATAAATAAATAAATAAATAAACCTCCTGAAAAATCAGGTTGTGTCAACAAATATAAGCAAGTTTTTAAAACCACCATCATTTACATGATGACTTTTATGTTTGTTTTATTGCAAACATAACAAACTGGTGACATTTAAGTTTTTTTTTCTCAAATGATTTCTCATACTTATTAAAATACATGATTTGCCAGCAACAAATTCCAGAAATGGTCCGTGCAAAAGATCAGCAACACTGGATAAAATGCAGAATAGATTTTATCATACATTTTCAATACAATGACAATGTCTAAAGTTTGCACAGTCACTGAGAGAAATAAAGATCATGGTAAAAAGGGATTCATCATCTCTATGTTTACATCCTTTCAAAATGTTTGAAGTTTTTCATTATGAATGTTTGCTTTCATGACTGAAACAAAATCCTTGCAGATCCCGTTTAACATCTTGTGTTTTCCACAGCTGGAACACGAGCGATTTGCCCGATCCAACTCCGGGGAGAGGGTACATGTTCTTTCCGTCTCTTAATCTCAAATCAGGATGTCACTTTTACTGTATAATTCCAGAAGGTCATTTGTCTTGTGTCTTACAATGTTCTTTTTATTTTCTATGAAACAGTGGAACAGGAATATGGTGAGTAAGAATTTATTAGATGCAAATATAAAAACATTTTTGACACCACATGTCTCTTCGTCATGCTAGTCACTTGTATTGCATAATTCCTGAAGGGCTGTTGCTTTGTGTCTTACAATGTTTTTTTTTTATTTTCTATGAAGCAGTGGGGCTGGAACCCTCAGGTGAGTAAGAATTTATTAGATGCAAATAAAATAAAAAAACTAAAAAATTTTACACCACGTGTGTAGCTGTATGATTCCTGAGGCTCCTCTGCCTTGTGTCTCACAATGTTTATTTATTTTTTTTTTTCAGTTCATGGGGGATTCACAGATGTTGCAGTACTTTCTACTTTTACAACAACTACTAACTACAGCTGCTCCAGCAGGAAAATAAAATCTGAAATTGAGCAAGAATAAATGAAAAAATAAAAGCACTCTGTGTTTGTTTCAGCTCTGTTATTCATGTGTAAACTGTTCTGTTTCCTGTCTCCTAAATTCATATAATATTGTTCTACTTGATTGTGTTTACTCTAACTTTAACATTTCTAAAAACACGCATGAAGATTCCCTCTTGCATGTAGATTTAGATGAATAAAATTAAAAAGTGAAAAAAAAAAGAAACATGGACTCTTTCTGTTTTCAAAATTTAAGGTTTAATTTGGAAATCAATAAAATGATGAATTAACCCTTTGATGCATAATGGTCACTACAGTGGACAGGTACTCAAAATTGTTATTTATTTATTTTTTGTTATTAAGCACAGCTGTTGAAGACTTGATTGCATTTGAGCCCCTCCATTTGGCCTTCAGTAAGTCAAGCCAACATATTTCATGTTCAGAATGCACGCTGTCCACTGAGGTGGGCATGTAATAAATTATTTGTAAATTATTAAATGTTACAAAAAATATTTGTTGAAATTTGTTTCATTCACACCTAAAGATGAATGAAAAAAAAATCATTGAAGATTTCATAATTCATGCATCAAAGGGATAAATGTTACTCTGAATCATTGTAACTGTTTTAATTACACTGATCACATAACTAAATATTTCATTTTTCAAGCGTGACATTTTGTAATTCCTTTGTATATTTTCCTTTGTATATTATTTTCACATTCACAGACGTGAACAGCTGTGTTACTGCTGACCTTTCGGCCAATCTAATGGTTCAAAATCCAAATGATCAAAGTAGTTCACTTCCTGCTGAATATGAATGTCATAAAAACTGAATAGAAATGAGCAACAGAAGTTGCACAAGAGCAAGCTTAATGGGTCTTGTACAGTGGCGGCTGGTGAAAAATATTTTTGGTGGGGCTGTGCTATTTCTTTTTAAACAAGCTTGTGCTTTCTGAGCTTTGTGCACAACTTCACTATTTCCTGAATTAAGCACAGCTCTTTTATTTCCTGTCTTACATCACTGGACAAACTGATTAATCCAGGTGTGTCTGACTATTGGCACGCTGCCTTGCGGACCAAGGTTGAAAAATACTGCATTACTGTAAATTGCACATAAAATAACATGACCATAAATGGTAAATAGGCAATGCAAGAGGCAAGTAACAAAAACATTTTGTTTAATTTCAACATTTGAGTGAACACCAAAAATTATGAGCAGGTCACTGTTACAGTAATGTTAGTAAACACTACTTAGACAAAACGCCAGAAATTTACACTGTTAGGACTTATGGAAAGTCGAAACACTTTCATAGGAAATAATGTCATCAGTATCCTCTTACAAATGTCATATTTCCCACTTTTTGGGACAATAAAACATTTCTGGTTCTCAATGAGATGTTTTTACTTCAAATGTAAAAACATCTCATTGAGAATCAGAAATGTTTTATTGTCCCAAAAGCTGGGAAATTTGTTTGCTGCAGCAGAAGTGTAACAAGTAAAATGGAATCAGATTGATGTATGTACAAATTTACTTGAAATACACATTTACATGATTAAATATGTATAATAGGTATGTGTGTTGAAATTAGTTTTTACAGTTATTGCACATTAAACAATGTACATGTTATTAAACAAATGTCCCGGTTTGTGGGACAACCAAGGATTTCTGATTCTGATTGTCTTGTTCACAGAAATGTAATGTACAGCTTACCTCTGCACCCAGCTGCTGCTGTTCTCCCTGTCCAAACGTCCTCCGTTTCTTTGTTGGCTGCTGCACTGATGCGCTGCATTCCTCAGTCAGAGAATGAATGGAGTCCCTAATGAGACACAAGTTCCACATCCACATTACTGTGGATCCCAGCCGTTTTGAATAACAAACACAGAAAGCAAAATAACGCATTAGCGTGATTGCATCCAGCTAGCCAAGCCTTCCTGGTGTACCAATTTTGGGAGAAGCGTCGTGTGTACAGTTTACCCTTCTCCTTGTCCTGCTGGCTTATCTTTACATCAGGCTGATCTGGTCCAAGCTCTTTGACATTAAGTTTTTCCACCATAGTTCTCCTCTCGAACGGATACTGGAGAAGAGACCGAACTGAATTCAGTGGCTGCTGAGATCCGGTATCCTGATTGTAGGCTCTGCGTCACGACCAAAAACGTGCTGGAGTAGTCGAGACTTCCGAGTTCTACCGAACTCCAACGAAAGCCTTTGGCGGTAGCTCTATCGCCCATCATGCTTCTGAAACAACGTCGACGCTGATTGGATACATTCCCATTCCTACCGTTTGACTTTCTTGTCAGCAATTGGTCGGCTGGTGCCGTCCTGTTTGGGCGATTGAAACACAGTCCACAGCCTTTCTGTCGCCTCCACAGCTCGGCAGAGACCAATATATATATATATGATTTGTTTTTGTTACAAAACACACAATTAACTTAGAATATGTGATTATTGTTAATTGTATTTATTTAATTTTTTAAAATAAAAATTAAAAACGCTGGGGAAAACTGGGAGGGCGGCACCCTATCGCCCTCTACTGGCCAGCCGCCACTGGTCTTGTACTTGTTCCACCTGTCACGATCTGCCCCTGCCTTCCTGACTGTGTCTCTCTCCTGCCCTGATTAGCCCTTATTGTTCTCACCTGCCCCTCGTTAACCTGCCCATGTGTTCCTAATTTTCCCTGTGTAGTTATACCTCCCTTCTTGTACCAGTCTTCGTCGGATCATTGTATGTGCATGTGCTTGTTTTGTCCTGTCGCTCCCATTCCACCATTAAAACCATTTTTATTTTTCATCCGTGCCTGCTCTCCTGCCTCCTGAACTCTCCACCGTACATAGTCTACCATCTCCACTCCTCCCAACATGACAGAATGATCCGACCAACCTGGACCTGTGGTGAGCGTTACATTCTGTTCTGGAGGATTATTTTTATCTTTTTCTCCCGTTTCAGCGGAGGGAGATTTCGGCCTGGAGTTTTGTTTTTCGGCGCATCCTACCTCTTCTCGGGGTGGTCGAGCCCTCTGGGAGATCCTGGCGCATCCTATCTGTTTTCGGGGTGGTTGGGGTCATTCTCCTCTCCTGATGTTTTGCCCCATCCTGTTTTTCACAGAAGCGGCTGTTTCCTGGAGCTTTTTGATGGAGGTAAAACTCCCTACGAACGCCAACATTCTACGGGGTGGTAGGGCTGGTCTTCCTGTTCCATGTCTGCTTCCCTTCACCCGAGCCTCCGCATGTGGATCCAGTCGAGTCGTGATGTGCACCTGCTCACTGTTGTCGAGTATCTGCTGCCGTTCCTGGTTTCCTCGCGTCGCTCCTGCTGTTCTTCCTTCTTCCTGGTCCACGACTGCAGGGTCTATGCCTGCAGGTCCTCCATGCTGCGGTCTCTGCTGGGTCCCACACCTGCTGCTGCAGTCTCTGCTGGGTTCCACGCCTGCTCCTGCAGTCTCTACTGGCTCCCACGCCCGGCTGCTGCAGTTTTTGTGTTTCTGTGTCAAGTCAAAGAGTTCCTGTGTCCCGAGTCAAAGAGTTCCTGTGTCCCGAGTCAAAGAGTTCCTGTGTCCCGAGTCAAAGAGTTCCTGTGTCCCGAGTCAAAGAGTTCCTGTGTCCCGAGTCAAAGAGCTCCTGTGTCCCGAGTCAAGAGTTCGTGTTCCCAAGTCCGAGTTTCCTGGTCCTAGCTCAAGAGACCCTCGTAAGCCGGAGTTGTGCCGCCTAACTGAGAGGCCCCTGCTCTGCAACCCCGGACTGAGTCAAGTGTTCCTGTTCCCATGTCTCGTGTTTCCCGTGTCCCCGAGTCCAGTGTTCTGGTGTTCCCTAGTCTCCTGTGTTATGTGGCCTTGTGGGCGTCTGGTATCCACCCCTTGGGGGGTGGGGTGGGGGTGGGGGTACTGTCACGATCTGCCCCTGCCTTCCTGACTGTGTCTCTCTCCTGCCCTGATTAGTCCTTATTGTTCTCACCTGCCACTCTTTAACCTGCTCATGTGTTCCCAATTTTCCCTGTGTATTTATACCTCCCTCCTTGTACCAGTCTTCGTCGGATCATTGTATGTGCATGTGCTTGTTTTGTCCTGTCGCTCCCGTTCCACCATTAAAACCATTTTTATTTTTCATCCGTGCCATCTCTGGTGTCTCCTGAACTCTCCACCATACATGGTCTACCATCTCCACTCCTCCCAACATGACACCACCAAGTCATGTCATTTGCAATTTAAAGGTCTGTTTTTTAGATTTAACTTGGAGCTTTGTCAAAACAAACAGTGGAAACTAGGCATTGGTGACACCTCCCCAACGGTAGGATGAACACATTAATCTAAACCTTGGATAAAACTCACAAGGCTATTTGAGCAATTAATTTTATGAAACAAATCCATGTAATCTTCTACCAGTGCCGTTTTAAACTCCACCTCCAGGTGCAAAGGCGGGAGATTGCTTAATGTATGACATTTCTCAATATTTCGCTTCCAGTTACTGCATATATAAGGAAATCCCACCATTCAGAGCTACAAAACAACAATCCACCTGTAGGGAAGTCTGAAGCTGTGAAGGCCAAACGGTAAAAATCCTGTTTTACTTTAATTAGATTTATATTGTAAAAGTTTTATTTATCAGCAGCTGTTTTTAAGAGAATACATGTTTTGTTTTATTAGGTGAAATCATGCTGAAGGTTGCATTTATTCTTGGATGCCTCCTGAGCCTCACTGTGGTTCAATCTGTAAGTCTAGCTTGACTTTCCTCTGATTCAGTTTAGTGATAACAGATTCTTTAGCATTTTTCATGATATTGTAAAAAAAATGTTATATGTGTAAACTGTCTGCAGGCGGAGCCTCAGCGATTAGGCCGCTCTGACTCCAACTCTGGTTCCAACTCCCATGAGGTGAGTGTCGTTCCATCATTTTTAATCACATCAATTAGACACATCAGGCACTGTTCTGCTGTATGTTTGACAATATTACTGATTTCCTGGTAGGCTCGTTTGGGAAATGCAGCAGCAGCGAGGCAGAAGTTCCTTCTGCAACTCATCCAGCTCATTCAAAGGTTAAAATTAACTACAACTACAGCAACAACTACAACCCCAGCTGCCACAACTACAACCCCAGCTGCCACAACTACAACCCCAGCTGCCACAACTACAACCCCAGCTGCCACAACTACAACCCCAGCTGCCACAACTACAACCCCAGCTGCCACAACTACAACAGCTGCCACAACTACAACAGCTGCCACAACTACAACAGCTGCAACAACTACAACAACTACAACAGCTGCGACGACTACCACTGCAGCTGCAACTACAACCTCAACTGCAACCATTGTCACCACCCCTGGAGCTGGGGGAAAGTAAACAAATGGATAATTGCATACAAAACCAAATAATAATAAATATATATTGAAACCTACCTAAAATCTAAAATGTATTCACCAAACGAGAGCAAAATCAGTTCTGAATAAATGTTCAACGACAAAACTTGTGTTTGTTTTTCTGCAGGCGCACTGCCCATAAAATGCTTTTGCATCGAGTTTCAGGTATGACGTTTTTCAAGGCAAGGCAAGACAGCTTTATTCATTCAGTACATTTCATACACAGAAGCAATTCAATGTGCTTTTCAGGAGCAACATCAGCAGAATATAAATAAAATTAGATTGCAAGAAAGGAAATAAAAAGGCAAGGTTAAAGGGTGAGCAGTTACAGTGCAGAAGGTGCAGCATAAGAACATTAATTCAAAGGCTGATGAATACATGAACGTTTTCAATATGGATTTAAAAGGTACAAGATTTGGTGCACATTTGAAGTCATGAGGAAGCTGATTCAGCAGCATAGTAGCTAAAAGCAGCTTCACTCTGTTTGGTTCTGACCCGGGTTTCTACCAGCTGACCGCTTCCTAAGGATCTCAGAGCCCTGCTGGGTGGGTCCTCAGTGACCAGAATCTCATATTTGCGTCTTATTGATGTTTTTTTTATGAACTTTTTTTAAATTTCCTTGTCAATGAACTCTTTGTTAACGTCACTGGACTTTTATGTGACAACCATCCCGGGACTACAGATGGAAATTAGCCCTAGGCTACAATCTGGCGTGTTTACATTCATGCTATCCCTACATGTTTGTTCATTAACATGCACTGTCCCAAATAAAATATTCGTTCATTCATTTAAGATTTGACATGTATTCTGGTCCCATGCCATTGAGTGATTTATAAACTAGTAGTAGCACTTTGAAATGGATTCTGTCGTTTGCTGGTAGCCAGTGTAGAGATTTAAGAACAGTGATGTGCTCGGTTCTCACGGTCCTTGTTAAGACTCTAGCAGCAGCATTCTGAATTTGCTGCAGTTGCTTTAAAGCTTTTTTGTGAAGACCAGACAAAAGATCATTGCAATAGTCCAGCCTAGATGAACACATGAAAGAGTTTCTCCAGATCTTGTTTGGACATGAGACCCCTGAGTCTTACTTTTTAATGAAGATGATAAAACGTAGATCTAGCCAAACCAGTGAATCTCAGGTCAATATATTAACAATGTATCATTTTACTGAGGCTCTATAACAACATTTTCAACAAACCACAGTTATTCAAAATGGACTTTAAAGCAATCTCTAATAGTCACCTCAAGTCAGATTGTTCAAAAACTCCTGATGTCGACTCTAGTTTGACTCCTATTTTGGTCACATGCTCTTTTTCACTTTTTAGGTTCATCACATAAAAGTTTTCTTGGTTCCTTTGAGGCACTACCATGATGAACATGATTAAATAACCAGCAACCAGGTATAGTTTGTTCTGAGGTGGAAACATGGAATACCATGAAGCTGGATAGTTGACTTTACAAGACTTCAAGTCACTGGTCTGAGGAGCATTTTGCCCATGAGGAGCAGAGAGACCATTCACCCTGTAAAGGGTCATTTTTGCATTTTGATAATAATAATAACAGCAGGTGTCTGTGGGATGAATTAGGATTTAATGATAGCCACGAATCTCCTTGACTAACCAGCTAACTACAAACTTCTTCAATGTCCTTTGGGGACATGCTGATGTTTATCTCCTGAGTCCATTGTGCCTGAAGAGGGAGCAGAAATAGAAAAGCATTTACTGTCATGGAAAGTAAACCATCGTTTCCTCCCAACTGTCTTAAAGTTAAATTTACCATGATTTAACGTCACCTTGGCCCAGTTTAGCCAGAACTTCTACAGGCTGACACAGCAAGTTTTTGTTGAGACCTGATCATTAAGATCAGTTCCTGACAGCCGCTGCTTCTCACAGCTGATGTCGATCCACCCCTGCGCTGCTCTTTAACAGCATGCCACACAATAGTTCTCCACTGGCTCAAAAACTCAACCCTAAACCAGTTCTCCCAACATGATCACACCCTAACCCAATTTTTTTTCAATCAGCCCTTCTTTACAACACAGAACACACCATGAAGGAATATTAGTGCATCCACGGTGTCTGAGTTGAGATGTGTCCTTATCTCCTCGGTTGTGCGGCTTCTCTCTCTCTCTCTCTCTCTCTCTCTCTCTCTCTCTCTCTCTCTCTCTCTCTCTCTCTCTCTCTCTCTCTCTCTCTCTCTCTATATATATATATATATATATCCTGATGCTCTGGATGGCCAAACTCCCAAAGCCCCAGTGCACTCCACCAACAGAACCATGGCTCCCCCTGAACCTGAGATCCATAAACTCAGTGGTCTCCTTTAACTCATTTACTGTCATTGACGACAAATGTCGCCATTTTGAGTCCAACCGCTCGCTGTCATTGACGACTTAAGTCGTCATTTGCATTTTTTACTGTGTGGGCATCAGAACAAGCCCCCGCACAGTGAGAACAAACATCAGAGCTTTAAAGAAGATCTTACACGTACATCACACGTCACGTGATCAGGAAGCAGAAAATCCATGTGTTAGGAGAGTTTTGGGCCGCTGCTGTGAAAAAAGTGAGGAGCGAACCGAAAAAGCTTCTGCCAATCACAATTCGACAACGGTTTATGAAAGAACAGATAACGCTCCAAACATGCGGATTCTTCCTGATATAACAAGTGAGTCTACTCTTTGTTTTGGTTGTTTTGGTAGTTTTGGCGCTGACATCATAGTGGAGCACAGCATTCTGTGACTCTTCAAAAAAACAGTAAAACACTGAAAAAACCGCTGATCAGCTTTCTGATCAGGAAACGGCAGTTAATGAGTTAAAAAGCATCAGAAAACTTATCTGGCTTTCACACGACTTCCTGTTAACCCTCTTCTTCCTTACTAGCTTCTTTTACAGTTGTTTCTGTATTTTTTGGGTGTGTTCACAAACATCATATGTTAAATCCGTGGCGCATATCAAACGGAACAGGTTTTGTTGTCCCGTGGACTCCCATTCATTTCTTTTGGCAGTAGGGGACCCACGGACTGGAAGTAGATGGGCATGACCTAGGCTATGATGATGGTCATTTGGAAGTCAAAACAACCTATTTATTTAATTTCTTTTTTCAAACTATTAATTTATTCAGGCCAACACAACCATATCACAACCATACTAAACTGGCCAACAAGAGAAGAAACAAAGGCTTCCCGGGGCGGTACCTAAACCTCTAAAGCTCTTGATGTGTAACCATCAGACCAGGTATTGCAATGCTACACACTGTTTGAAATAGGAAAGCTCTATTCCAAGACAAACAGTTAGTAGGTCTCACATAAGCACAGGAAATCCAGGTAAATCTAAGTTTCTGTCTCCAGCCGCACCTTAAAACGGAGATGTAAAAGATATCCTAACTGTATGTGTGACAAATCATTTGTAATTGACTAAACAAATCGCCTGTAATTATACAGCGCCTTCTAGAGCTCTACAACTCCCCAAGGCGCTTTACAACACACCAGCCATTCACTCATTCGCACACATATTGATAAGCTACATTGCAGCCAGTTGCCCTGGCACAGGTGCCTAAAATCCCTCAGACTACCAATGGCTGGCAAGGGGAATGGAGTGCCTCACCCAAGGATGCAAATATACATTTAGCACATTTGAATTGCAGTTTTCTGAGTCAGGCACTCCAAAAGGCTTTACAGTCATGCACGTCAACATGCTGATGGTGAAAAGCCTCATTGCGGCCACAGCTGTATTTGGACACACCGGCTGCCACACAGGAATCGACTGGCGCACCAATTCAGGCCAGGACAGTACAGAGGTGGAGTGGTTTCAGTACAGCTTCCTGATGGACACTGAGTGTGGCACGAGTGCAGCACGTCTCCCGATATCTGCTCCCACAAGAGAACCAAACAATTAGAAATTTGAAATCAGACACAGGTTTTATTTTGAAATATACCAATTCAACTTGCTGAATGACGTCTCATTTCCTGTGTGGCTCATGTAATTTGTTCACTTAATGACAATCTGCATGCTTTGTCCAGAAACAATAGAATCCATGTGGAAACTTTCCGGAACTCTACATCTGGATTCAAACCGCACTGCAGCAGGTGAGAATGCACTTATAACGACTCCTGGATTTCTGAGAAACTACTCACTCTCCTTTTTAAGGGCCATTTTAGCGTTTAATGGCTCAAGAAAATGCTTTAAAAATGAGAAAATTTGTACTTAGACTATAAGCTTTATTAATATTGTGCATTTTTTGGCCACCATAGAACAATCTTTCAATGTGAACAGAGTTGTGATGAAAAACAACGGTGAAAAGAATGCTGTACGCAAGTGTGATTCACAGGTCTGTGGCCCACTGGCTGCTTATTGAGCATTCTCATGATCAAATCCAGCCTCAGACAGTCTTCAAGCGATGTCAGCAACTGACCAATGAAAATACAAGTGATGTGGAAAACAAGTGAGGAGAGAACAATGTGATAATAGCTAGCAACAAGACTCATCTTCCTTTTTTGAGTTTGGTTCAGCGTCTAATAAAAGAAGTTGAGCCCTGCACGGGCCTAAAATCTGAGCCCGTGTCCGGCCCGGCTCGAGGGGGTGGAGCCCCAGCCCGACCCGGTCCGAGAAGGTTTTCAGGATTCTCTGGCCCGACCCGAGCCCGACTTTTTTTTAACCTTTCATAATGTTTTAGCGTGACAGAATGCTCAGCATTCTAATTATCTCTGAGAAGTGTTCTGCAGTAAAAAAAAAAAAAATAAATAAAAGAAAAGAAATAAAAACAGCATCAATGCAGCCGATTTTTCGAGCGGCAGATGAAATTTACGAACACTATATTAATTGGATGCGTTTGTAAATTTAATCTGCTCTGAAAATGCGCTCTTGTGCAATTAGAAAAAAAAGCAGCATTCTAATTAGGGATGAGCGAGTACACCACTATCTGTATCTGTATCTGTATCTGTTCAACCAATTAAATTATCTGTATCTGTATCTGTACTCGGAATGGGCGTGGCATAACCCGGAAGTGGGCGTGGTTTAACCGGAAGTGGACGTGGTTTACATCAGTGTATTATTTTAAGTCTGAAATTGATAAGGATTGATCAGATGTTGCTATGTGTATTGTTTATTTGAAAACTATTTACAGAGCAGCCTCAGAATTGAGATTAAATATTTTTGATCACAATAGTAAAGAAACTATTACAGAACAAGTGTTTCAATAAAATCAGAAAATTAATATTTGAGTGCATGGATTAATACATCTGAACTCATGCAGTAGGAACTAGGAAATATGAAATGCTAGAACCAGACACAACTTTCTATATATATTTTTTATTTTAATTTGATTAAACTGATTTATTTCTTAACGTTCTTGGCATTTTCCCACACAAAGTTAAACAAAGAAATGTTGATTAATGTGTGTGTGTGTGTGTGTGTGTGTGTGTGTGAGAGAGAGAGAGAGAGAGAGAGAGAGAGAGAGAGAGAGAGAGAGTTCAAAAAAATAAAAAACCCGACCGGAGCGGAGGTAGTGACAACAGCACGTCAGCTCTGTCTTGTCAAATGCACCATGTCAGTTACGAAAAAAGTAACTTTAAATATTCAACCGAAAAAGAGGAGAGCTGAAGAAAACCTGGGGAAAACTGAAGAAACGTGAGAAACAGTGAAGCAATCACAGCGAGATCCGTTACTGTGTGTGTGTGTGCGTGGATGAGCCGGCCGGACTGCGCTCCCGGTCGGCTAGAGAGTTTTGTAAGTAGGGAGGGGCGGGCGCTCTATGTGACTGGCCAATCACAGAGCGTGAAGACAGTCAGTTACCCAATGAAGATTTTCCTTCAGCACGATTACAGATAATGACTCGTTTTACTCGTTTCATGCTCGTATTCGTCAAAAATGCGTTATCCATACCGGATACTCGTTTGAGTATCCGGCTCATCCCTAATTCTAATTATCTAACTGCAGAGCGCATTTTCAGAGCGGCAGATTAAATAAACGCTCCCAATAAATAAAGCATTTGTAAATTTAATCTGCCGCTCTGAAAATGCGCTCTCCAGTTAGAAAACAAACCAGCCATGAATGCTGTATTTTTTTTAACTGCAGAGCGAATTTATTCACAGAAAAACAGAACGCTGCCGTTTTCATGAGAATAAACAAATGGTTTCTGACATATCAAAGTGGACATAAAATGGCATATTAGAATAGGGGCACATGTTTCAATCAGCAGTTGGAGAATTCGTTTATATAGGCGCATTTATAAACCACACAGACCTTAACTGAGCTAACGGGTGCCGGTGCGTGAGAAGCAGGCAGGTGCTGCTGCGTTTAAGTGTTTCAGTTTTTTTTATGAATTTGAATTAAAAAAAAGGCGCCCAGCCCGTGCCCGAGGTAATTACACAGTTGTTGGCCCGAAGCTCGGCCCTCGGGCCGTCGGGCCGGGCAGACCCGCGGGCCTAGGGCTTCAGTGCAGGGCTCTAAAAAGAAATGTAGCTCTAGCACTTTCTCCCTTTTCAATGTTCACATATTGAGTGTATAAAAAAGACCTGTTTTTACATCGGGTCTTCTGGAGCCCTTTGTCACACCCTGTCCTGTCTCTCCGTTTAGGTTCAGCCTCGTGTCTCGTTAATTGCTCCCACCTGCCTCTCGTTTCCCAATCACCTTAGCTCCCTGCCCTCGTATTTAAGCCCCTTCTGTTCTGTGTCTTGTGTCGGTCCATTGTTTCATTGTCCAGCGTGTTCGAATAAACCAATGTTAAAAGTTCTTACCTGTCTGCCTGTCTTCCTCCCCGCATGTGGATCCTCACCTCCGCTCACCTCGCCCACACGCCGTGACACCCTCGAACCGTGCAGAGCATTACCCATGCACGCATTCACACTCCGGAGTGGTGAGCTACAATGTAGCCACAAGCGCCCTGGTGAGAGAAGCAAGGCTGCCACACAATCTCAACACTGGTCTCAGAAGATTGTAGACCGATTTCAGCATTTCAGAAGAAAAACTCATCATTGAAATATTTTGCATCAGCTTTACGTGTTTTTTTTCTATAAAGAGGTATTCTTGGCTATTGTTTGAAACTCTACCCTGAAACTGAACCAGCCCTTTAATCCCAAACCCCACAAAATTAATCAATCTCATGACAGATAATTCAATAGTTTCACAAACATTAATTCCATCTGGTGTTTTTTTCATGGATTTCCCACATTAGCTGAGTTGCATGAGTAACGGCATCAAATGTTATCCTAAAACATGCACGAGCAGGAAGACAGGGAGTTTTGTCGAGTGTTTGTCGGTAACCAAGCAAAACCACTAAGTCCCTTGACTTGTAATCATAAGACAAGGTATTTCCTCTTTTTAAAATCTGCGTAATTTCTTACTCCCAAACAGAATCCACACAATCATTTCTAATTGGCCCTTTACGTCTAATAAGAGCAGTTAAATTATTGCAACATGTCAACTGTAATCCTGAAGATTTCTTAAGTCAGTATTATCCCAACATCTCAGCTCCTGACTCTATAAAAGAGACGTTCGGCCCACAGAGCAGCACCGTCACAACCTCCCCGATCATCTCTGAGACGCTCTGTTCAAGTGGTAAGAACAACAACAACAAAAATATGATCATTGCATTCTATAATCTGAGAAGAGTCAAATGTTACCTTTTGCTTCAACAGGTGAGAACCCTGTAACCATGCTGAAAGTAGCCCTTGTTCTTGGATGCCTTCTGAGCCTCATTATGGCTGAAACCGTAAGTGTGGATTACTGTTATCACTAATATTACAATCCTAAAAAGTACAATGCACATCATATCAAACCTCTTACAGATGGAGCACCAGCGATTTGCCCGCTCCAAGGGTAGATTTCATTCTAACTCACATGAGGTGAGCCTCCTTTCTTACAATCAAACTACATATAAACACCAATCACTGATCACTTCCTGTCCCACTTGCCTGCTGTATGTTTGATGAGTCTGTTATTGATTTCTTTTTTGAAGTCGATCGCCACTCCCACAACCACAGCTGCAGGTGCAACCGCCTCAGCACAAACTCTGCAGCAGATTTTAGCCCTTCTCCAACAACTTGGCATCAAAATCTAACATCTGAAATGCGACCAGCAATGAATTAGTGAGTAAATTTTTGTTTTGAAACCACTTTAAACATTTATTTCTCACGACTGTCTTGTTTCTCGCTGAAATCATAATCCTGGCTCTTTTTTCTCTCCACAGACTTACAGCTTGCAGTTTCAATCAGAAGACTTCTTTATCCAACATTTGGTCAAAAAAGCATTCGTCTTTATCTGTTAAAGCTGACAAATAAAACTGTTTCAACTAAAGCCATGCCCACACTGTGTTTTATTTTTCTAAAAGTAAGAAAATGCCATAAAAATCATCAATTGTTTTTTTTTTACCTTTTTAAATATAAAGGTAAAGACGCTCTGTTTTGTAAAACACATTCTAACTGTGTTCCAACACACTATAATTCATCACCTGCTGCATTTGCTTCTACAGTAGAATGTCACTAATATTATAAAAGAAACAGTTGCTGTTTGAAAAAATTGAATAAAGGAGACTACACTGAACGTGGAATGCAAGTTTATTTTTATGATTCAATGTTTCAAAAGAAAAGTCTAATTGACTGAGGATTTTTGCAGCTTGCTGCTCTGGAGTATTTATATGTTTTCTCCAAAAAGAAATCAGTTAAGTGGATGAATATTAGCAGTTGGGCCAAGGACGAAGGGTTTTCATGGCACAGCTGTCATTTTGCATCTCCAACCAAACTGTGCCCTACAATAAACAGTTTGTATGACAGCCAGACTGTTACTATTTGGCATTCATACACTTACCTCATGCACATATATCCATGCGTAAGTTCCCGTTTGTCACACAAGTATCATTGTTCCATGTAACCTTGCACATGGTGAAGCTGTGTATATTTCACACAGTGTTGTGTGCATCATGTTGGGATTCTAGGCAACGACTCAGTCATGGTGCATCCTGTCAACGGCATTTTAACCCTTTGATGCATAATGGTCACTACAGTGGACAGGTACTCAAAATTGTTATTTATTTGTTTTTCCTATTAAGCACAGCTGCTGACGATTTTATTGCATTTGAGCCCCTCCATTTGGACTTCAGTAAGCCAAGCCAAGATATTTCATGCTCAGAATGCACGCTGTCCACTAAGGTGGACATGTAATAAATTATATGTAAATTATAACATTTTACAAAAAATATTTGTTTAAATTTGTTTCATTCACACCTAAAGATGAATGAAAAAAATTGTTAAAAAATCATGGTTGAAGATTTCATAATTCATGCATCAAAGGGTTAATGAAGATGCTGGTTGCATGAAATACAAAAAAAAAAGCACAAGTCAGCATCACCTGTTGTCTTATTGAAGTCAAAGGATTGCTGAAGTGTTTGAGAATCCGGATAATATGTATACTTTTTACTTTGAAAAAGACCAAATTTTAGTAATTTCTTAATTTAGTAATTACTTCTTAAGAGGTAACTGTAATATGCTGAATGTAGTGCTTGTTCAGTAACTCTCCTGATGCCTCATATGGTGAATATGTATGGCTAAATGCATGTGTTACACGCTGTGACTGTCACTGAAATAAGATGCAGTTTGGATGATAACACTTTTTTTTTTAGATTTTCCGTGATAGACCAATGCAATAGCACATAATTGTGAAGTGGAATAAAAATGACTGATGGTGTAACATGAATTTGTATTCAGACCCTTTTACTCTGATATAAATATAAATACATCTGTTCTGCGAGAGCTCTGGTTGAGTAGAGAACATTGTTAAACGAACAGCATCATGACGACCAAGGAGCTCACCAGACAGATCAGGGATTAAGTTGCAGATAAGTTTGAAGCAGAGTTGAAATAGAAATAAATATCACAAGCTTTAAACATTTCAACAGAAAATCTTAAATCCATCGTCCACAGATGGAATAAAGCATGCTACAACTGCAGACCTACAAAGACAAGGCCACCCACCTAAATTCGCACACTGAAAAAGGAGAACATTGGTCAGAGAAGCTTCCCAGAGGCCCACGGTCACTCTGGAGGAGCTGCAGAATCCTCAGCTCAGGTGAGATAATCTATCCACATGACAACTGTAAATGGTGTACTCCACAAATCTGGTCTTTAAGTAAAAGTGGCAAAAGGAAAGCCATTATTGACAGAAAGACATATAAAGTCCTGATTGCAATCTGCCAGGAGTCATGTACGGAACACTTGTGGAAGAAGATGCTCTGGTCACACACACACACACACACACACACACACACACACACACACACACACACACACACACACACACACACACACACACACACACACACACACGTCTGTCCTTCTATCATAGTGAGGACCCGCCATTGACTTCCATTCATTTTTGTGATTCCACTGTGCCTCACCCATACCCTAATCCTGACCCTAACAAATGCTGAGCTATTCCTAACCCTGACCTTAACTAAAACTTAATTCATACTATACCTCTAACTGGTATAGTAAGCTTCTAAAAAAGAAGTGAGGACCCAAAAAATGTCCACTTTGAAAAATGTCCTCAAATTGTAGGGAAAATGGTCAAAATGGTCCTCAGTTTGTAGTTTGTCCAAGAACACACACACACACACACACACACACACACACACACACACACACACACACACACACACACACACACACACACACACACACACAGTGAAACATGGAGATGATAGCATCACACTGTGGGGATGCTTTTCTTCAGCAGGGACAGGGAAGCTGGTTAGAGTTGATGGGAAGATGGATGGAGCTAAATAAAGGGCAAAGAAGAATACCTGTTGCACCTCATGATACACCTCATGATCACACAACACTATATTGGAGCAGGTGGAGGGAGACTAGGGGTCTTAGCCACCTCTGTTGTTGCTAGGCCTCCTGGGGCTGGAGGCTAGGAGGGAGATCTGGCCGTCTGGTTGGGGTCTGGGGTGGTGGGTTGCTGTGCTCAGCGTTGGGCGGGGGAGCCTGCTCATCAGCACCCCAGCAGAAAGAGTCAAACTCTGGTTACCGGTGATGGTTGTACCCCATGTGCAGCAGTACCGGGACCAGAGTGAATAGGGTGTGTATGGGGAGCATGAGTGGGTGTCCGGCGTGCATTTTTGTAAGTCTTGGGTTGTATGTGCATGTGTGAGCATGAGGGAGGGAGTGTGTGACTGTTTTTGTGTATGACTGTATATGTCAGGTAGGGCCTTTGACTCCTCCCCTCTCCTGGAACCTCTCTTGACGATATAGATCTTTATCTCCCCTCCCCCTGCCACACCTGGTGTGAGGGGTTGTGCCTTGGTCTGCCTGAGTGTTCGTGGCAACCGGGTCTGGGGGTTTAAGTTTCAGGCATCTGCCTGATAGATCCCGGTGGCTGCCTGGTGGGGTCTGGGTCCCTGGGCTCTGCTGGGTCCCCGGCGGGGGTGGTCGCCCCTGGGTCCCGGGTCGCTGGGTCCCGGGCTCGGCCGGCTAGGGGGTGGGAGGCTGCGGGCGGGCCTGTGGGCTTGCCGCTGATATCTCCCGGGACTCTGCCGGCTGCTGGTTGTGGCCCCCCGGGGCGATCCTCTGTGCCTCTCGGGGGGGGGGGGGGGGGGGGGGGGCTTCCTGGTTGCAGTCTCCTTGGGGTTCCTGTGTTCTGGGGCCCTTTTTTTTTTGTCTTTTTCTGCAGGTCTAGAAGCAGACTCTTGTTCATTGTTTATTTTTGTGGACCCCCCCCCCCCCCCCCCCCCCACACCTTTTCTTTTCCTTTCTTTTTAACCTCTGTCTCCGTGTCTGGTCGGAATTACAAAGCATTCAACAACAGTAACAGTAAAGTTTTAAGTATCAGGCGTGACATTAAAAGCAAACGCTTTGATGCTCCACCTGAGAGTAAATCTGTAAGGCTTGTCACCAGCATTCAGACATCAATTCTGCTTGCTTCACAGCCAGACAGGACACGGTAAAAAAATAAAAAATAAAAAAAAGAAGAAAACCTGTTGGAGATTGGGACGGAGATTTAGCTTCCAGCAAGACAATGACCCTAAACATACAGCAGGAGCTGCAGTGCAATAGTTTATAGATTAAAAAATGTTCATGTGTTAGAATGACTTAGTCAAAGTCCAGAGAAAAATTCAGGTTAGCAACTTCGGCAAGACATGAAAGTTGCTGTTCACAGATTATCCAGATGTGCAAAGATGGAATTGCAGTGGAAAATGGCTCTAAAAGGTATTGATGCAAGGGGGCTGAATGCAAATGCACGCCACACTTTTTTTTATTTTATTTGTTTAAAACTTAAAAACTATGTCTCAGTTTCCTTCCACTTCACATTTATGTGCTACTTCGTGTTGGTTTATCACAGAAAATCTAAATAAAACATTAACATTGTAGTTGAAAGGTGTACAAATATATAAAAGTTCAAGGGGTATTACTTTTGCATCAATTTTTAACAACCACCTGCATTCTCCTGTTTCACTGATCTGGATTGTAATACAATTCTCAAGACCAAATGAATGAAAAGAAGTCAGAAGACTCCTGAGTGATGCCTTGTCTATTTTTATCTCAGGAAAAGTTGCACACACATGCTCCACTGAGTTTAGTAAATTTGTGCATGAAGCAGCAGTGCTGTGTCTGTGAAGGAACATTGAAACTTACATGCAGAATGTCCACCATTGTTTTTATGCCTATGAGCATCAAATTAATGACTATTTAATTTTCTCATTTTAACTGAGAATGTTTAGTTTTCATCTAGTCTTTAAAATTGAATTGAAAAATAACAGATGCTGCATCTAGAACGTTGTAACGCATGCGTGTTCAGATGTGTCACGTAAGTTTGAGATAAAGTTATCTGCTTTAGGAGTTAGGAGAACGATGGCTGAAATAACAGCTGTGATGATGTGCTGCTTTTTCAGACTTGGACAAGTAGCAACAAACACCTCGTCTTATGAAACGCTTTTCCTTCCAACCATTTAATCACCTGACTGTAAACATTCTGGAAGCAATTTCTTCATTTTAAGTTTCCTCTAAGTCTGTCTATAATTCGTAGACAGTGTGAAACTGTATGATTTAATATTTCTAAATAATTATTGCACAACTTTTCTGCTCCAGCGACTTTATAAAAGAGAACTTGAGCTGTCGGACAGGAACTCAACAGCTTCTCTGCTCGTCTTTGAGAGAACCCGCTGAAGGTGTGACGGCTCGACTTCAAACATGAATCTTTAGCTTCTGTATTTTCTGTTTTTCTCATATGTTATTTGTTTTATATTTCCTAATTTATCCGATTGAATTATTTTTGCTTCAACAGGTCAGATCACCATTATCATGCTGAAGGTTGCACTTATTCTCGGATGCCTCCTGAGCCTTATCATGGCTCAACCTGTAAGTGTCAATTATATATATTACTAATAACCATATGCATAGAAACTATAAATATCATTACTGTAATAAAGTATAATTTGTCTAATGTTAAACCTGCAGGTGGAGCGAGAGCGACTTGTTCGATCCAGTTCCAACTCCAATGAGGTAACATTTATTTTCCTTTTCTACATTTGAACCATAAATTAAAAGCATTGGGAATCAGATTTATTTCTAAGTGCATTCTGATCTCATGATTTGCTGTTTTTCTTTTTAAGGGATATAGATATGGAAATGGCATGATGAACCCTTTGACGAATATTGAAGCAATCCTTGAGAACCAGCTTTTTGCCGCCATTTTGCAAAAGTTTATAACAGGTTAATGATTACAGCTGAAATGTGACAAAAGAAACAAAAAGTGAGTGCAAACTAACATTTTATTTGTGAAATAGTAACTAATGTATTCAATGTGCTTTCACATTATGAGCATTCATTGTTCCCCTCATTTCAGATTCTCGTGACTTTTTCAACGGGACGTCCTTCCACATGGACCGTGGATCAAAGCTTGATATTGTTTCTAAAATCTAATAAAGTTCATAAACAAAAATAAATGCTTTTTGGTGACATTTTGATACAAATAGATTTTAGCATGCAGGTATTGTGATGAAACTCATTCAAGCAAAGGTGTCAAGTAATAAAGTACCAGTGGCTAAATAAATAAATAAATAAATAAATAAATAAATAAATAAAGTACCACTACCTTACTTCAAAAAAAGAAGAAATGTTCTGGTTTCGATTCTGTACTCTGAAACACAATAAAACCAAAAAACTGATGAACCTTCATCTGTGTCTCCTGAGGGAACCAATTTAGTGGAGCCAGGAGATTGGGTTCTGATAAATAGCATCAAAAGGAAACACTGGCATTCTCCTAAGGGCCTTTTCAGGTTTTGCTGATCACTCCCACTGCATGTAAAATAGCAGAACGACCAACTTGGATTCATTTAAGTCACTGTAAACGTGTGGTGGCAAAACAAGCAGACACCTAAGGATGCTGCTGATACTACTTACCCTGTCTGTGGGAATAACTGACTCATTTCACACCCCAGTGTCTTACTATTATGCAAATACAGAAAAACAGACCCCGCTGTTATCTAATTTCTCAAAGCCTTGCATGGAACAGAGGCAAGGAAATTCTCCTGATCCATATTTCTGTTACAATGGGACCAGTACAGATGCCACGGTTTTGTTTAACCTGGCTGACATAACTGTAGGAGGCTATAGAGGGAACATCTGCTGGTGGTGTGGAGACAACAACCTGACAAATTACCTATGAATGTCACTGGAACCTGTGCTTTGGTATCATTGCTGTTACCTGATCTGGATCCACTGATTTCCCACTTATCTATTCACTCTCTCTCTTCCTTTACATTTTTTAATCACAATTGTCTATTTTTTGCTCATTTTTAATATATTTTTAATAATTTTCAAAATTCTTTTTTATATTTTTACATTTTGTTTTTGTGAAGCGCCTCGTGAATTTAATCTTGAGAGGCGCTATAGAAATGATATTTTCTTCTTCTTCTTCTTCTTCTTCTTCTTCTTCTTCTTCTTCACCATTCAGGGGCACGCCCACTAAGCCAACCTTCCTGGATGAGGGTGATGCATTTCCCATGAGCTGGGACAAAGTGATAATTGCTATCAAAATTGATCAAAAATGACCAGAAATTAACTTTTAATTTGCTGACACAAACATCCCATCCGTCTGGCCTCCAAACAAGAAAAGCACTTCACAAGGCCTTGCCACCGGATAAAGGAGCCATAATAAACCTAGCTACCTTATCTTGGCTGGAACAAGTCATGCGGAAGACGAGACTATTTTTGCACTTTCACTCTGAATAAAGTTCATGTGCCTTGAATCATAAATGACTTTTTAAAACTTGAGAATTGCATAAGTGTCAAATAATCATCTCTTGTTAAATCCCAACATGTTTGAATAATGTGTGCATTAATCAACGATGAATGTTTTTCCTGCAATGACTCATTTCAGACCTTAAACTACACCAGATCAGTAATTGTTGATTTAACAAGTTAATCCATTACATCATAAGATTAATATTAAGGTTTTAACTTTCACTTCACATTGTCATGTCGGAGTTTAGTTTTCTAACCCACATCCAGAATCAGAGCCAGAGACGAAGGTAAGAGAATTTTTTTTTTATTAAACAAAGATGAGAACGGAGAGTCACTCTCGAGGAAGCTCTGACGTTAAAGGGCAGAATCTGACAGGAGAAATTGATCAGGGTGATGAGGAGCTGGTAATGGGAGAGGAATTGATACAAATTGAAACAGTCTTACTTTCGAGAGGAGATCCGTAGATGCTGAGGAGGGAGTGGGTCAGGCCTGAGGTGGAGGGGAGCTGAAGCAGGGTCCAGATGAAGATAATAGACCTGGAGCTAGAGCACTTCCTGGTCTAGCCAGTCTTTGCTGTTCACTTGACAAGGCCAATTGGGTGAACAAGAGTTTTGAGACCATCCTCTCTTTTGACCCCAAGGTCAAAGCCTCTCTGCAACGCTTGTGAGAGATTACAGACGTTCTAACCTGCAGACCCTGGTTGCACCTCATGGCTGGACTAGAAATCTGAATTCAAAAGGGACCTACATCTCTTTGGGATTCCTGTGGCCACAACGTCCGGTAAATCACCACTCTGGCTACCTTTTGTCTGGACCGCCGATGGGCAACCGTCACACAAAGGGTGCGTAGACTCTGCACGACTGCGTCAGATGGTTTTATAAACAAACCTCTAGCTTATCAAACCATACAGCCAAACTGATTTTACAACCCAGACGCCACAAGCTCTCTCAGATACTTCTAGATGGAATCTAGCTTACATTCCATCATTTCATTCACTATCTGTTATCTGTACAACCATCATTTCATTCGTAATTTGTCATGTACAATCATTTAGTTTAGGAAAATAGAATTAAAGTCATTTATATAACTATATACTTGACTCTGTCTGAATTAATATGAAGTGTGTGTTCCCTGAATAGTCAAAGAAAAAAAGTCTTCTGATTAAACATTCAAAGACCAATCAGACTGATGTATATACATACATACATATACATATATGTGTATATATATATATATATATATATATATATATATATATATATATGTGTGTGTGTGTGTGTGTGTGTGTGTGTGTGTGTGTGTGTGTGTGTGTGTGTGGTCAATCCTCAAAGCTACAGAGGTCTGCAGAGAAGTTGAAAAATCTCTGCCACCTGTTTCTAGTGTGGAGCCGATAGCAAGTTCAAGCTGTCGTCCTGCTATGTTCAGAAGAATTTTTCGAAACACAGCCCATCCTCTCTCAGACGGCCGGACAAAGATATTCCAGAGCTGAGCTATCATTCCTGCCCAAGTGAATTAAACTCAGCAAACGAGACATATTTGAGTTGCACTATTAGCCCATCAGTAATGCCGCAGAGCACCATTAGCACTTCAGAGGGAATGTTTTATTTTGTACTTAAATTTTTTTTTCTGTAAAATTATCTCGTTATTCCGGAAAAACAGAGCTTTTTATTTTTTTGCGGCTGAATGCAATAAGCTTCCGTAAACTAGCACCATGTGATTTATACAAATAAATGTGTCTACTTCATACAATGTCGATATAAGATTCTATACTGATGTTCCAAAACAACAGTCTACACACTTTTTTCCCCTTAATGGTTTATGCTATAGTGTGGGCATGGATTATTACATTTTGGGGACAGCTGCTGATGCTCAGAGACGTTTTTAGCTTTTGGTTCATGCTGGATGGAGAATATTTAAACCTTCTGAATGTTCCTAACAGTGACAACATTTTGAGTGCTCCCTCTTTCTCCAAATAAAACCCCATGCTTTGAATAATAATAATTATTATTATTATTTTTAAGTTGACGTGTTCTGGTGTAAATCTTCTCTGTGTCTCAAAATCAGATTTGTTTCTACGATAATTACCCTACTAGTTTCCTCATATTTCCATCCATGACACATTGTGGCCAAAGATTTCCCAATATTTCCAATGTCCCAATAATGCAACATGCTGAGGAGCTTAGACCCACCCATTTGACTGTGTATAAAAAGCTCTACAGGGCAACGCTATCACAGTCATCTTGACCAGCTAGGAGAAGGATTGTGGAGACGTAAATATTCTTTAGTTCATTTAGTTAAAAATTTATGATAACTTTTATGCTTTATGTTGTATTTTCCAATTCTACAGGTGATCAGTGAAACCATGCTGAAGGTATTATTACTGCTGGGATGCCTCATGTGCCTCACCCTGGCTGATTCTGTAAGTGTAATGTTGTCAGAAGGTTTTGAAGTTTATTAAGATCACATTTAATTTTCAGTTTTTTGCAAATTTTTAAAATGATTAGATAGCTCAACGAGGGAAACGCCCACAACATGGAGGCCCCCCAAATGGAGGCCCCCCTCATCGAGGCCCCCCAAATGGAGGTCCCCCACATCGAGGCCCCCCAAATGGAGGCCCCCCTCATCGAGGCCCCCCTCATGAGGTATCTTGCTATTTTAAAGTGACATCACATTTTGCTACTCAAAGGTTTTTAGGAAACCATTTATTGTGCATATTATTATATTTATATAATTATAAATATTCCTGGTTTTGTCGCAGGGCCATAAACACCATCACAGCAATGAGGATCCTTCTCTGAACCAACCATCTACTACAACAACTACAGCTCCAGCTACAACAACTACAGCTCCAACTACAACAACTGTGGCTCCAACTACAACAACTGTGGCTCCAACTACAACTACCACAGCTGCTACTACAACTGTGGCTCCAACTACAACTACCACAGCTGCTACTACAACTGTGGCTCCAACTACAACTACCACAGCTGCTACTACAACTGTGGCTCCAACTACAACAACTACAGCTCCAACAACCACCACTACTGTGGCTAAAACAACATAAAATCAAAAATTGAAAGTCTGGAGGCATAAAATCTAAATGAAAATCTACAAATCTTAAAAACTATATGATAGATGAAATGTGATAATCAAGAAATATGTGAGTCAACATATTCTTGATTGCTGTACCATCTCAAATAAAACATGTGGAAAAATATCTGGTCTTAATGTGTTTGTTTGAGCTTCTTGCCAGTATTTTTTAATACCAACTTGTGAACCTGATTCAAATGAGCTTTTTAACAACAGACATATTTGTTGATGGACTCAAACTTGTAAGAGTAGTGTAGCAATTTAAACATATCAATTATGACCAGTAAGATGTGATGACTCCATATTAGGGGTTGCATGACTTAATTTTTTTAAACGTCGACAGTCAAGTTTTGAAAATCGAGTCGACCTCTACATCGGGGAAACCAAACAGCCACTTCACAAGCGCATGGCACAACATAGAAGAGCCACCTCCACGGGACAGGACTCAGCAGTTCATTTGCATCTAAAGGACAAAGGTCACTCTTTCGAGGATGCCATCATTCACATTTTGGACAGAGAGGACAGATGGTTTGAAAGAGGAGTAAAGGAAGCCATTTAAATCCACTGTGAGCAACCATCTTTGAACAGAGGCGGTGGTTTACGACACCAACTGTCTGCCATCGATACTCCAGTTTTGAGATCCCTTCCCAGATGCCTCAACGCCCACGCATATCCTGGGCCATCTGGCCTCAGGAATTCACATGATAGGGTGGGGCCAGGCTTCACAATGAGCTCACCCGAAACTCTGGCTGAATAGGACCCACACTCACCCTCACACCTTGGCTCATGTGTTTATGTAGAAGATCATCAGGGGGTCTTTTGTTCCCTCTTCGGGGGGAAACTCCCACTGGGTTTGAATCTGGGACTCTCCACCATTTGACCTTAGAACTGAAGAAGCCTCTCAGATGAGAGGTGAAACGTCTTCAAGCAACTCAAAGAAGTCCAGACACTTTTCTTTCAAAGCTCCTTCGACGACCAGTCGACTAGTTCATACAACCCCTTGTCAGAGTCCAAGCCCCCAGGCCGGGCTCTCCCAGCTGACCGGCTTCCGTCTTGGACCACATTACCCAGCATGCCCCTCTCGGGGATTCCCTCCACGTTGCGCCTGCGTCAATCCATGTCTATATATGGAAGATGCCACACTGGCTCTTCACTCAGTCATCGTTCCACCGTGATCCATGATCAGAGTATTCCAAAGCTACTACAGCTAAACCTCCACCTTTCCTCCTCAGACCTCATCCGTCAGCCTTTCCAGCACCGCTTTCAGCCAACCGTATGTGTAATAAAAGCTCTTACTCCCGAACCCAGTCTTCGAGTCTGACAGGATGACTGAGTCCATTAATCCAGCGGAGTTCGAGCAGGTGAAGAGAGAGATGGAGCAACTGGTGAACGAGAACGCTCAGCTCCATGCCCTGGTCGACCGGCTTAACACCAGACTGAACTCCCAGACCGATCTCTCCATGCAGTTGTCTACTGCCGTCACGGCACTCCAGCAGCAGGTTCATGCTCTCCACCTGCAAGCCCTCACTCCACCGACGGGAGAGCCACACTTCAGTCTCCCGGAGAAGTGGAATGGAGAGACGGGAGTCCAGACGGTCTGCTCGCTACCCTCGAGATGCAGTTCGAGTGCCACCCAGGACGCTTCCCCACTGCGCGCTCTCGGGTGGCACAGCTCACCTCCCTACTCACCGGACGCGCTGCAGAGTGGGCCGCTGCGCTCTACAATTCCATATCACCGGCCTGCAATGACTACGCTGCATTCGTGGCTGCCCTCAGAAAGACGTTTGTTCCAGCCAGCAGCGAAATGGAGGCAGAGGCACGACTCCTAAAACACCGCCAGAAGGAGCGCTATGTGTGCCCTTATGCGTCGGAGTTCCGCACCATCTCCGCCAAGCTGCGGTGGGATGACTCTGCCCTTCGAGCCGTCTTCTTGGAGGGACTGGCAACCTACATCCGGGATGAGATGGCGGGAAAAGAGCTGCCCCAGAACCTGGATGAAGTGGTGGATCTGGCGTTGCGCATGGATCAGCGGGTTCTGGTTCGGCCCAAGCCCTTCACTCGCCAGGGCGCCTGGACCTCTTCCTCGTTCCCCCACACCTGCTCCCGGACCCGCTTCTACTGATGAGCCCATGCAATTAGGCCACCTTCCTCCAGAGGAGAGACAGCGACGGTGGCGCGAGGGTCTCTGTGCCTATTGTGGCTCCTCCCACCACACACGCCTGAACTGTCCATTACGTTTGGGAAACGAAGGAACCCACTGAGTATCGGGGTCGCTCAGCCTGGGTCACCTTCAGCCCCCGCCTCTTCAAATAGACTCCTTCTTCATGTTACCCTCCTTCATGGTGAGGCCTCACTCCAGATGCACGCGCTGGTGGACTCGGGGGCCGCTGACAATTTTATGGACATGGCTCTGGCTAAGCGCCTACGGATCCCCATGACCCCCTTGGAGAGAGTAGTGCCAGTGACCTTGGTGGACGGTAGGCCCCTCCAACCCTATCCGGTCCAAAACCGAACCCAGCCACTCCAGATGATTGTCCAAGGCCACAGAGAGACCCTCCAGTTCCTGATCATATGTGCTCCCTCCTCCCCTCTAATCCTGGGATTTCCCTGGCTCCGTCTCCATGACCCCCGGATTTCCTGGTCCCAGGGCCGCCTTTTGGAATGGGGGACCCAGTGCCAGGCCCACCTCTCTCCTCCTCCATCCATGCCAGACTGCCCGGCCGGTGACCCTGGCCCAACACCGCCCAATCTGCCACTGCCCTACCGGGACCTGGCTGCGGTGTTCGACAAGCGACGCGCCACCACACTGCCGCCTCACCGCCTGTACGACATGGAAATCAAGCTGCAACCAGGAACCAGTCCACCCCGGGGGCACCTTTTTTCTCTCTCTCCCGCCGAGTCCAGAGCCATGGAGGAATATATTGACCAGGCCCTCCAGCAGGGTTTCATCCGACCCTCGTCATCCCCAGGTGCCGCAGGCTTCTTCTTTGTGAGGAAAAAGGAGGGTGATCTCCGCCCCTGTATAGATTACAGAGGACTGAACAAGATCACAGTCAGAGATCGCCATCCTCTGCCGCTCCTCACGTCCGCCCTGGATGCCATCTCCCAGGCGCGGATTTTCACCAAGCTGGACCTCCGGAGCGCCTACAACCTGGTCCGTATCAAAACTGGAGATGAGTGGAAGACGGCGTTCATCACCCCCCACCGGTCACTGGGAGTACCAGGTCATGCCCTTCGGACTGTGCAATAGCCCCGCCATTTTCCAACGCTTCATCAATGATGTCCTCCGTGACATGTTGGGACGGTGGGTGTTTGCCTACCTGGATGACATTCTGATCTACTCCAAGTCAGAGGCCGAACACCACCGCCATGTTCGCGCTGTCCTGACCCAGCTCCTGGACAACAACCTGTTCTGTAAGCCCGAAAAGTGCTCCTTCCACCAGCGGTCCGTTTCATTCCTGGGCTACCTGATTTCGGACCAAGGTCTAACTATGGACCCTCAGAAAGTCCAGGCGGTGAAGGACTGGCCCCTACCAACCAGCCTGAAGCAACTGCAGAGTTTTCTGGGTTTCTGCAACTTTTACCGTTGATTTATCAAAGACTTTAGCACCATTGTAGCACCTCTCACCTCTCTCACCCGACCGAGCCCTCCTGGTCAGCCTTTCCAGCTCACCCTAGATGCCGTTCGGGCCTTCCACTACCTAGTCGCTCATTTCACATCGGCTCCTATCCTGCGCCATCCGGATCAGGCAGTCCCTTTTGTGGTCGAGGTCGAGGCTTCGGATGTCGGCGCCGGCGCCATCCTGTCCCAAGGCGGCCCAGATGACAGGCTACATCCCTGCACCTACTTCTCCAGGAAGTTTTCCACCACCCAGCAGAAGTACGGCGTAGGGGATCGCGAGCTGCTGGCCATAAAATGGGAATTGGAGGAATGGAGGCAGTGGCTTCTGGGCACCACTCAGCCGTTCACCATCTGGACTGACCACCAGAACCTAACCCACATCCGGTCCACCAAGCAGCTAAATCCTCGCCAGGCTCGCTGGGCCCTCTTCTTCGAACCCTACGAGTTCCATCTCGCCTATCGCCCCGGGACTAAAAACCAGAAGGCGGACGCCCTCTCCCGCCAGTTCACACATTCAGCGGCCACGTCTGAGCCGGCGCCCATCCTCCTGGAGCACCGTTTTGTGGCCCACCTTGGGTGGCCGTTGGAGGAGGCCATCCAAAACGCCCTCCGGGATGACCCAGCACCACCAGAGACCCCCGCCGGTCGACTCTACGTCCCCGCGGCCTGTCGCAGTGAGGCATTGGCCTGGTCCCACTCATCATGCCTGTCTGGTCACGCGGGCTTCTCTCGGACTCTCAAGTTCTTGAAACGGGCTCTCTGGTGGCCACGTATGGAGAGGGACGTTAAGGAATTCACGAGCGCCTGTGACGTCTGCGCCCGCTCTAAGGCATCCACCCAGGCTCCGGTTGGCACCCTCAGACCTCTTCCGGTGCCCAGCTGCCCCTGGTCCCATGTGGGGCTGGACTTTGTCACAGGTCTCCCGCCGGTCAACGACCTCGACACCATCCTAACGGTCACTGACCGGTTTTCCAAAGCTGTTCACTTCATCGCCCTCCCGGGCCTTCCCTTGGCCCGACGCACTGCAGAACTGTTTCTGGAGAGTGTGGTGCGTCTCCACGGGTTCCCGGTTGACGTGGTCTCAGATCGTGGTCCCCAGTTCACGGCCCGTTTCTGGAAAGCCTTCTGCCATCTAGTGGGAGCTTCTGTCAGCCTGTCTTCTGGCTACCACCCACAGACCAACGGTCAATCAGAGCGGGCAAACCAACAGTTGGGCCGGTACCTCCGCTGCTTTGTCTCGGCCCAGCCCTCGCAGTGGCCTAAGTACCTCCTCTGGGCGGAGCTGTCTCATAATCTCTACACCTCCTCGGCCACTCAGATGTCCCCTTTCGAGGTCTGCTATGGCTACCAGCCCCCAGTCTTCGCCCACCAGGAACCCGAAGTTGCGGTGCCAGCCGCTCAATCCCTGGTGAGGCGCTGCAAGAACGCATGGATCAAGGCGCGGGCCTCCATTACCCGGGCCAACGCCCGTTACTCACACCAACACCTCCGTAGGCACCGCCCGGGTCCCTCCTATGCTCCAGGGGACAAGGTCTGGGTGTCCACGGCAGGCCTCCGGGTCCGCGCCGGTTCCAGGAAGCTCGCTCCCCGGTTCCTCGGGCCCTACCCCGTGCAGGAGGTCATCAACCCGGTCACGTACCGGCTGCGGCTGCCTACAAGCCTTCGCGTCCATCCTACCTTCCACACCTCCCGGCTCAAGCCTTACGTGGAATCCCCCCTCCTGCCACCTCAGGCTCCAGCACCTCCGCCGGCCCGCTTCCTCGACGGGGAGCCCATCTACACAGTCCGGCGCATCCTGGACGCTTGCCGCCGGGGTCGGGGCTGGCAGTACCTCGTAGATTGGGTGGACTACGGCCCCGAGGAACTCTCCTGGGAGCCGGCCTGCTCCATCTTGGACCCTGGCCTCATCTCGGACTTCTGGGCCCACCGAGGTGGCCCGGGGACTTCTGGAGCCGTCCCTGGACCGGGGGGTCCTGTCAGAGTCCAAGCCCCCAGGCCGGGCTCTCCCAGCTGACCGGCTTCCGTCTTGGACCACATTACCCATTATGCCCCTCGCGGGGATTCCCTCCACGTTGCACCTGCGTCAATCCATGTCTATATATGGAAGACGCCACACCGGCTCTTCACTCAGTCATTGTTCCACCGTGATCCATGATCAGAGTATTCCAAAGCTACTACAGCTAAACCTCCACCTTTCCTCCTCAGACCTCATCCGTCAGCCTTTCCAGCACCGCTTTCAGCCAACCGTATGTGTAATAAAAGCTCTTACTCCCGAACCCAGTCTTCGAGTCTGACACCCCTACTCCATATAAATATGAAAATCAATCTGATTGATCTTTGAATGTTTAATCAGAAGATTCTAGGGTTCTTTGCTTCTTTAGTGACCATAAACACACTTTGTATTAATTCAGACAGAGTCAAGTATATAGTTTATAAAATGAATTTAAATATTTTTCCTAAACTAAAATTGTATACATGACAAGATATGAATAATGAGATGTGGTGTGGTTGATGTGAGGTGTTGTGATGGAAGCTAGATGTTGTAGCAACTGTTCTTTGTATCTGAGAGAAATTGTGAAATCTGGGTGTAAAAGAATTTGTTGTTTGGTTCTAAACTAGAGAGTTGTTTATTAAAAACAGCATCAGATGCAATTTGTCGTGCCAAGTCTACGCACCCTTGGTGTGGAAGTTCTCGTTCGATCTGGGGGGTCGATGGTCACTGCCGGTGGAGTGGACTCTGATATCAGGAACCCTTAGATAGCTCCTATGAGACCCGTCCAGTCTGAGATCCCTCGAGGTGAAGGCAGGACTCTGGAATGCTTATTTGCGTCTAAGGTTGACACAGGCTCTTTGAAGAGCCGGTTGTCTGGTGTCAGCCGCAGTGTTGCAGAGAGGCTTTGACAGGAGGTCAAAGGAGAAAATGGTTTCAAAAATGCTTCTTTCCCAAATTGGCTGGTTCGAGGTTCAGCGAGAAACTGAATTACTCGGGAAGTAATTCTTGTTATGATTTCTGGCCAAGTTTGGCAAACCAGAATTTGACACGTTTCTGTGTATTTACCAACATCCTTCAGAAAGTCGTGCCTTCTTGCAGACACGAAGATATTTTTAACACTGTGCATGAGAATGTCTTAAAACTCCTATGTATGGTGCATATTAACCTTGATCTGTTTCTTATTGTAATGTGTATGAGTGTAAACAATGATTAAGTTGTTAAATCAAACACAATGTGATTTGTGAGATAAATTGATCATTGTAAGAACAATATTAATTTCAAATTCATTGATTTAAGCACAGATTATTCAAACATTTCATTTAAACATCTTGTTCATTAATCACATATGATTATTGAACTTATAACTATAAAATCATGGAGTCTTCATTTATTCAGAGTGAAGAATGTTGATGTCTGGCTTTCATGCAGAGAGTGCAGGAACCTTAGGAGAGAATGTTTGTTTGAATGTTTTGTCTTCATGGCATGTCAACCTGCACTCAACACAAACTTCTGGATTTGGAAGGCCACCTAGAAAGTGGATTTACTTCCGTAAATGAAAGGTTATTATGTTGATCAATATATAGGTGAAAATTGACCCTTTTGGTACGTTACAGTAGGGTACGTGGAATTCCACGTGTGCATGCTGTCTGCTCTGTAAAACAATGCTTACGATGAGAACATCCTCTAGAATACACCTGGGCCTTCGCTGCTCTCTCAAGTTTGTATATTTGTCATGAAAACAGTCTCAGTTCTTACCTCATTGCTTTCTTTTACAGGGTGTAACCAAATCAACTGTGAGCGAATAAAATGGTTGTTATGAATGAATTTAAGTTTTAAAAGAAATTAGCAAATACTTCCCAAAGTGTTTTTAGATTGTTATTGTGGACAGTTAAGATTGGTCCCTCAAAATAACCAGACTTTGAGACGGGACTTTAATTTGTTTTGGTATTTATCAAATATCTTTTCTTAGGTTAAACACAATGTTTGTCCCTTCCGGTCTCCTCAAAAAAAAAACCTCCTGCTTCAGCTGTCAAAGTAAATCCTTAAATTATTTTGACAATTGATCCCAATATGCTCATTACGGTATTATTACAGTATTATTTTCATAAAGCACCGAGAACTTAAGGAAGCTCTAACTTCCAACACCCTACAACTACTTTTTGTCATCATCAGAATGTAATTATTTTTCACGTCTGATCCTTTTCATGTCTTATACCACCCCTTGTGGTTGGGTATACAAGCTGGATATTTGAGACACACTTTAGATGGCCAGTTTTAAAGATAGGGTTTGATACAATAGTGTGTGTGTGTGTGTGTGTGTGTGTGTGTGTGTGTGTGTGTGTGTGTGTGTGTGTGTGTGTGTGTGTGTGTGTGTGTGTGTGTGTGTGTGTAGGGGTGGTTGGGAACTTTTTTTGGGGGGAGGGACGCCAATTACATGTCTGCATACCCCTACAAAATTAGGTAGTTGCGCCCCCTACTGAGAAGGATAACATCTGGGCTCAGAAGCATCTGCTTGACTTGCCGAGTGCGCCATTTTCCACAGTCTTGTGGTGCCGAGCGGACTGTTTGGCAACCCACAATGGTGCCATCTACTGGCTGGTAGATGTAACCATAAACCCAGTGTCGTGCCCGTCAAAATAAAATTTTTATTATTTTTAAATTAAAATATAGCTTTTAAAGGAATTGCTGTACCTTCATTCTGCACACCTCTAAATACCTCGTGGAGGTATTATTTTTTAAAACATAGCCTTTTATTAAACTTTTCCATAGTCAACCTTTAATGCCGAGTAAGCAGGGAGGCATTGAGTCCCATATTTAAAGTCTTTGGTATCATCCGACTGTAGATTTGAATCCATCTCCCCGTCTCAGGGCAGACACTCAAACGACGAGGCCACTGATCTGGAGATATGTTCCTTAAGCTTGAGATTATGCTGTCTGCTTTAGGAGTTAGGAGAATGGTGGCTAAAATAACAAACGTGATGATGTGTTGCTTTGCCAGACCTTCACAAGTGACAACAAACAACTCGTCTTATGAAATGAGTGTTGTTTGCAGCCGTTTAGTGAAAACATTCTGGAAGTTGTTTCTTCATCCTCGAAGTCTGTCTATAATTCTTAAACAGCTTCAAACTGTTTGGTTGAAAATTTCTCAATAATTCCAGTTTCACAACTCTTCTGCTCCTGTGACTATAAAAGGCATTGTGCTGTCAGACAAGAACTCGACAGCTTCTCTGCTCGTCTCTGAGAAAAACCTTCTGAGGGTGTAAGACTGCTAAAAAATTAATCTTTAGCTTTTGTATTTTCTGTGTATCTCTTTTAAATTTCACAACAATTTATCCGCCTGAATCCTTTTTATTTCAACAGGTAAGATCACTGTAATCATGCTGAAGGTTGCACTTATTCTTGGATGCCTCCTGAGCCTCATTGTGGCTAAACCTGTAAGTGTTACTTAATTATATATTACTAATAAACATGTGCATAGAAATAATAAATATCATTACAGTATTAAAGTGTAATTCAGTTAATATCAAACTTGCAGGTAACAAATGAGCGAATCGCACGCTCCAGTTCCCATGAGGTGAGAATTATCAACATTTATAACTAAAGACATTAACAATAGAATAAGCCTTTATTAAAAACCAATTATAATCCCATTATTTGCTGTTTTTCATTTTAAGGGATATGGATATGGAAATATGTATGGATATGGATATGGCAACTCTGTTATGAGTTTGGACGCAATGCTTCAGAACCAGCTTTTTTACAATCTACTCCAAAATCTCATAACGGGTTAACAATTATGGCTGAAACGTGACAAAAGGTGAGTGCAAACTAGCATTTTATAGTTTTAATGTGATTTGAATGTTAACTAATATGTTTATGATGTGTCACATTTAACCAACAATTAATTATTTCTGTCATTTCAGAATCCTGTCACTGTTGTAACGGGACATCTTTCTCTACGGATCATGGATCAAAATGTATTTCTAAAATCAAATAAAGTTTACCATAAAAAACGAGAAACAACCTTTTCTTTCTTTTGTATACTTACAGATTTTGGGTTGGGGGTGGGGGGTGGGGGGTGGAGTGTCGTAATAAAACTCACGACAAGTACATGAAAATTAATGTATAAAAATCTATCAATATGTACACCATAAAAATGAGGGGCATCGATGGCTCATGGGTTAGCAGGTTGTCCTGCAAATGGTGGGTTGTAGGTTCAAACCCAGGCTCCCGCATTTATTTCAGTCTTTTTGCAAAATCAGACTTTTTGATGTCTTGGCATAGAAACTGATGCCTGTTTTTCTTTCATGCAGCATGCACATGCTAGAAGGCACAGCAGTGCCTCCATTTACAGTATTTTTCAATTACTAAAACTCAAAAAGCAAAAATGAGGGAACATTTTCACCACCTCTACTTCTGTTCCCAATCGCTTGACTCAGGCCTAGTCCACATGTAGCCGGGGTTTTTTAAAAACGAATATCCGTCCCTCCAAAAACTTGCATCCACACCACCGCGTTTTAAAAAGAAAAAACTCTGTCCACACGTACCCGGATAATAACGTTGTTAAGGACATGCCAGACCTGTAGGCAGCAGTACTTCCCCCGTTCTTAACCTCGTCCTTTGTCTGTGGTCTTCCACAAGGAGCAGAAATTCCGCTTGCAAAAGCAAACAAGCAGAAAGCGCTTGGACAATTGATAAAGCGAGCGCAGCTCTGAGGGCATCCATGCTGTCGGCTAGTGTAAACACAGGTCGCACACGTGATGTCAGCATTTTTTTGTCGCGGAAAGTGACGTTGCGGACCTTAAAACTCCGGTTTTGTCCGTCCACACGCAGACACCCAAAATGGAGAAAACGCAGATCTTCACTTTGGCCGGAGTTTTTAAAAAGATCCGTTATCATGTGAAAAAACTCAGTTTTCGTGTGGATGACAGGCCAAAACGTAGAAAAATATCTACGTTTTGGCAGATCCCCGGCTACGTGTGGACAGGGCCTCAGTTTATCACTACTTAAGATTTCCTTATCAAATTAGAACTCTGATTTTCCTCTTTTACACTCTAATGTCAGTTTCACATTACCTTGCTGTCAAAACACAACACACAATTTTCAGGTTTACACACACTTCTCACATAAATTCTCAAAGCTTCAATCAACAACACACAAATTTTCAAATCTCTAAACTTTCGGGTCTGGCGAGCAATTTGCAATCAGGGACTGCAGCATAAAAGTAAGTTTCCACAAGGCTACCCAGGTGTGTGAGTGGTTTCAGGACCACCCACGGTTTTCCATTTTATACCTTCCACCTTATTCCCCCTTCCTCAATCCCACTGAGGAGTTTTTCTCAGCCTGGAGGTGGAAGGTGTACGAAAGGAATCCACAGAGCAAGGTCCCACTGCTTCAAGCCATGGAGGAGGCTTGTAGAGATGTGGCCTTTGAGGCCTGTCAGGGCTTCATGAGGCACTCGAGGCGGTACTTCCAGCGCTGTTTGGACCAGGAGGATGTTGATGAGGCCCTCTGGCAAGACAGAGGTCGGAGGCATGATGCCCCATGATTATGCTTGAATGGGGGTGGGGGTGGGGGGGGACGACTGTAAAAATAAAACGTTTTGTCTCTAAATTTGTGTGATGTCTACTGTTTATCTCAGAGAAAAGTGAGCACTGTCATACATTCGGTGTGTAATTCATTGTGTTCCATTTAGACGGTTGTGTTTTCAGTTTTGCTCTTCAGTGTTCTTTCCATGCTTGGTAGTGTTCACCCAAAGGCTACTCGTGTCCAAGCAATGAATGGTATGTGTGTGTCATGTGAAAATGTGGCTGTGTTTACCAAATGAAAACATGTGTTCCATTTTGGGAACATGTTACAATATGTGATGGCAGGGTTTTGTTGCAAAGGGAAGCCACGGTTTAGCATTTTGTGTGTTATGTTTGGGGTTTTGTGTGTGCAGTTTTGAAAGAAACGTACAGTTTTGAAAAACGTGTTTTAGCAATAGAAAAAAACTGTAACATGGAGCACATAAGTGTTCTGCTGGTTCTTATAAATGTCTATTCATATGATGGTTTGTGTGTGTCATTTGACAACAAAATCACATTGTGAGGAGAAAGTACATTGTTTTGAATGTGAGGTTTCATTTTGCAGGTTAATTGAGGGGTTCGGCCCATTGTGTGTGTTTTCTTGGATTTGTGAGTAGAGTTCTGAGATTATGAGGCATGCTTTCAGAAAATGTATGTAAACAATTGAGAAAAACTGTAAGCAATGATTGGTATGTGTGTGTCATGTGAAAATGTGGCTGTGTTTACCATATGAAAACACATGTTCCATTTTGGTAACGTTACGATATGTGGTGGCAGAGTTTTGTTGCAAAGGGAAGCCACGGTTTAGGGATTTGTGTGTTATGTTTGGGGTTTTGTGTGTGCAGTTTTGAAAGAAACGTACAGTTTTGAAAAACGCATTTTAGCAATCGAAAAAAACTGTAATAAGGAACCTCAGAACCTTTCAAAGATGTTTTGAATCACCTCAAATCCCCCAGTGAATTGCACAAATGCTCAATGTTGAGGAAGACAACCATGACTTCGAAGGATGTCTTTCACCCACTTTATGCATACAGTACTTTATTTTGCTGCCATCAGGCAGTGTAAAATCCCATTGGCTCAGAAGACTGTATACAAGAAATCTTTTGTACCCTCAGCCAACCGTCAGCAGTATCTGTTCTAAGTAAAGTGAAGTAAGTTTTTATTGGAGTATATGTTTCATGGTCTGTTTGTATTTATTTGTATCATGAGCCGTGTCAAAAGAGACATTTCTGTGACACATTGGGGCACAGACAATAAGGTTTTACCTACCGACCTACCTACCAACCTACATATCACGAAGTGGAGTTGACATGACAGGAAGACAAGATGAGTATCTGACAAAGACAAGTACAAACAGGAGGTTTATAAACTTTGTTTGATGCATATTGGATTTAAACTGGCATTTGGTGGTCTTTTCCCCATCTGCTAATCATTAAAGGCTTCGTCTGATCTTGGTCCAGCTTTACAAAAATCATAACTTTTTTATTTAACTGCAAAAGTACTACAGAGTGACCCCAAACATACAGCCAGTCATTAAGAAATATCTTCAGTATACAGAACAAGAAGTCCAGGAAGTGATGGCCTGGCCCTGACTGATTCCTGATCTCAACATCATGGAGTGTGTCTGGGATTACATGGAGAGACTGAAGGAATTGAGGAAGCCACACTCACAGAAGATCAGTGTTAGTTCTCCAAGATGTTGAACCTACCAGCCCGGTTCCTTCAACATCTGTGTTGTAACTAGAAGAAGTGATGTGGTTTTGTGGGCAAATCTTGTTTGCTCATTCACTGCTTTGTGTTGACTGATGAGCATTCTTTGTTTACGGTAATTTTTCACACTTGCCTAAAACTTCTTAAATAAATAAATAAGTAAACAAAAAAAATGTAGTTACATTTATTTATTGCTTTGAACACTTGTGTCTTGATTAAAGAAGATGAATGTAAGGTTTCTGTTAACATGACTGTGATGCTATGGGGTTGGTCTTCTTTTTTCCCACACACTCGTTTACTATTCTTACTTTTATATTTACTGCTGATAATAGTCACCAGCTCCTCACAGCCTCACTACTGAAGAAGGAGTGGAAATGGTTAGGAAGAACATTCACTGCTATTTTTCACAGGCCTCCAATCAATGGCGAAGAAGCCATTTAAAACTCCTTATTTTGGCTTTGTGAATAAGTGTAGTAAAACTGTAAATGGTTAACAGATTTTTTAGACAACATTTGTCATTTGAAATTTTGGAATACACTTTCTCAAAAAGGTAAATGTAAAAGTAATCTGCCACTGATTTGGAGTGACCGTTTCTATACCTGCTAGCATCAAATTAATTACTGCTTAATTTTTTGTTTGACTAGTTTTGTGCACAAAGCTCTACTGATCAACAGTTCAAAAATGATATTATTATCATCTAGGGTGAGTGCAGCCAGCCGGTCGCTCGCCATTGGCCTATTACCCAGAGGTAGGGTTGGGCATTGAGAATCGAGCATCGATTGGAACCGGTGTTCTGGGAATTTCTCCTACCCGGTAAACCGTCCTACCCATTGTTCCTGAGCATGTGCGTGCATGCGCACAACACAAAAAGGGAATGCTACTCAGTTGTCATATTTGCAGGAAAATAGGTAAGTAGTAAGTGTTAGTACTTTTTTATTGACGTTGATACTTGATTTTTTGGGTTAGGGTTAGGGTTTGTGTCATGTCAAACACCGTAAAATTATCCTATGGGTAGGACGTTTTGCCAAAGTAGGACATTTTTTCCCAGAATCGCTCAACGTTTTTTAATTCAATTCCTAGTTTTGATTCCCAGAATGCCGACGGAAGAGGAATCCGTGATTGATCTCCGTGAAAAATAAACGTGATCTGCAAATTGTGATCAACGCTTTTCGAGCTGATCTCACCAGCTGTCTGTCTGCAGCACCGAGTCCCCCCTCCCTCGCCCAGATATAAACAAACGCGTCTGCCGAACTTTTCCTCTGTAATGTAAACTTTGACTCTTGCAGCGTAGAGGAAACTTGTTAAAATACGTCAACACGGTGGATTTACTAGGAGTTTTAAACAACAAACTCTGGACGGTGTGAGGTGAGTTTGTCTCACTGCAGAAATAAAAACACACACGGAGCATCAGCAGTCAGACACGTGAGCTGAACAATAACATCATGCTAGAGCAGCTTCTGCCACAATAAATAATTAGAATAATAATAATAAATCACACACAAAGTTGTGAACATTTTAATTTCCTTTCTGAACTATTTCTGTTGAGAGTTTTAATGTTTAAAATCTGTTAGGTTGTTACTGACAGCAGCTACGTTTAAGTTTCACTTCCTGTTCTGACTGATCGCTGCTGCAGCATGGAGGTGTAGTTCTCAGTCATCCTGGACGTGATCATCCTGAGAGTTTTAGCTGAAAACAGCTGGATGTTTCTGGACATGTTGGAGACATTTAG